AGTGCATCAGCGACGACATTAAGTCGTCCTGGTTTGTACTCAACCGTAAAGCTGTATTCCGCAAAGAATGACAACCACCGCGCCATTCGTTGTGAAAGGTGCGGGCTGTTCACTGCCGTGCGTAATGACGCATGGTCAGTGTAAACAATGAAGGGTCTATCTCCTAAGAGATAGACTCTGAGCTTCGCGAGTGCATACTTCATGGCAAGGAGTTCCTTGTCATGCACTGGATAGTTCAGCTCAGCTGGTTGCAGATGACGCGACTGATAGCAGACGACGCGTTCAACGCCTTCAAGATCGTACTGCATTAATGCACAGCCGATTGCAAAATCGGTGGCATCACAGACCACATGAAATGGCCTGTCCTGATCGGCAATTGCTAGGACTGGGGATTGTATCAAGCTCTGCTTGATACCCTCAAAGGAGCGCTGACATTCAGCGTTCCATAACCACCTCTCGTTCTTTTTCAACAAACGAGAGAGGTGTACAGTCATCTCGGCGTAATTGCGTGAATACTTATGCAAATACGCCGCTAGCCCAAGGAATTTTTGAAGACCTTTGACGTCAACCGACACAGGCCAGTCGGTGATCGCCTTGATCTTTTCGGGATCAGGACGTACACCGTTCTTACCAACGATGCACCCAAGAAGTGGTATTTCGCTTGCTGCAAATATACACTTCTTGAGGTTTGCATACAATTGATGCTTTCGCATGATTGTAAGAACCTGTCGGACGTGGTACCTGTGAACCTCAACATCCGACTTTCCATCCATAGCTCGACTATGGATGAATACGTCATCGAAATAACTCGGCGCGAATTCTCGTACTGGTCTCAACAGATGTGATACACATCTGTTGAATGTGGCAGGGGCATTACTAAGCCCTTGTGGCATTACTAGCCATTCCCAGAGCATGCCGCTAGGCGTGCTAACTGCGGTATAGGGTATATCCCGTTCACGCATTAGGATTTGATAGAAGCCATCCATCAAATCCATGGACGAAAAGATGGTACTCTTTGACATACCATCAATGATTACGTCCTTCCTCGGTATCGGCGTCTGAGCCGGTACCGTTGCAGCGTTCAATTTGTTAAATGCATACACTATCCGCCACCCTCCTGTTGCTTTTCGCACACAGAAGGTCCGAGAGCTATGTGGGGAAGTTGATTCCCTCACATGGCCCGCTGCTAAACGATCGGCAAAGAACTTGTCGATCGCAAGTACTTGTTCACGAGGCAGTGGCCACTGCTTCATGACACAGTACTTCGAGCCTGGTTTAAGCTCGACTTCGTGTCGAATACCTTTATCCTTCGGTAACTCGCACGGAACAGTTTCAGGGAATACATCCTTGAATTCAACCAAATCTTCATAGAGAGGATTTGTCTTGAGCGATTCCCACGATTGGGAGTCATATCGCTCAACTCGTGTCTTTTCATCTAGGACACTCTCGTCCATAGATGAACTACTGAGAACTCTCTCGCTCTCAGTGAACACTGTTGATGACCTTATGTCGGCTACGCACTCGTCGTCGGCGACGAGTACGCAGATCTGCTTGACTTTGCCACTACGCAGATCACGCAAGAACCTTTTATGTTCGAGCGTTGGCAACTGAGTGATCTCCGAACTCAACTTCGGAGGCGCAATCAGATCAAGTGTATAAGCGCCTACACTTGATCCGTCATTGATAGGACATTCAATGTCTCTTTCATTTCCTGGGGACTTATTCTCTCAGGCCTCGAAGGACTTATTCCTTCGGCTTCCCGGGGACTTATTCCCGCGGGTTTCGGGGAACTTATTTCCGCCGTATTTGTAATCTTGGGACTTATTCCCTTTACTTCCTCTAGCTGGGGTTGCGCAACCACAGCAAGATCCTCTACGAAAGACTCTCCAGTCGATCTAGGATTATCGTTTCGCTTAACCTGAGCGATCGATTGTTTCTTATCTAGATGTTCCCCGCTAGGGATACATCTTTGTCCCAGTCCACCCGACTTATTCGAGTGGTGGACCTTCGGCGCAGCCTGTGTTTCCTCACAGCCGCCGGAACTTTGCTCGAAGTGTAACCGTTTGGTACACTAAGGTTTTGTGCAGTCGTACTAACGACCGTACCACAAGTGAGGCCATCGCACTCACTCGTAGTACATCCACACGCTTGTGGACGCTCCAAAACGTTCATCAGATGGCCATCTGATGAACAAGCGGCAGGCATCGTTACTGTCCGATGTTGCCAGTTTACCCGTGGTTCGTACCTTCGGAGCCACGGTATTCCAAGGATGACATCAAATTTGTCATCCAAATCCAATACGACAAAGTCATCGTCATATTGGGTATCTTCTAGCGTATAGTGGATCTTCACTATACGCTTCATGACGGTTACGGATGCGCCTGTCGCAAGACGTACCGTCATCCTCGTAGGAGGTGTGTCACATTCACTGAATTTAAAGTGACCATCTTCTAGCGATTGGCGTCGCACAAAATTGTTGGACGCCCCACAATCGACTAGAGCTCGAAGGGACAACTTATTCGTCACTTCGAGTTTCAAGGTAATGAGTGAGTCCTCATTACCTAGAGCAGCAACGCACAACGTTTTTGCGTTGGGAGCAACCTTCATCAAGAGGCCTACAAATTCTCTTGACGTTGCTGGACCAGTAGGGTGCTCCGCACCTACTGATCCTGTCCGTTTTTTGACGGTCCATCCCGTTGTTGCGTCTTTGCAAAAACAGCGGACCCGCATCCCTGCCCCTTTCTCATGGGTGGACGGTCACTACGCCCAGTGTTGCGAGACACTGGACGAGGGGCACTACACTCGTAAGCGTAGTGTCCTGTCTTCTGACATCTGTTGCATTTCTGCAACTTCTTGTAGTCTGTTGAGCGAGCCTTCTCGCTCTCTACATAACAGAGTTCCATCGGCTCTGGACCTCCGTTGTCATATCGTCTCGGTTGACGATATGATGTCGAGCTGGCGCGAGCCTGTCTCAGACTGAAGTCTTCCTGCTCCGCAATGGAAATGGCTTGTTCTAGTGAATCTAGTTCAAGTCGGAACAGGTGAGTCTTGACGGGACCATCCGCAAGACCCTGCATGAACACCAAAACCAACGTGTGTTCATCTACCGGGTTGGAACTTATTACAACTCTTGAGATGTCGTATATGTTGCGCGTAAGCGTGCACATCACGCTTACCCTGTTTGAGCTTCAAGAGTTCGGTTCGAGCTCTGAACTCAGCTCTAGGCGGTTCAAACGTTTGTCTGAGCCGCGACTTGAAGACTTCTAACGACCCAAACGCATATGGGTCGTGCAACTTGAGTCCCAAAGCCCAAGTCTTGGCACGTCCTGCCAGATTTGATTGGGCAAACGCAACTTGCATATCCCCGTCGTCGATGCGACGCGCTCTTATGGCGTCATCCAATTTGACGAACCATCTCAAAAGGGAGTCCTCTTCGACTCCCCTATACTTATAGATGTCAATCTTCAAGGTCTCGGGTCGACGCGAGTGCATCGACCCACCAGCAGCAGCCTGCTGCTGTCTCAACAGTTCAAACTGTTGAGCACCCTGTTCTCTCAACAACTCTGCTTGTTGAGAACCTTGTTGGTGAAGCAAGGCTACTTTCTCGCGTTCTGCGTCAAGTTCATTTTGAATGAACTTGGCGATAGTAGCATGTTGGGCATCTCTATTGAGAGCCTCTAGCATGACGCTAACAGCATGGATGCCCATGGTCGAACCCATTCGTTCGACCGCATCCCATTCGACATCGCTCAAATGGGAGTAGCCGTCACGCGTAGCGTGAAAGCTTTGGTCATCTTCATCATCCAACATATTCATGTTGGATGTGAACGCGGTCCTTGGACGGACTACAAAGTGCTACCAGGTGTAACGGGGCACCCTGAAGCTTGTACTGGTGACAGTACAAGCTACTTATTCTGATAACAGAATAAGGCGGTGCCTCGTAACTTCACGTACACTCGTACGTGCAGAGGAAGACGGTAAGAAGAAGCGAGTACTTGGTTAAAGTAAAAAGTAGAACTGTATTTATAATAGTTAATGTCTGCAATAAATCACTATTTATCCTCACCTAACGATGTCTAAATACAAATGTGTAAATCAACTATCTGCTCACCACTCATTGCGTGCGTCTGTCGTGGCGCGTCTTCGTTGGTGGATATAATGGCCTATATCAACCAATTAGGAACTACTCGTAAGTGCTACAGAATATTCGTCCTTATGACAATATTCTGAGAATATAACTCTTATAGTTATATTCTATTAACAATTTCTTATAAATTGTTATGTAACGATTCACCCCGTGACAAATACGATCTCGTATGTAGTTGCGCCAGTGTGCGTGCTGTTTGTTCGGCTGACCAAGTAAACTGCCGTGCTCATTGACTATGCCTATTAAAAAGTAGATGCTAACTTGTAGTGCATCATGCTTTGTGCCTTCTCCATAATCGTTCGGAAATTTGCTCAGCCAATCCATTTTGCTGAGGTCTGTATGGCGCAGCTTTTGGTGCACAATAGCGTTACGCTGGCAGATTCCGCCCGAGGCCTTGTTTACAAACTCGCTGCTGTTGTCAGATCGTAGACACTTGACGCGCTCTACTTACTGGTTCTCGTGCATAGTCTTGTAGGCTTTAACCTTCTCAACACTTCGCTCTTCTTCTTGAGAGAGCATGCCACAACATACTTAGAGTAGTCATAAACGAAGGTGAGCACGTACTTCGCGCCATTTTTGACTCCGTCTTCATTGGTCCCATTATGTCCGTGTGGACGAAACCCAGCACACAGGACGTCTTCATCTGCGAACGAGATGGAAACTGCGCCACCGTTTGATTGCCTTTCAAGCATCTACTGCATAGTGCTTTCGTTATGAAACTAGTAATTAGAATACCAGTCGTCACTCAAGGCGTCTTTTCCAGCGCTTCTTTGTTCAAGTGGCTAATGCGAGCGTGTCAAATTCCCCACTCGCTCTCGACGTCCGAATACGCCACGCATTGGGCTGTTTCCGGTCAACGTCCCAGCGTGTAGGACTTGCCAAACTTCCAACCCGGGGTGACACGATGTGCGCTCAAACTCAACGTCGAGTCCGCGTTTTGCAAGCTTACCAACTGACAGCAGTCGTCGATCAAGTCCAAGATGTGGAGGACGCTCAACATCCGAATGCGCTTGCCTTCATTGTCCTTTGAGCACACCGACTTAGTTCCTCCAACACGGATCTTCTTGCCATCCGCGATGGTCACCTCAATGCTTGTCACCATGTCCTTGTAGCTACAAAGTCTTCTCGGTGCGGCGTCATGTGCGTCGTCGCACCACTGTCGATCATCCACCATGATGATCGACTCTTCACGGCGGCGAATACCGCGTACTCGTCATCCTTGCCAGGTTCCTGCGTGACCGGGCGGTACCGCTACATGTGACCAAACTTGTCATAGTTAAAGCCCTCGCCCTTGAAACCAATTCTATTTCTCGAGACTTTGTCCTCGCGTCCGTTCTTCCTGCCGCACTTGTCGAATCTTGCATTCTTCGACTTGCCCCCATAGATCGTAGCTTTCAGCGCGCTTTCCGTCGCTTCCTTCTTTTCCTGTCGCTCATACTCCTTGATCAGCTTTTTCTTCACCTCAATGAGCGTGATGTCGTGGGCGTTCTCCACGATCGACGCTATGAGCTCGTAATCTGCAGGCATACTGCTGAGAAGAATCGAGAGCTGCAGCGCCTCGTCAACCGGCTCATTCAGAGACTGAAGACCAACGATGAGTTCATCGAACTTGTCCACGAGCTTGGTCGTCATTATGTCGTCGTCCATCCAAAATCCATGAAGGCGGCGGATCATCGTCACTCGATTGTGCATGATCGCGAGATTGTAAAACTCACGCAGCGCAATCCATGCCTGATTCACCGTCGTTACCGACTGAATCTTTGATGTGATGCTCCAGCACTATGTCTTGAACGACCAGTCCTAGTGCCTTCATGTCGTTCAGCATTGAGGACTCTGTCATCTCTTCTTCAAGGTTGTGTTGAAGTAGAACGACTCGTGATGTTGAAGGAACGCGACCCATGATGTGAAAGGGCGCGACTAGTGATAAAGGTAAGCGACTATCGTAACGGACGAGTAATGACACGAAACCTACGCAGAAGAAACTGAAAGTAACGGACACAGAGATAACTAGGATCAAAGGCTGCAATACATTTAGTTCTCAATTTACCATCCATGTCTCAAGCAGCAAACAACAGGTTATGAGCCCAAGCGACAACGACTCGACTCCTCACCAGCAAACCCCGGTACGCGACGTCGCCAGGACGGACACTCACGCACAAAACGTGGTTGCTGACCCGTCCGGGATGCGCGAGGAGACGCGATCGGCTTTGGACGCGTCCGAAGCCCAAGAGAGCGCGAGTCGTATTTCTGATGCGAGCTCTGAGCGGATGGACCGGCTTGAAGGACTCCTCGAAGGGATGGCACAGCAACAAGCTCAGTTTATGGCAAACCAGATGAAGATGCAAGACCAGATGAGTCGCCGTGCCGATGCTGCTCCCACGCATCCTGCCGAGCACTTGTTCAATGGTTCAAGCGCGTTCACCGACTTCATCAGAGCGCGGGACCGTCGGATGAGGAGGGGCTCACTAGATGAGCCCATGCAGAATGCCATGCCGCCTGTAACGCCATGCATGCCGCCGCCTAATCAGCCGCCGCAGCAAGTAAACCAGAATCAGCCACCGAGATCGTCGCCGAATTTTACGCCGCGTGAAGATTATGGGTTAAAGATACCTAAGCCTCGGGACCTGGACTGGCCCGGCTTTGCCAAGTTTACGGGTAAGGAGACATACCCAGGCGTGGGTGCCGACTTCAAGGCGTGGGGTATGCGTTTCCTACAACGACTCGGTGCAGCCCAGCTGATGAGCGGAGGTGATTGGCCAGAAGAGTTTAAGGTCCTCGCGCTGAGTGGTAAGCTGGATGGAGCGGCACTCAGCTATTACGAGAAGATGCTGCCGGTGTGGTCGTCGGTGTCGAACACACTCGAACACGTCCTGAACAGCATGCTGTTGCTGTACATGACGCCGATTCCATCTACTAAAGGAATTGAGCTAATGATAAGCGAGAAGGATCAAAACAAGACATGGCCCGAGCACTACCAGTACCTTGTGTACGTGGCAGAACGGTCGGGTAACTCGGAGCAGAGTGTGCTAGAATGCTTATGCAAGTCGGCACCATCGCACATTCAAACCGCGATGTTAACTCGGATGAATGCTCAACGACCTGATTACCTTGTACAAGCTGCTGAGCTTGTTGCGTTCGCGATTGATTTTGAAATTAGCATGAAGAAGACGAATAGCGGAGGAGGCCGAGACCGAGCTGTTCGATCAAGCCGCGCGCTAGTAGTTCGCTACCCCGGCGGTGGACGAAGCGACCAAGGAGGGCGCGAAAGGAGATACGTTGCACGGGTTGAAAGTGCCGATTCTCGCAAATGTTATGGCTGTGGCGAGGCTGGTCATATTAAGGCCAACTGTCCAAAAAAAGGCGACGCCAATTCGGTTTCGAGCCGGGTTGCGTTAGCCATTGGTACCGGTACGACAGCTGACTCTGACTCGTGGATCCTGGACAGCGGTTCGAGCGTGCACCTTGTGAAAGATGCGATGATGTTGAAGAACGTGAAGGATTGCGATCATTCATGTCGCGCGGCAAACAACACGATGGTCCGAGTGACCAAAGTGGGAACGGCCGAGCTGAAGACGGTGGTCAATGGAAAAGAGGTTATCGTGGACCTCACCGAGGTCTACTACGCTGAAAACCTTGCTGACAACATCATCAGCTATGGTTTATTGGAGGAACGTGGTGTGTTCCTCATGCGAGAAGGCGGCCAAAGTTATGTGGTGCGCCAAGAGGACAACAGGAAGATATTCGAAGTCTTCCGCCGCAACAATGTCCTGACTATTGACGTCATGGGTGAGAGCACAACGGATGCACGAGTACGAGTGGTCAACTTAGCCGTGCAAGAAGGTTTCGACGAAATAGATGAAGCAGTCACGGATACAACACTGCTGGAATTGCACCAAAGACTGGGCCATCTTTCCTACGATACTATCGTACGCATGGCCGACTCGGCAGGTTCAGGTATCCGGTTGACCGACCGAACGAGGCCAAATTGTTTGACTTGCGCACAGGGCAAACAGAGCAAGAACAACCAGCCCAAGAAGGACACAGGAAGGAATGCACCGATCGACAAGCTCGGGGGTGTTATCGGTAGCGACATCAAAGGACCAATGACTCCGAAGGACCGTCGTGGAAATCGATACCTCATCAACTTCGTCGACTACTCAACGAATTACGTACGCGTTTTCGTCGCCAAGAACAAGATTGAGGCGACAAAGAATTTTGAGCATTTTCTACTCTATTTTGAGAAGAGATTCAACTGCCGCATTCATGTGTTGCGCACGGACGGTGGAAAGGAGTACGTTAACGTCGACCCGTTCTGCAGGTCAGCTGGAGTAAGGCGTCAAATCAGCGAGGCCGATAATCAAGCATCAAATGGAAAAGCTGAGCGAATGCACAGAACTATCCTAAACATGGCAAGATGTATGCTGTTTGCGAGTGGCCTACCATTATTTTTTTGGGGTGACGCCGTCGAGTATGCAGCTTACGTATTAAATCGGAGCTCGTGCAGTGCTAACCCGAAGCGGATGTCACCGCTAGAGATGTTGACAGGCAAGATATCTAATCTGGCGGACATGGTGACTTTCGGCAGCCCATGCTCAGCGTTTAGGGACCCCGGAAAGAAATCGTGGAAGACGAGATCCCAGGTTGGCATGGTCATCGGCAAGAACGATGAGACTAAAGGTTTCAGGGTGTACCTGCCAAAGGAGAGGACTGTTATTACAACGCAGCACATCCGCAATGTCGAGACACTTAACAGTGAGCAGAACGTCCAGCTACAGGCACAGCTTGAGCGAGAAGACCCTATGCTGCGGCGCGATGTGTCAGATCTCGACGATGCCGCGAAGCGGAAGGAGCCCCACGCAGTAATTTTGCTTCCATCGAAACGGGCGTCAGCAAAGACGAAACATGACTCTGCCGAGTCAACAAAGGACGCAGTCAAGTCAAAGAGAAAATTTTCTGAAGAAGAGAAGGAACCCGATGTGAGCAAGAATTACACGGACCTACAAGAAGCGGAAAGCGGGGACGAACTACTACCCGCGGAAGAGCAAACGCGAACTAGGATGCAAACCCGAAATATGGGTGACAAGCACGTACCAGTGAGTCGAGTGAAAGCGATCAGTCTCAAAGATCCAAAAAACTATCGCGAGGCGATGAAAGACCCTCGAGTCAAGCAGTGGGAAGAGGCTATGTGTACGGAGATTGAAGCGTTAGAGCACAACGATACCTGGGAGGTTATTCAAAAACCACGCGATTCCAAGTTGCTGCACAGTAAATGGGTCTACAAGCTAAAAGTGCACGCAGACGGTTCTATCGAACGATTCAAGGCAAGGCTTGTGGCGCGCGGAGACGAACAAGTGTATGGTGTGGATTACACCTACACCTTCTCAGCTGTGATGGAGATGATATCTGGCAAGGTGATACTTGCTGTGTCAAGGATATGGGGGTACCTGCACGACACGGCGATGTGCCGAGCGCTTATGTTAAAGCGGAAAAGAAGATGACTTGGAAATTCTACTCCATATTCCACAGGGAATGAATATAGATTCCAAGTTGCTACGAAAACATGGCGTGAAAGACCAGAGGCAGCTCGCACTAAGACTCAAGAAAGGTCTATATGGCCTGAAACAGTCGGGCCGGCTGTGGAACATGATGCTTCACGACATCTTAATGTCGCTGAATTTCAGTCAGTGTTATACAGACAGTTGTCTCTACATAAAGACTGAGACCGACGGTAAAACGCTCGTGGGGATCTACGTGGACGATGTTCTGGTGACTGGGACGGACGTAAAGAAGGTCGACAACTTCTTCAACGACATGCAAGTCATTGAGCTGAAGGATCTCGGCGTGGTAACCAAGTTTCTTGGAATCGCGTTCAATTACAGCGCCAAGACCGGATGGGCACTAGATTAAGAAAGCACAATCGACGAGATGCTCGACAAATTTGGACTTAAAGATTCGGCAGCGGTCAGAGTACCAATAAGTGGAGAAGACGGATACGAAGAAATAACCCTGCTACCGTCTGGTGGCAGTGGCTCGCCACAGAGACCGACTGTACAGACGTTTCAGTCGCTGGTGGGCAGTCTGCTGTGGATCGCCCGATGCACACGCCCAGACATTGCGTTTGCTGTACACCGAGTGACGCGGCGTTCGCACGCGCCAACTGAAGGCGATTGGCGTTTGGCAAAGAAGATAGCCAAGTATCTGAAGGGCACAAAGGGACTCAAGTTCATAATGCACGAAAAAAAGGACGCAATCAAGGACGATGGCGTGCTGGTCGAAGCTTACAGTGACGCAGACTACGCCGCAGATAAAACTGACCGGAAGTCAGTCAGCGGTGGTGTGCTGATGGTGGCCGGAATGGTGGTGGGATGGCTATGCAAGAAGCAGAAGTGTGTCGCCTTATCAACGATGGAAGCCGAGTTTGTGGCGGCTTCACAAACCGCTGCTGAAATGATGGGTATCATTGAACTGCTTAAGGAGATTGGCGTGTCGGTTCAGCCTGATTCAACGTTACATGTTGACAATCAAGCAGCCATCGCTCAAATCAAGGGCGAGGACACGTCTGGTCGAGCAAAGCACATTGATGTGCGATTGAAGTTCGTAAAGGATTTGGAAACAAAGAAGATGCTAAAGGTGCAGTACTGCGAATCCAAGGGTATGCGCGCGGACATACTGACCAAGACCCTCCCAGCGCCGCGACTTAGTCAGCTTCGCGGACTTGTGATGCTTTCAGGGTAAGTATGACCACTCGGGAAGGAGTGTTGAAGTAGAACGACTCGTGATGTTGAAGGAACGCGACCCATGATGTGAAAGGGCGCGACTAGTGATAAAGGTAAGCGACTATCGTAACGGACGAGTAATGACACGAAACCTACGCAGAAGAAACTGAAAGTAACGGACACAGAGATAACTAGGATCAAAGGCTGCAATACATTTAGTTCTCAATTTACCATCCAAGTCTCAAGCAGCAAACAACAGGTTGACCATCTGAATGTGTGCTAGCATCCCCTTCTTCGCCAGCGTCATTCGTATGACAAACTCAATTATTGCTCCAGAGGATGACGTTGGCCTTCTTCGCAGACATGCGAGCGGCGGGTGTTGTTCTTGAGCGTTTTGTTCGGCTGTTAACCAGTTAGCAAAATGTTTTAAGAAGAAGGCAAATCGTGAAGTGAATGTAATTTTGGTCCTTGGTTCGCAAACTCCTACTGATAGTCTAACCTGCTGTATTATCCTACCTGCATGTTAGTAGTCACCACGCCGCGCATTACTACTAGTGTAGAGCATGTAAGTAATTACCCTGTCGCGTATCACTAGTAGCATAGAGCATGTAAGTAATCACCGATGTAACTTTAACATAAATAAGCTCTGACCTTCTATTACTTGAGATCTTCAATCTCTTTTCACGCAATTGTCTTTCTAGTTCATGATATAAATAAGCCTAAACCATTTTCAGTACTGTGCAACATCAGACCACATAGAGATTTATGGATTCTCAAACATTGGTTTCGTCCATATTGGAAACATGTTTGAGCTCAAAGCCCAAACGAAGTCCAGGCTATGCTGCATCTATGACCTTCTCATTTGCTGAAACAATATCACCGTGGATCCTGGTGCTGCTCAGCTTGTTGCGCTGCCGACAGCGTTGCGACTATCCACTATAGAACTTGATGGTATCCTAAGGTAGACTCAGGCGCTCATAAATACTCAGCCTTGACCAAATGGTTGCTACAATCACGGAAACATTTCTTGTTCGGCATTAAAGTATCCAGGTTGACAGGCGTTCCTTCAGCTTTAGTTTCTAAGTGCCTCTCGGGCTTCTGGTGAAAGTCCGTAATCTGTCATAGATTCAAGATCAGTGCGCTTCTTAATTTTGGGATAGACATCGTTCTGGATGATCTAAAAAATAAAACTTGCCTGAAGTCCAATTTGTCAGAATGCTTTTGCTCAGTTTCGTATTCTTGGCCTTGTGCTGGCAAAGTTCGAGCCTTTCGCATTGGTAACAGTCCTTGGAACATGGATTTATGAAATGTAGGGGGGAACCATGAATGTACGCATTTCTCCTTTTCACAAAAAAATGGGAAATTCACGTAACCCATAAATGACTACTTCGTAGAAGTTCGCTCCATCAAGCCTATGACTTATTCAAGGAATGACTGAAGTAAGACAGTTTTTTCATGCGAGATGTGTAGGACGCGCAAGATGAGCTGCGGGATGTGCGGGATGGGACGTTCTGGGACGGAGCCCAGTATTGACAACCCGTCATGGGTCGTTCATTCAACTTGACCCGTCCACACATTTGTCCTCCCGCATGCAAATTGTACCATACGTCGGTCTACTGGTGCAATAATACTCAGCCGTCCATGATGTCAGAGGACCCAATCGTGTTTGTGCTGACGTTTAGCGCGTAAAAGGCCTTGACACAACGCTATTCACCTCTCTTTCCATGCTAGCTTTTATCGTCGCTAGCGATCGTCTTGCCAACTTGGTGTTACGTTCGATAAAGTCTGTTGTGTTGTCTGCGCGCAACGAGATGTCTTCTTGTGTGACTACAATCGTAAAACTGAGCTGCTAGTGCTAAAATCAAGCGCTCTTTGCAACGATTATCGCATTGTAGAGGTTGAACCTGGCCGACTTCAGTAAAAATAGGTGGCATCAGTGACTCTCCAAAGATACACAAAGGACCAGATGCTCTCTACTGTGTGATTTTCAATCATTTTGTATGCACCTTGAGATATTTCTATTTTAGACTAATGATTCAAATTAGCTTGCTGATCTTCATTTCAAATCGATCACGTTGTTATTTTCAATTCTTTTGTGATTCATTATTTGAGGACCCAATTATATTGGTGTCCTCTAATTTAATAAATCCCGAATAAACAGGTCGAACATGTCTTGAGTGTCATCGGGTTGAGTCGAGTCCGACATGGTGTTGTTTTATTGCATTAATCAATCTTTGCTCGCATCGTTGTTTGAATGCCCCGGGTCAAAAGTGTGCAGCCTCCCGAACGACATGACTAGCACGAGCTGCGCGCATCCGACCCATTTCACTGTTTCCTTCAAGCTCGTCGACAGGCTCTGGCAGCTCTTTCAATCTTGCTTTCACCATCCAAAGCAATACAACGCTAACACCCACGAGCGTCAGAGCGAGAATAAAGGTGATGTAGCTCACGGCGACGGCTCCGTTTGCTTGCCCGCTCTGACCACTCATGAAAAAGCCCATCAGCACCGGAATGAACACCTCGCCCATACCACAGCCGAATACAATAAGCGACGACACGCGGCTGATCAGCTGTTCATTGATCACGCGAGTTAAGCAGTGGATGCTGAGCGTGAAGAGCGGAGCCAAAGCAGACGAGAACAACACGAGGCACGCCGCAAAGACAATGAGCCCCGCTTCAGCGCCGAACAGAAGACCAAACGAACTTGCACCACATACGACAGTGCAAACCACGATGGAGTAGAGGTTCTTGTCGTGGAACAAAAATCTCGGAAGCACCACGTACGACACCGTCAGCGATCCCCAAAACAGCACCATGAAGGCGCACTGCCACACTCGTTGGCTGTTCCCACTTATAGTGCCGCGGCTGTCACTGGAGCCCACTGCCTCAATTTGTACGGTTTTCTCGCCTTCCATTAGCACCGTGCCGATGTACACGTACAAAAAGGCTGCAAGACCGAGTTGAATGCCAAAAAGCACAGTGGCGGAGATGGTCACGAGCAGGATGATAAAGTTGTTCTTCGAATCGTAAGTATCTGGATTGCAGTTCTTGGAGCCACTGACATGCTTCGCGTGCAAGAAAACACCTCCCACAATCGGACTAGGTACTGCAGGGACGCGGCGCGTGGGATCCTCGAAAGACAACAGCGTCTGCTGCTCGTCGCTTCCCTCGGAGTTGTGTGGACTCGGCAGCATCGCGACCAGCACTGCTGGAAAGACCGTCAGGATAGCCAATCCAAAGAATGCATAGCCCAAGTCAAGGTCCAGCTTTGTAAGCACCAACGCTCCAACAGCACCCAACACGCAGCCAAGACCATAGTTGATATTCATCGACGTGACGATGCGGCGTCTCTGCGGATTTTTGGCTCCCGCAATCCATAGCGAGCAGCGATTTAGTCTACAACACATGACAACAGTCATATCCAGAGCCTGTCAGTAAAAACTGTGGTCCTGCAGCTTCAGTTGCCACAATTATTATACACCGATAGACCGGCACATAACACCCAACACATCGTCACGTACGTGATGTTAAGCAGTGCCGTCCAGAACCCCTTTGCAATAAAGTAGAGCCCAACGCCGACGTTGCCCGTGGCCACAGTCACTGGGGTCAGGCACGCGTACCACGTGCCACTGCAGAGCAGCAGGACCACAATCAGCTGCTTCATCCACTTCTTCGCCGTGCAGTACGAGAGCACAAAGTCACTCATGAAGCTCATGACGAGGGCGGCGCCTCCATGAGCGGCAAAGATGGGGCCAAATCCGTACACGGGCGTGACCACGCCCGACTCTTTCGTAACTTGCTCCGAGAAAAACACGAGCGATGGGCCCAACATGCCCATAAAAGCGCCTTGAAGCACGAAAATGGACCGGTAGGCCAGTAACTGCAGCGTGTATTGTCCCCCGTCGCTCCGAACGGCTGAAGCTGCTCCAACGTTCGCGCGACTGCTGCTGCTGCTGCTGCTGTCGCTGCTCGTACTGGACCGATGTTTGGGCGGGCGATGCGGCTGTCGCAGCTGCTGACGCGTGTGCGTCACGGTCGTGTACACGCCATAGTGTTCCCGTTCCAGTGGCCGCTTGGACGCGTCTTCGAGCCGGGCACTGCGGCTGTAAACCTCGCTGGACGACGCCTGATACGACGTTGGCAGGAAGGTATAGCGCGACATTTCGACACTGAGCAGTTTGAAAAAAGCGACTGAAAAAAGCAAAACTTTGCTCTCGCGTTGTTCAACGGGTGTGACAAGAGGTGCAGTGACAAATTAATTGATGAGGATGACACGTGAAAATAATAATGAACTGGTGGGTGGACGAAATGAGCGCTTACAAATTAATTGGTACGTACAGGATACAGTCAGTCAGTCAGTCAGTTGTGTGGCTAAACCGCGGGCTGAGCGCTTGTGAGTGCAGTAGCGGCACTTGTCGACTGCTGGGGCGCGTCCGACTGGACCGAATTCAACGACGGCGGATCCACGGATGAGCACACCGATCGACTCGTGTCCGACTTAGCCCCATCGCCATCGTTTTGTAGCGATTGCCGTCGCTCCTTTAGTGTCTGCATCGCTCGGCGCTTCCACTTGTTGGCGCCCAGTTTGACCCGCAGTATCACATTGAGCGAGACCACTCGTGTCACAGCGCGCGCGAGTTCCTCCGGCCCAATCGTAACCGCGTCATAACTCGTCTGCACATACTCCTGCTGCTCTTGCTTCGACAGACCTTGTAGCACCCACGAATGCTCCTTGCACTTCTGCAACGACCAGCGCTGCTCGGGATTCTTCTCGAGCAGACCGTACAGGAGCTCTGTCAACCCTTTACTAAGGCCCGAGCTGCCTTGGACCTTCGTTTCAATCGTGACCGGGCCGGTCTCAATCATCTCGAACAGCGTCACAACATCGGGATCGTAGAACGGGATCGCACCGAGCGCCAGGGCGTGGATCGTCACCCCCAGCGCCCAAATGTCAGCTGCATAGGCACTGTATTCACCCCCTTTCAGCGTTTCCGGGCCCATAAACGCATACGTGCCAGCCGTCGTCGAGACGTAACCCTTCCGATGCGGCCTCGCTGCAGCAAGCGACGCCTCCCCACCACAAGACTTCAGCTTAGCTTCTTTGTCCTCTTCCTCGAAAAAGTGCGCAACGCCAAAGTCGGAGATTTTGTACGTGCCGTCCTGGCCCACGAGAATGTTCTCCGGCTTCAAGTCTCGATGACAGATATTGTTGTCATGGAGGTACTGGAGTCCCAGTAGAAGCTGGCGCACACACACGCGCAGCTCCTCTTCGCGAAAACAAGTAGCAGCTCCCCTCTTGCTGCCACTCTTCTTGTACACCTTTTCTTCAGGGAACCACGTCATCACTTGTCCAGACGGCGCATACTCCAACATCAACACGAGCGTCTCGGAATCGTCGTCAAACACTTCCAACAAATTCAACAAGTTCGGGTGGTGCAGCTTCTTCATGATGGCAATTTCCATCTGCACCTTGTCCAGAGCCGTCGACACGACCATCCGTCGCCCCACTCGCTTCACGTCCCGCATCTTCTTGAGCAGCGACGTCTTGAACACTTTGAGAGCCACGAGGTGCTCGCCATCGCGCTGCCGAGCGAGCTGGACCACAGCCGTCGCGCCTCGTCCGAGCTCCTGCACGACCTCGTACTTGACAATTGCACTGCCCACGCTGCAGCTGCTACTGCCGCTTCTGCTGCTTTCACTATTGTCGTCGCCGCCAGTCGAGGCGGTCCCCGAGTCGCTGTCGCTGTCATCGTCACTCAAGTGGTCGTTCGTACTGAGCGACTCCATCGAAGCTGAGAGCGTCGCGCTCGAGTTCACAATCTCCGAGAGAGGCGGCACGAAGGCCGAACAAGACGCAGCGGGCACAGGCGCCACGACGTTCAGAGGCTCAGGAGCAGCAGCAGCGTGACGGGCGCGTGGCGGCATCGACGACGACGCCGTGATCGAGTGCCGCGCGGGTTTGGGCTCGCTCGCTGGGGCGCTAGGAGTCGGACGGTGGGACTCGCGACGTCCGAGCGACAGCGAGCGGCTGCGGAAGAAGTCAAAGATGCCGAGATCGCGCGTCACGCGACACGAGGAGGCGTCCGACATGGCGAGAGGAGACGCTCGGGGGGTCTGGTCGGTCGGGCCGTCGGTCGGTCGGTCGGTCGGGCGGACGTCGCGCCTTGGATGAAAAAGACAGAATGAACGAATGAACGATAAAAGACGACGACGAGAGAGGCGTGAGGGGGTGGGTGAGTGGGTGGATGGGTGTGTGGGTGAGTGAGTGTGTATACACTATTTCTCAGTGTCGTGACGCTCGCGGATGGAACAATTGGAAGAAGCAAATCGAACGAGTATACACTTTTTCAGTGATGGACTGGACTGGCCCTCGGACCGGGATAGGCGATTAAGTGGCACATTGACACAAAGGCGGTGCCGTTCGCAGGACTCTGGCCATCGTTTCTTACACATCTGTTCTGCACATTGAGCCGCACTCTCACTCAGTCACTCCAGACGCCGGGTGCAGCGCATTCCCTTTTTTGCTTCCTTGTCAAATGACGTTATAAATTCTCCCATCTCCGACTCCAGCGCAGACTCTAACGGGGATGACACTTTGGACACAACTCACTGGTTCTGACACTCGGGTGGCTTCTCCGTCGACTTCGCATCGCTTTCGAGAGCAGGAAATTTCTTCTTGCCTCGACGAGGCTTCGGGGCCTCGTCACTCGAGAGTGACTCGTCGTCCGACTCCTCATAGTCCTCGTCCTCCTCTGGATCATAGTCCGAGTCGTTCTCCACAGCTTCACCGGTGAACCACAACAAAGCCTGCGGGATAATCGTCTCATGGATCGTGAAGCCAATCTCGAAGTCATCGCTCAGCTGGCGCATAATCATCTCACTCTGCAAAGATACAATTACAAGCACAACACAGCTACAGTCAGCAACCGAGCCTCACAATAGAAGCAGAACACACTGTCAACTACTTACGTCTTCGTCGTCCTCTTCCGACGGCATCTCCACAGGAGCAAAGAACTGGAAAAAGCTCTCGCACGGCTCCGTGCGGCTCACGACGCGCGATCCGCTTTTGCCACCTTTTGCACGCTGCTTCACCTTCTTGGTCACCTCACACAAATTCTGACCTTCTCTCCACTCAATCACAGTGCCCTTTACATTGCGCAGCACCGCCTCGCCCTGCTCCGACGCGTCTCCAATGTCGTACTCCTTCGTCAGCGTCTTGTTGGAAAAGAACGGGTTGTCCACAAACTCAAACGTGAGCTCAAAGCCATTGTCCGATTCGTGGCTCACTGAGCGCACGTCCTTGAGGAACTCAAACGCAGGCAAGTCCCGCTCCTGAATAAGGTCTGCTAACGCCGAGTGGTTCATAAACGCACGCAGCCAAAAGCCAGGCACGCCCTTCACCTCCTCTTCCTCCTCCTCCTCCTCCTCAGTACTAGCAGCTACGACAGCGTCCACTTCCTTCACCCCCGACACAATATCAGCCCGTTGCTGGTAAAACGGCTGGTAGAGCTTCTCGTACTTGAGCTCCAGCAGCTTCCGCTCCTTCTCAAACTTCTCCTCGACTTCAGCCTGCGCCTCCTGAAGCTCCCGCAGCGCTTCGAGACGCAGCAGCACCTTTTTCGGAAGCTTGGCCAGCTCGTCCTCCTCTTCGTCCTGGTCCTCAGCCACCGTCAGCTCCGCCATCTCCTGCGTCACCTCGTCTCCAGCCGCCTCGCCCACGTCTTCCTCTCGCGTCGTCGTCATCGGGTGGTCGGCCATTGTTACGATCGACTACTGACGTTGAGCCAACGCGGTTCGTTTCGAAGCAAGTGATTGGCTGCGCGGAAAAGAACCTCGAGTTTGGGTGGCTGCGGAAGTATCCGGGCGTTGATGGTGTCTGCCACACTATCGCACGTGCACCACACCAGATGTAGCCGTCCCCCCTGAGTGCTATCAACCCATTCGCCGAATCAGCAGCGTCAGCAGCAGCAGCAGCATGAGCAGCGCCAACGGCAGCTCCGTGGCGCTCACGAGCGGTGGCACGGTCGCTTCTAAACGTCGAGTCGCCTACTTCTATGACTGTACGAGGAGTGCGCATTGCTGTGTTGCTTGTTGTATGTGTCTAGGTGTTTGTTTGGTTGTTTATCCATCTGCTGATCGATCGATCGATGGGGGTCGTGGCCACTGCTTGGCAACTTGTTTTCGATTGTGTATTGGTGGTGTGACAGCGGAGATTGGCAATTACCATTACGGGCAGAACCATCCAATGAAGGTACGGCAATGGTGGCGTGGAGTGGGAGCTGGCAAGGCGATCGACTCGTCCGTTACACCTCGCTGACCCTCTCTTTTTGTGTGCATGGTGGCAGCCTCACCGCGTACGGATGGCGCACAACCTCATCACGAACTACGGCCTTACTAAGCACATGGAAGTCTACGTACGCTGTGCAATTGATGGTTTGTAAACAGTTGTTTGCGACGCAGTTTCGAGCTAATGCTTTGGGCTCTTGTTGGACAGCGTCCGCGCCTTGTCGACTGGACGGAGCTCACGCGTTTCCACTCGGACGACTATATTCACTTTCTGCGTCTTGTCACGCCGGACAACATGCACGAGTACTTGCGCCAGCTGCAGCGCTTTAACGTGGGTGAGGATTGTCCGGTCTTTGACGGGCTGTTCGAGTTTTGCCAGCTCTACGCGTCAGCTTCAATTGGCGGTGCTGCCAAGTTGAACGCAGGCTCGGCTGACATTGTCATTAATTACTCGGGGGGACTGCATCACGGCAAGCGTTCGGAGGCCTCCGGCTTTTGTTATGTAAACGATTGCGTACTGGGTATCCTGGAGCTACTGAAGACCCACCAGCGCGTCTTGTATATCGACATTGATATTCACCATGGTGATGGTGTCGAAGAGGCTTTTTATACTACAAACCGCGTCATGACGTGCTCGTTCCACAAGTACGGCGAATTCTTCCCTGGTACAGGTGATATCAAGGATGTTGGATATGGAGATGGTAAGCACTACGCTGTAAACTTTCCTTGCCGCGATGGCATGGATGACGAGAGCTTCACGGGTATTTTTCGAAGCGTCATTGCGAAGGTGATGGAACACTTTGCACCGGGTGCTGTGTTACTACAATGTGGTACAGACTCGTTGTCGGGTGACCGCCTTGGCAGCTTCAATTTGTCGGCCAAGGGCCACGCTGACTGTGTGGCTTATGTCAAGAGCTTCAACATTCCTACTCTCGTTGTTGGTGGTGGAGGATACACACTGCGCAATGTCGCGCGTGCCTGGTGCTACGAGGCTTCGCTACTAGTCGGTGTGGACATTCCGGACGCGATGCCGTACAACGACTACTTTGAATACTACGGCCCTGAATACCGCCTTCACTTGCCCGTCAGCAACATGGAAAACCTCAACACACCTGCTTACCTCGACGATATCAGGCGTTCCATCCACGAGAATCTTCGCCAGATCGAGCCCGTTCCTAGCGTTCCCTTCACGGTCGCACCACCGTCGGCACGTATACAAGAAGAAAAGGAAGCTGCTGCGCGGGACCGCGAGGACGACGACCAGTATATGATGGATGTGTCAGGTGAGCATCAGGTGAAGCAAGAGCTCAAGCAAAGCGACGCTCCGCGCCATTCTGCTGAGTTTTACGACTAACTTACGAGCACGCAATCAAAGTGCCAATTGTGAAGCAGCTGTGTACAGTCTTGAAACGGAGGAAGCTGGGAAGCACATCCAGTCTACAAGCATTTGATATTTACAGCTACAGTCTCATTGCGTTGACTCTATATGAACAACCACAGTATATCGAGCACACTTGGCTGGCCGACACCTTACTCATCGCTCTCCTCACGCACACATTTGCCTCTCGAGTCGGAGCGGGGTAGCCAAAGCTCGGAACCAGTTATCGTAGATGTAATGGTGCACGTGCAACTTGCCGAAAGACAGCATGACGAAACACTCAAGCACTTCTTCAATCAAATGTCGCCACGAACAACTACAATGAAACCGCACACTCAAACAGAGTGCACGCATGTGCAAGGTCTCCATAGTCCAGTATGTAGGCGTCAACGTTCGACGTGCCAGCGAGTACAAGCTCAGGTTCATAATTCGATGAAGAGACGAGTGTCACCCGAAAGTGCCGCGACTTTGAAGGCGACACATCAGCGGTGGGTTCTTCAAACACCTCTCCGCTATCCAGCTATACCACCAAGCGCGTCGTGCCTTGTCGACTCGTCCGTCTAGTTTGATACACTCTGATCTTCATCACACTTACTGTGGACGCGAGACGTGGATTGACAATACTGCTTTTCGTGGACATCCCCTGTTTGACAAGGCGTAGATCCGTCAGTTGCGACAAACATGCCAGTCTGTTCGAACATCTGAAGGCATCGAGCTAGCAATGCTAATGACGATGAATCCTAGTCAATGTCTTGATCACGTCCACACGATTTGATGACATGTAGCTAAACACGGGACTTCTCTTGTGTAGTGGAGGAACCCTGACTCTGTTGTTCCAAACAGGACTACATAGTGCTTGAAAAACGTCCCGCGTGCAATAAGTTACGAATAAATAATACTCAAAACGCGAGTCACATTCTACCAAGGAGACGACTGCAGACAAAAAGGCACGTCATCTCCACATTGAGTTAACCACATTGAAAGCGCTTTATCGGAGTTCGCAGCATATGAAGCATGGGTGTACTCGCACTTCAAGCCTGGCTTCGCTCAATTCATGCCTTGCTTTCGCTCAATTCAAGCCTAGCTTTCGTAATAACATCATTTCACGCGTCTAGACTTTGCAATACTTAAGCACTCGGCGAAAGCCTTGCATAATTGGATACCTGCTTTTGCAGATACATTGCCTGGAATGGCAGTATTGACGTGAGATGGTCTGAAGCCCCATGTCAAGGTTCACATCAGAATTTGAGCATATTCATACGAGACTTTGCGGATCACTTGGACACGCTTAGCCTCTGCAGTAGCATCAGGTCTGTCATCTAAACTTCGCAGCTCAACTCGAACGCATTGACTGAACCGAGGAGCTGAGGCCAAGGAAAGATGCCACGGAAAAGTAACTCAAGGCATCAAGCAGATACGCACGTATTACAAAGTAACAAAGAATTCTCCAGCGTCTTTTTCGTCGGTGGAACATGTCGGCAACTGGAGCAGAGTGTGCTCCACGCTCGAGTGCATCGCACTTGGCCTCGTAAAAATTAATTCGGTCAATCAATTCAAGCCAATACATGCATTTCCAACCGACGACGTCACGATCTCCTGGTTGTATCGATTTCACACGGTCTCCTCTCAAATGCATCATCAGTGCAAGCTGTGCTGCCTTACTCGTCGTCCTCCTCATAGTCCACCGTCAAATCATCCATGCCCGCAAACAACTCGTCACGCGTCAAGCGCGCTCCTTTACTCTTCATCTCTTTCTCATGATGGTGCATATCATCCTCTTTCTTTGACCGATTTAGTTTGCCTTCTTCGGCAGCTTCCTCCAGACGGTTGTCACTTTCAGCACGGCGGGTGAACGAACGACGCGGAGAATGCACATTTGACTTTCTCCCAGTCGAAACAGAATGGTGGTCTCGACTCACCGGAGACGTGGCCATTGAACGTTCCGCTCGAGACAAGCGCTTGTCTCGTAGGTCGCGATGGCCACGGCGACCTTTTTCATCCCGACTTCGATCGCGGTGTGAGTGATGACGTCGCTCGTAACGACTCGGTACACGATGCATGCGATCGATCATCTCCGAACCAAACTCGTCACGGCCAGGTGGGCCAACAGATCCCGGGTTGAAAGAACTCTCCAGCTGCGGCGACGATGGTGGTAAAAGCGCGGAAGTACGCTCACGGGGTAAAAACTCTTCGCGGTATTCGCGGCTGTACGATTTACGTTGCACTTGCGGAGGCTGACCAGGCGAAGGCGAGCGCCGACTATCGCGCACAGGAGGAGACACCGAACGATGGAAAGCAGGAGGTGGAAGGGGAGAAAGCGACCGGCCCTTCGGTGGCGGTAAGTCGTGACCGTACATTGCCCCACTTCGGCCACCCTTGTAAGCCTGTTGGCCATGATACCGGTCGCCGCGACCACGACCTCCGCCTCGCCCACCTCCACGGCCTGTACCATAACGGCTCGAATTTCCATCGTGGAAGTCACGGCGACTTTGCTGTTGCTGCTGGAAAAATCGCTGGCGCTCTTGCTGTTCATCACGGGCAACCTCAGCAACAGAGCGGTCGTCCGCGTAGCGTGCGCGTTCGGTCTGTACAGACTGATGTCCATCAGGTACCTCATTTCTGAGCGAACGTTCATCACGTCCACTGAATCGTGGATTCGAGACGACACCCAGCCTCACATCATCGTGAGGCGACCGCGACCGCGATCGAAGGTGGGCTTTTGATGGCCCAGACGCGTACTTCCCGAACCGTGGTGGACTCAGGCTATGTGGCAAATCCAGAACGCCACCAGCCAGAGCTGGGGGGTGCTCCCTACCGCGACCCTCCTGTGAACCATCTACACGCCGGTGCGTGACACGGCCACCTTCAACATGGCCACCGCGTTTGTAGTTACTTGTACGCCGACTTCCACGATCACCGATTCGACTGTGTCTCGGCGAGGAGGAAGGGGAAGGCGATGCACCGCGGAAGTTGGTTCTACCACGACCAACCTCTCGGGATCCACGCTGGTCACGCGGACTTTCAGCGTAACGAGGCTCCATCCAAGGACTCTCGCGCTCCCGGGGTCGTCCACGCAGTTCGTCAGCAGAGATAGGACTTCCATGACTTCGGACATCCACTGGGGAAGGCGAACGGCGCCCGAACTTACTACGAAATTCACGGCGCTTTGCCTGATGAAAAGGGACGTCATACCCACCACCATCATGTAGTGCGTGCTTCTTCGACATCGGCACAGGGGACCGAGAACGAGAGCGCTGTAGCCGATAATCGATCGGCGGATTGCCTAGTCCGCCCATTGACGAAGCGTAACGACTGCCACCGCTACGGAGCTCAGGTGAGCGAGACCGCGACGATACACGTACACCCCCACGGCCGCTGGGAGGCGGACTGTGGCTGCGCTCACCGTACTTTGACGAGGTAACTCGATGATGTCCACGACGTCCACCTGAATCAATCATCACGTCTTCGTCTTTCATAAACTGGTGATTCTTACGGCCGCGATAAGCTGAATCTCCTCCGACTACGCCACAAGTTATTACAAAATAGCGAAGGCAAGTCAGAATCACTGCGCCGATACAAAATAACACGAGAGCCAACACACTGCAGACATCTTACCAAGTCGTCCGGACTTCAAAGTAAATCCTTGCTTGCTGTGCACATTGGATCCACGGCGTGTTGAATCAATCGCAAATTGCTCCTTCGTATCATACACAGGGTAAATCTCGTATCCCTTCACCGTGAACAGTTGCTTGCGGACAGCTGCCTTGGCGTGCTCCGAGCTGCGAAATCGTACACATCCGATCTCAGCAAATGCCAATGGACCAAAGCTCTCCAGCTGCTGGCACAGCACATCCCAAACGTCCGGCTCGCACTTGGAAAAGTCAAAGTCACGAACAGCTCCCTTGTCTTCCATACTCACATCGTCACCCGTTCGCTCTACAAAAAGCAACGTGTCCACCGGTGGTCCACGAGCAAAATTCGCATTCAAGAACGAGCGGCCGCGAAACTTATTTGCAGCTACGTAATGAATGGCTTCGCGCGCATGTTCAATGGATGGCATGCTCACAAACGCATAAGCTGTTGCATTGTGGTCGGGCTGTTTGATCTGCACACTCATGCTGTCGATTGCCGGCCAAACAGGTGCTAAAAATTCCACAACCTCTTCGTTTGGCGTATGCCGAGGCACGCTACCCAGAAACAGGTAAGGGCATGGCGGGCAGTTGCGTGGTGAAAATGCATTGATTTTCGAGCGTCGCCCTTCGCTCTCACCAAAACGTCCCCTGGACGCCGTCTTCTTCCAAGTATCTAGCGATGCATCGCCACTGCTCACTTCACGATTCAGCTGTACGATCTTCCCCTCCTTGTTCGTACTCATCGAGATTGGCACATGCTGTGCATCATTCTCCTCAAGTTCCGCTTCCTTTTCCACCAACGTCGGTCCAGAGTTGTCTCCCGCATCCTCTTCTTCCTGCAACTGCTTGGTCGACTCCCGAGGCGACAAATCCCTGTCCTGTCCACTCGGATCAGCGCTAGCCTCCAGTGTAGCAGCATTGGTACTAGCACTTGGACTCGTGCTGCTTTCTGGTACATCCGAGACCGTCGGAAGCCGCTCCGCGAGCGCCTGCCGCAATGGCGTCACCTGTCGCAAAATCACCGCCGACTTCTCCGTGTCCAGCATGTGCTGCACGGCCTCGTTGATGTTCTGCATCCACAAGAGCGTGTTCTTGCGGGCAATACACGCCGCAGCCGTGGGCGTCGACGCGGCAGCGGCCGCGGGTGGCGTCTTGACGATCTGCAGCAGCGCGCGCAGCGTGTGGATGCGCACGGCCTGCGACCGCGCGGGGCCGCAGAGCTGGAGCAGCATGGCCACCACGTTGATCTGCACGTGCGGGAAGCGGAAAAAGTGTTTGTGCAGCAGCTGAGCGGCCAGACTCAGCACCACGTCGCTCGCGTCTGCGCTGGCCGTGTGGATCATCTGCTCGTACGCGTCCTCGGCCCTGTCCTCGTCACGCTGCGGGTCGTCAGACGTCAGGGCCGAGTCGTCTTCAATGACCGAGTCCCACGCGTAGAGCTCGCCCAGCACGTCCTCGGCAGCGGGGGCCATGTTTGTTGTCGGGCTGCTCAAATGGCTGATAGCTGATTGGTGGATTAGTGGATTGGCTCCCTGTTCGGCGGTCTGATTGGTGGATAAACGCGGTCAGATACGTGACGGCTGTGGCGTGGGTCGCAAATTCCCGTTTGGAAAAAGACCCGGTCTCGATCTCGATCCCCCCCCTCCCCCTTCGTCCTCGTCCATGCATTTTCGGGTTGAGCGTCATGTGGTGCACATCAGAACTGAACAGTCTTTCCAAGACGACAACCACAGGGTCTCGCTCGGTCTTGCGGGATGACAGCAACGACTTGATGTCGGCACCTGTTGAAGCTGAAGCTCCTGTTGACTATAGCGACGTATGCTGGATGTGGACAAGAGAGTGAAAGCGAAGAGGAACATGGAGGTCGTAGGAGGTAGAGCAGTCGCTTCTCTGCTTGAAGGTGGGCAAGCTTTAGCACTGGTACAAAGGGGTTGATACATATAAATTGCTGGCACCAAGTACATGAAGACTGTAGACGTACCTGGCTATAGCCGTTCAAGTGTTTGTCGGTACGTCCATTTTTGAGTGAACCCATCGGGCTGAAGAGGAAGTGGGTCATGAGCGAGGACTTTATGATGTGCTCGAAGCTCGGGGATACGTGACACGGACAAGTGCTACTCCGGCTTTTTATCTGCAGTAGCTTTTCGAGGAGCTGCACCGACGACGTTTCATGTCATTTCGATCGGTCATGGAGGTCTTCCTGCCTTTCACGCTGCCCAGATCTTCAAACGGTACAAAAAGAGAGACGATGAACCCCCGAACGAGAACAGCGATCACGCATGGTTTTCTCGTTGCTTTGGTGCTTTCAGTAAGCGGCGCGTTGGCTAAGCGCCAGATATGTTCATGATGTCACAGCGTTTTTTACAGTGGCTTGGAAACAACCAGTGGGCGCCTTGTGCTGCTTTTGTGCATAAAAAACGGCTGCGATGACGCGGGTTCTTGAGTTCGGTAGCGACATCTCAACCCCGGCTGTTCATTCGACTTTCCAGCGACGTTCCCTGCCACGGTGAACCCTCGCGCATGCTACACACACGTTCTGCTGAATGGTCCGACAGCTTGGCCCAGAAACCTGCACGGCAGTTCGCTGTACGACTCCTGCATCGGGTATCTGCCACCTTGATGGCGTCTTTTGCGGCAGCTACGACTCAGTCACTATCAGGAATCGTCTACTGAAGCCGTGCTCGGCTATTGACAATTGTGAACGCCCCTCAGCATTTGCTTTGCGTGACGTCAGTGTTGAGGCCACAAAGCAGTGAAGAGAGTTATAAGTGGAGGTCAGTGTGCACAATGACATCGTCAGCTCTCCATTAAAGATGTGGTGGACCGCAGTAAACCCAAGCAGCAGAGAAACCGTGTGTCATGCGTCGCGTGTGCAGGTTAGACTCGTAAGACTGTTTGCATCAAGATCCAGGCGAGCTGGATTCTCGTCCAGCGTCCCAATACGAGCGAAGACGACAAATGGGTAGCAAGTGAGCATGCAGTCCTCAGGTGAAAGCTCCCGAGGCGCTGCCTACATTGTCACAGGCCCTAGTCCCAACTCAAAAAGTGATGTGGTTGCCGTCGTCACCTGCTTTATAAGGCATTGTGTGTCGATGAGGTGGACATTTCATGCCAGATACTTGCCTTGTTTTGCCATGGCCACGTCGTGTCACACTCCCTGCATGACGGCAAATATCGTCGGTAGAAGTACTGTCGCTAGAAGAACCGTCGTGTAAATCTTCTAGACACACTGACAACGACAAACTAAAGTAGCAGCGGTACATTTACGCGCAAATAGTGTCGATTCTTGACAGCACCACCTCCCGCAATTCGCTTCTACCAACAAAATGACGTCAAAGTGATCGGATGGTACTGAACAGCAACGTCATCTGCACTCAATTCTCCATGAGGTTCTGGATGTCCGCGCGACTTTGCTCTTTGGCTGGCAGTTCCTGGAAGCGCGTGTCCATCTCATCGATACGTCCCACCTTTTTGAGCGCATCAAGTTCCAACGCAACGTCTAGTGGCATCCCAGCGTCTTTAGATGCACGATGGAGGTCAAAAATATCCAACACGGACGGGTACTGCTCATAGTCCTGCAGGATCGTCACGACTTTTTGGCGCACTGTGTGACTCAACGGCAACGACGCGTAGGCCTCGATGGCCTCGGCGAAACGTCCACGGAAGCAAAATTCGTTGACGACTGTCGAGGCGATATGCAACGGAACCCAGTCCCACTCCTTGGTATCACTCAAGATGGACGTCTTGTCCCCGCTCAGGTCCTTCTTCTTTCGGGCGCCGTCGTCGCCTCCTTTCTCCTCGTGCTCTCGAACCTCCTCTTCGATCTCTCCTTCCTCTCCTTCTGCCATACCGGGTCTTTGCACAGCTCCTAGAAGCTCTTTGTGATGCTTGTACGCCAGCAAATACGCCCGCATAGGAGCTCCTGATAGAAAAAATTGGCGGCGGTAATACTGCTGCCACGCGGGACCTCGGGCCATGTTGGCGTGCGGCTCCAGCGCCGTGAACACAGCAGTAGCGATCTCCGGGTCACTCTTGAGTTGCTGGAACGTCCATTGAACCAAAGGCGAGAGTTGATGCACTTGCTGCGGGGCAAACAGCGTCTTATAAGGCAGCGGCCGGATCGCCTCGGCCGAGAGCACTTGCTGGACGTCCTTGTGGTCCACCAGCAGGTACTTGAGCACGCGCTTTGTCACGGAGGACACTGGCAGGAGCTCCTCCTTCTCCCGACATAGGGATTCAAACGGGACGCCCTGGCTGTGAGCACCCGAGAAGCAGCGACGTCCAGCGAGACGGACGAGCGCGAGAGCCATTCAAAGTCGCGTTGTGTTTGGTTGAGAGGGGGTGATCCATACAAACGTCAAGTCATGTCGGCAGCTGGACAATCGCGTGTGTTTGTAGTTTTGTTGATGGAACTCAGTCGAGAAATGGGTCTCTGTGGCCAGAGTTTTGGTGACAATGCCTGCTAAATCGGCCCTAAAACAACCGGTGCTGCGAATGTGAGGTCATTCATCCCAGGTACAAACACTGGAAAGAAGGCACGTGTCTGTCTGACTTTGACAAGGCGATTTTACTCTGTGTTTGTATCATTGAACGTACAAGCTCCAAGAAGGCGCGACGTGATCTCGAATTGCTGGAAATGTATGGCATTTGGGCGTCGAGGCTTTGATCCTGGATGGCTTGAGCAGCAGAAGTCTAGTGCGCGGCCTTCGAGCGACTCCAGTTGTGAGGACGAACTGGTTTGCTACCGTTTAAGAGCAGCAGGTTCGTGGGTTTGAGCAACCTGCAGACGTCTCGCCGCTCACACACACAGGTTCTGCAAACAAGTGCCTCCATCAGCATGATCGTAAGGCACCTGTGCATCGAGGAGCCGCTTCAGCATCGCTTGACGCCATGAGTTGCTGGTAGGTGAAAAGGCAGCTTTCGTTTGAAGGTGATTGTAGTGCGATTACCGTAAGCGCATGAGAACGCAGGAGGGTGAGTGTGATACACTTCGTTCTCTTCCGCCAGCTCTACGTCGACGTGGTAGGACCGAAAGCTTCACACCTCCCGCAGCTGGCCGTTCAAATCACACGATATAATCCCCGCAACTGCTTGACCGTGAGCTTTTTCCCGGGAGCATATGACCGGTACGAGTCCCGCATTCACGGGCTTCTTTACTCGAAACGCGACTTGTTGCAGCTTCATGAGCTCGTGTTTGTTCAAGCAGGACAAGACCAACCGCCGATCCATGCAGTGCAGCTGTAGCTGTCAAGAAAGAGACCTTGGTCAACTCGTTACGGACGCAGCTTCTTGACCTGCGCCGGCAGTAAGTCGGAATTGAAGCGAGTCTCGATAATCTTGCACGTATCCAAGGAAGTGAGGCCGCTTCAGTCGCATTGACGACGTCGAGCTGGTCGTTTCGTGATGCCAGCACCACGAGTATGCCCTCGACGTAATTGCGTCGCACTCGTTACTTGACTTGCCTCCACTTGTTTCTTGCTACGTGGTGGTCAAACTCGTAGTCGACTAAGACATGAGACGACGGACAGGGAACAAACAAACGCGGTCGGTGCATTCGAACGCACTGGAGGGAAGAGGCAGTGGACGCTGCCTGTTTTCTAGCAACGAGCGACAATTCACGCTGCTCGGTCCAGAGATACCCAGTTGTGCTGTGGCGTACGCCTTGCTATCCGTTGGGTGCAGCAAGTCGCAGGTGCTCAATCCCGTCCGAGCGTCAATCTATCTGTCTGGCAGGCATTCGCCAGCAGTAGTAGAACAACTTCACGGATGGAGTCCGTGCGGCGGCTCTACTTGAAGCTCAAGCAGCTCTGAACCCGTATGTATGTGTTTACCAGACCTTCATGATGCAATCAACCTAAAGTGTGTGTGGTGTATCCCTTGCCAGCGTGTCCTCTAGCGTCCTCCATGCACGCGTAACATCCAACAAGCACTTCACAACAAGTTGCTTGCTGACTCGGTACTTTTGCATCTCGTGCCCTTGCGTGATGACCTCCTTACGTCAGCGTCCACGTACCATTCCGTGCAAGCCTAAAGCGCCACCCAACTGCCAGTAGCATCGAAACGCGTAGACCTCATCCATCCTCTTTCCTCACACAACACCGACACACTCGAGCGGTTCCAATAGTGGGCACCAGCCTGCTAAAAACTCACGTTTGTCGACATATCCTGCCGCCGACGTCCTGACGAGTCGGGGTGCGATCCAGAAGTTCTCTCCAAAGGCTGTAGCAGGAAAACCCGATCGGTCGGTCTGCTTCATGCATCGACGCTGTACATTAACACAGTCCAGAGAACACGAGGAGGTGGTCGAATCGGGTGGTTACCTCCGTCGAAATGCAGTGCAGTACAAAGGGCATCCTGGCGGATGGATGTCCGTCCGTCCGTCCATGTCGTGGCTCCTTTTGTCACCCAGCTGGTCGCCGAGAGAATCCCGTTCACCGCTTTGCTCACTTGACGAAAGTCCCATCCGTCGAAACAGCAGGTGCCCGACACTTGCGCCCTCTGCGTGGACGTGTCCGTGGGTCTCTCTCTCTCTCTCTCTCTCTCTCTCTCTCTCTGTGTGTGTTCCGACTCCCCAGCTCCAGCCTCGCGCTGCATAAATCGAAGACCGAGCCGAGCGGACGATAGGCGACAGACCTCCACCGGAACGGGGTCAAGCCACTGACGCACGTCCAGCAGCGCCGTGTTCGAGACGTCCCAAAGGCTGTCGAAACAGCAGTCACTGACTCACTCTCGAGTCACTCACTACAACAGGCACCAGTAGCGCTGCGGTACGATCAATCACCGCTCCGGATGAGGAGCGCGGCTGCTGTCCTTGGTCTGGCTCTTGGCGTCTCGTCCCAGAGCACGGCGGGGCGATCGAGTGAAGCTGCCGCGTGTGACGCACAGGGAGCTCAACCTGTCCATGTGGTGGGCGTGGGTGGGACTTTCTGCGTCCAGGTGCGGCCGTGTGAAGGGGTCGTGTTCGGTGAGGGGTTCTCGTGTCCCTTGATGGGTCAGCGAGACGTCTTGGGGGAGACGGAGCTCCCGACGGACAGTTGCTGTGCGGTGGTGGACAGCGACAGCGGGGCACTGGGCTGTGTCCTTGTGAGAGAAGGAGAAGCGGGTGACGCCGTGTGTCTCTGGTCGCGAGTAGAGGAAGGCGCTCGTGTTAGTCAAAGGAGGAGGAGAAGGTGGAGGTTTCCTGCAGACGCAACGAGGACGGATGACGTGACAGGGACAAGAGGTGAAGCGTTTGAAGCTACGGATGCTGCACCTCCTGCGGTTTCCTTGTCAATGGCGACACTTCCAGAGGCTGCGGAAGACCGTGCATTAGAACCGGAGACAGGGGACCAAGTAGCTTCAGCTGTGGGTTTGACGGTAGCACCAGTGGTAACCAGTACCATTTCAACAGTCACGACAGCTACTGCTCCTGTGGTTACGACGACGCCGGCTACTGTGGCCGCGACAACTTACACTCCAGCGGGACCGAACAGTGGTGAGGTTACAGTGGCTACAGTAGGGACGACGGCTTCTCCAGGTACTATACTAGCTGCCACGTCCGATCCAGTGGCTTCAGCTCCAGTCGCTGCTTCAGCAATTCCAATGCTGACGATTCCAGCGCCATCAGTGGTGACTTCTACGACTCCGGCAATCAATCCGGCTGCTATTGCAACTGTGCCCGAACCAAAGTCGTTCAGCGGAGTATCACCTGTTCCAGTGACGTCGCTACCAGAACTGAGCTCCATGTCAGACTCAATTGATGAGATAGTTCAGCCAGAATTGAGCTCGATGTCAGACTCCGCCGATGTGATGATTCTACCTGATTTGAGCTCGATGTCGGGATCGACTGACGTGGTGATTCTTCCAGAATTGAGCTCGATGTCGGGTTCGACCGATGCAGATTTGGTGCTGACACCTACTTCGAGTCCAAGCCCAGCGACACTGCCTCCATTTACAGCAATGCTTTCATCACAGTCAGGGTCGGGCCTTGCTGGTGTACCAACGGTCATATCGACGGTAAATGCAACGAGCATGCAGCCGTCAACGACACCACCATCCCCGACGCCAGTTCTAGAGCGAAATAGCACAACGCCAACACCACCACCACCGACCCTTATCGTATCAGGATCCTCTTCTGGCTCTGATGACAGCGACGATTCTGGATCGTTTCCGGAAGGTTCGATTGCTAGTACGCCTCGGCCGGGTTTTGCGATAATGTCTATGGAGTTTTCATCGAGTGGAAGTGGAGACTACCCGGAGATAGAGTCGACGTCGGTGCCAGCTGAGACCACCGGGTCGGTCGACGGATCGAGAGCTGCAGCTGTAAGCGCGAATGTGAACGACAGCTCGGTTTCACCACCATGGTTGGTTGATGAAGGTTTGGAGTCGGACGCTAGCTCGGCAAGTATTGACGTCAGTGATTCCTGGTCGCCAACAAGCAAGTCGCGAGGGGCTGACAGTCTGGACAACGGGGACAGCAGCGCGGAGTCGCTCTCTGGAGAAGTTGGGAGGCCCGGCTCGTCTTCGTCGGGGTCCGGTTTCTTACCTCCGTTGTCAACGACTCCACCGTTATTGTTTCCCTCGTCTGGTTCATTGAAGACCGCACACCTCCCGCCAAGTGAATCTGCTTCGCCGAACGGTGTTTTGGTATTAGCACCGATCATGGACCATGGCGGGGACAGTGTCAACCCGCCGATTAGTGGTGGTAGCCAATTTCCAGTCAATGGTGAGGAAATTCGGGGGAGTGATGAAAGCAGCGCAGCGGACACACAGACGATCATGTTTATTATCATAGGGTGCATCGTCGCAGCAGCTTTGGTGTTCGGGGCTGTATGGCTTCGTCCAAAGCGTGCAAGTTCCGTCGACATTAGCAATCTGCGCGAGCCTCCGGAACCGATGGATACATCGTATCTGTACGTCGAGTCGGAACCTGCTGGTCCGTATGATGCTTCAAGTACACCACGGGTGATAAATGGGTATGATCGAATGGACGTGAGAGGCAGCAACGAGTACTTTAGCGCATAGCACTAGCACATCGCTTTTGAACACATACTAGATTAGGGCGTAGCAATAATAGTAATAATAATAAAGCGAGCGAGCGAGCTCAACTGCACACGCGCACATGTAGCAAAAGGTGTGTTTGATTAACGTGGCCAGCCCTGTTTTCAAGCTAAACAACGTCAGTAGTACACGATACCGCTGTGTCTCTGGATTTCACAAAAGCCTATCAATCACAACATGCGTGAGGCACAGCAGTGTTAGGAAGCAAAGCATCTGCAGCGATTGAGAGAGCCGTCAACGTACGGTGTTTGAAGAAATCATAGCTTGAAGCCGCATCAAAACCCGACTTCTCCACCACGAAACTCTCACGACACGACATCGGCCTCTCACGCAGTAGGGGACCCGTCGTACGCTGACAAGACCCCGGTACAATCTCCTGACCACTTGCTTCGCCAAACTTGCCTTGTTCCGACGCCGTAGTTGCATCACCAGCCTGTTCACCGGAATCAGCTACGACGGGGCACGCCACGTCACCTACTACAATACACGGTGCCGCTTCCTTCACCGATAAGAGCACCGAACGACACACATCAACGTCTGCCTTTGCAGCCTCGTCCTTCAGTGTCTCTCCACCGTCTTCTCTAGCACAAAGCTGCTCGTGTTCCACATGTGCTCGATGTCCAGTCCTTCTCTTCTCCTTCGCTGCTCTGCGTCGCTGTTTCTGCTTAAGTTTGTACTTCTGCCGCTGCGTCCCACGCGTCGATGCTGTCGTTTCGACTCCAACCTGGTCGTCCCTCATCTCCTCAGCCAGCGTCGCAGGACGAGCCAAGTCCGCTCTTTCCGTCTCGTGCACGACTTCCTCCCGTGCCTTGTCCACTCGCCACTCTATTGACGGCATCACACCACTAGAATACGGCAGAAAGACCGTCTCGTCCTCCGATCCGCTCTGCGTCTCCTGACTAGACAGCCCCGCTGCAAACGACGACGACACGTCACGTGCCGCTGCGTCCACTTGCTTCGTCTTGGTCACCTTCCGCAGCGTCTCAGCGTCTTCCTTACAGCCGCGTTGCTGCAGCTGTCCCAGCGTCACCGCGAGTGCGGCAGGAGTCGACTGCTGCATGGCCTTGGCTTTCCACAACACCTGCTGGAGCACCATTGGCTGCTGATTTTGCTTCTGTTGCCTGAAGCGTCTGGACTTGGGTCGGAAGCGACGACCTGCTGGGGATCGGCGACATGGTCTGCTATCCAGCAGCTCCTGCGCAAGAGGTTGGGGCTGGATAGGCGCAGGGTGCGGCCTTTTCGGCTGGTGCTTGGACGCAGGAGGCGACGGCGTGGAAGCTTGTGGCTGCTGCTTGTCGACGGGCAGCGGGACCTTGCGGCGGTAGCGCAGGGCGCCAGTGGACGCGGTTGACGGCAGCTCTTGACGCACGCGTGTCGTCTTCATGGCAAATGGGCAAATGAGCTACTGACCGAGTGAGACCGAGTCAAAAGAGAGGGTCGGATCGCCTGCGTGGCATCGCGTGCAAAAAGCGCCGAGAAAACCGAGCGATACAAAGTTCAAGTGGAAAAAAATGGGCACCTGTCAGGCAGGGATTTGGTCCTTTTCGTCGTCAATGAGTACAGTGGACGACGACGACGACGACGACACGCATGCAGATGTGACGATACGCGGCTCGTGAGGTCGAACAAAAGTACGAATTTGGCATTTCAAAATGGAGAGAAGAAGAAAAAAGAGAACCGGCAATAGAACGACACGAGCGACTTGACTTGACTTGACGTGTCCGCCAACATCTGCTGCAACAAACACAGCGCGCAAGGGACAACGCCACGCGCTTCCTTCGTCTGCTCAGTTCTCCTCGGTCAGCACGTTGAGCACAACGTTGAGGTCGCCGCCACTCTTCTCCAGGACGTCGATAATGCGCGTCGGGTGGACGTTTGGAAGGATGCCACTCACGATCGACAGCTGCTCGGCCCACTTGACTTCGACCTCCGAGAACGCCACAGACGACGCAATCGACGGCGTCTCCTCCATCTCCTGAGCCAGTGGAGCTGGAACCACCTCCTCCTCCATACAGACAACAGGTGGCGCAGGAGGTGCCACCTCGGCCTGCACCTTGTGCTCTGGTTCAGGCACTTCTACCTGCACCACAGGCACAGCAGCTGTCGCCTCGCCTGCCTTCTTCTCTGGAATGAAGCGGTTGATCTGGCCCACAAGGCCCTGTGCAAAGCTAGAGAAGCCGCTAGCCGCTGTCTTGGGCGAGTCTGCAGTGTCACGCATGGTCTGATCCAGTGGCATGCTCCTGTCCGGCGCAGCGCTCGACGCAAAGTGCGCGTCAAGCTTGAGCTTCTCGAGCGTCACGGCCAGCGCCTGCATGAGCTGCTCCACGGACGCGACCAGAGGATCCGTGACCTGCTCTTGGAACTCCACTTGACGTCTCGTAAGGGCCGAGAACTTGAGCGATTGCTGGGCGCCTTGAAAGACCCGCACGGCTTCGGATAGATCCGCGTCGGTGACTACGTTGATACAATCGCCCTCAGGGTCGCGGTACTGCACCACAAAGTGCCCCAAGGGCAGACGAAACGTCTGGGCCATGATCTGCGTGAGCTCCAGCAGCGAGAAGCTGCGCAGTTCCACGCGCGAGCGGTGGATGTCCCCGTTAAATGCGATCTTGAGCGCCACTTGCTGCTGCGTCGTCGATGCCATGAGAAATTCCAGTTGAGGGGTTCAGAGAAAATACGGAAGTGGCGAGATTAGTGGAGAAAGTCAGTGCAGGGATAGGGGAAGAAGAGGAGGGGATGCTTTTGTACAGATGCCAACAATGAGAGCGTTTCGACTGCCGCGAAAAAAAAGAGGTATTTTGTTAAAATGTGTTATTCACGGAGAAAAGGCGCTGGTTTCTATTCATTGGGATAGGTGACTCATTGATGTGGGACACCGTTAGAAATGCGAGGTGACACCGTTGGAAATGCGAGGTGACACCTCCATCGACTTTTGTGTGTGCTCGACGTACCACATTTCCAAGCACATCCTAGCTTGCTTGCCGAATGAAAACCTGCAAAAGGGTCCTTGTTTCTTATTTTTCACGGTAGCGATGTTCACCTAGCAAAACAACAGCAGAGACTTCGTGATGTACACACTATCCAGCGTTCGCTCCGTGGAACATAAACGCGGGAGATGTCCTTCCTCTCGTCATCAGGAAGAATGTAAAGGTTGGCCGTCCTTAACCGTGAGGCAATTGTCGTTGCCGATTAGTCGCATTCTTGTCTCGTGCAACTATTAGCTGTTAGATTGTAGGGTGCCATCAATGAGTAAAAAGGCAATCATCGATCGATCAAGAGACGAGGACATGGTCGCCTGTGAACGGGTAACATAACGGGGTTAGACGCGGTTGTTGAACCGATTATGTTGTGTGTCCACGCCAAGTAAAGATCGGTGGATCTGAGTGGTACAGTCTTGGTACCACGTACTTACGGTAATACCGCACCTTATCGGTCAGGGATAAGGGATAAGACTTCTGTCAAAGGATCGCAATATAGAAGTCAGTCGGACAAGGTTTTAGGGTTTTAGTACCGTAGTTGAAGAATCAATAAAGTTCGGTTCCCCTTTTGAACCGTTGGACACAAGTGCTTAGTCCAGGCATAGTGTGTTGTTTAATGTTAGCATTGTAAAGGTGCTTACTTTTGTTTAACTAGTATTCTCTAGTTAGTGTGTGATTCTGTGAATCGCAATCCCTTTGGAACCGGGATTGTTAAGCTTGTACGCTCAACGACTGTACGTCGTTGTTGATTTGCTATAACGAACAGACTAATTGAGTCCAAGACTTCCTCTGGTAAGGGGCGGTAAGTAGATTCGCTATACTTGGTAGCACTTGTAGTCAATTTACACCTGAGTCTTCACAGACTAAATCCTCTGCGAGGACAGAAACGGCCATGAACCTCTCTGAGGCCCAGCAGATCACGCTTATGAAGATCAAGGCGATTATCGGGCAGGAGCAAGTGGCTCTTGTAATGGCTCAAGGCCCGGATGGACTTCGTGCATGTCTCCTAGCCTTCTCGAGCTTTGAGTCCATGTTGATTGGACAGGTCCACGACCATTTGACATCTGCCATGCCCGCTCAGTAGGTTCCAATACCGGACACCGAGTCAAAGACTCTTTTTCTAGTTTATAGTAAGTTCCCAGACTTTCGAGGGAAAAGAGGTGGAAATCTCTTTTTGTGTGGGTTCGAGATACAGAGGTTGCCATCAATTGGGTCTTGCTGCGGTTAAAACAGCAGAAGTGGGCCTAGTCCTATCAAAGATAGGTGGCCGAGCCAGGGAGTGGTCCTTCACTTCTGTAACCTCGGTAGAAGAGGCTTTTCCCACCTGAGACATGGTAAAACAGCAGATATCTCGAGTGCTTGTCCCGTCTAATCCGTCATATCGCGTGCAGTCACGCTTCCTGTCAATTTGCCAGGGTAAAAAGGACTTAGTCGATTATGTTCAGGAGTTGCGAACGTTCATTTCTGCTATGCGGCTTAACCTTTCACTTAGAACAATATTAGTAATGAGTTTTATAGAGGGTCTTTGCACTGGCGTTGCCAGAACAGGAGTGTTTCGTGTATAACCCTCAACATTTGAGGGTGCAGTGGACATAGCGTTGAACGCAGAGTTCAAATTTAAAGCTGCTCGCTACGGGACTCATGGGTTCCAACTAAACTCGTCGAGCAGTGCTCATCTCATGGATAGGGCAGAACCTATGGACCTTGTCTCGCTGAGAGAGACGAAGAAGCTGAGCTTTACGCTGTCGAAAGCGTTCAAATAACCTTATGTGTTTTGTGTGCGGAAGTATCAAACACCTTCGTCCCAGTTGTCCTTTGAGAAGGACCAGACGGGCTCATTCGATCCTAAATCCCGTCGCTAACCAACGTGTCGGTAAAGCGCGGGAAAACGTTGAGTACCAGTAGGTGCGGGCGCCCTGCAGGGGAGGATTTTGACTCCGTCGTTCCTCTGGGAGGTGATGGTGAATAGGTCCTAGCCCCAAGTGGCTTCTTGAGCATTATCACGAAGCGTGAGTACAATCCAGGCTTGTTACTTGCGAAAGAAACGGTGAAGGGATTTGAAAAGCCGTGGTCGAAACTGATCGACTCCGGGGCGTCGGGAAATTGCGTCCGGCTTTGCTTCCCGGAAGTTAGTTAGCAGTATGCTGAGGCGCTTAAAGCGAAAGAATGAGACCATCACTGTTCACTTGTCGACAGGTGCATTAGTCACTGTGCCTAAAGTTCCTGTGGGCTTAGGCGTGAAGTTTATGGACTTTGACAGTATGGAACGCTGTCTAGTCCTTGACTTGGATGAGAGGGATGATCGCATCCTTGGTAAATGGCTTGGCAAGAATGCCATGATCCATGGATTGATTGGAGGTCAAAGGAGCAACGCGCACTGTTTCTAGTGGAGCTTTGGATAGTCATGAGCTTACCTCTTCTAGGAGACAGAAACGCTATTGGCGCGAGCCACGGACTGAGACAGTAAGTGTGCTGGACATCGGTATGGCTAGCTCATTGAGTTGGACGATGTCAAAATACGTTAGGGGCGAGTCAATCTCAATGATTAAAAAAGTGATACGGCACGTACTCCGTCGAGTGATAATCGTAGTGATAACGGATTAATGAATGATGAATGCATCAATGGCCTAGAGCCTAGTCATCATGGGTTGAATCAATTTGATGAGCGTAAAGTAGCACGTAAGTGCCCACTGAATGGTGATCTCACTGGGAGTGACTCGTCACCAGACGCCGGTATTGACATCGTACGTGATACAGATCAAATTAAGGTTGACGCAGTTTTTCACCATTGGGTAAAGTGTAGTCCAGATTTCGGCAGTGACATCGGTCCTGATATTGGTCAAATTAAGGCTGATGCAGTTTGTCACCTTGCGGAAAGTATAGTCCAGGATATCGGCTTTGACATTGACCCTGATTATGAGAAAATAAAGGTTGACGCACTCCGTCATCTTGCTAGAGGTATATTCCAGGATGTCTGTAATGCCATCGGCTCTGGTAATGTGCAAACTAAGGTTGACGGTCATGTCAATCTTGGGGACATTGATGTTCCGGGTGTCGGTAATGACACTAGCTCTTGTACGGAGCAAGTTAGGGATGATGATGCAATCAGCCTTGGAAAACAAGATAGTTCCAGTCTCTTTGAGACGTTTCATTCTCTTATCAGAGACGACAGCGACGTTAGAGTGATGTTATGCATCGTAAGGCGTCTGTTACGTCAGTGGGTGATACTAGAGAGCAGCTAAATACACTCGTAAATGAAGTAAAAGGTGACGTTGATGCATCAGTGAGTCTCGAGACTCTACCCTCACTGAATACTCTGTCAGAGCTAGATGAAATGTTGGTCGATGAGTTTGGCCTGACCTCGAAGTCGGGTGACTTATCTGAAGTGATGTTCATAAGATCCGATAGTGAGTTGAACTCGTCGTCGCTTCTTGACGAGGATTTTTTGGAAGATACAAAGGCGGCACTGAGTGCTCGAAGTGCATCATCAACATCGATCGATCGTGGAAGATCCCCCCATTCATCCTTTGGCTAAGAAATTTCAGGATGTGGTGTGTCACAATCCACTTTCCACTCAAGAAATTTCAGGATGTGGTGTGTCACAGTCCACTTTCCAATACATCCTTTGGCCAAGAAATTTCAGGATGTGGTGTGTCACAATCCACTTTCCACTCTGCCTCCTGATTGAGGCGTACGTCATGGAATTGACCTGGTTCCTGGAACCATATACTGTGTGACACGGCAATAGCCTTACCGAAGGAGCAGTGTGACGTCATTACAAAGCTTTTTGTGCTAAGCACGCAGCTGGCATGGTGAGTGAGAGCAATTCTCCGCACTCAACACCAACATTTTGGGTCAGGAAGCCAAACGGCAAGTGGTACATTGTGCATGCTTACAATAAGCTTAACGCAGCCACTATACCAGCACAGACGCCTATTCCTAAAAAGAAAGTTCTTCAGAACGCTATGGTAGAATGTATCATGTACAGTGCACACAATTTGGTCGATGGGTATAATCAATTGCTCATTCGGGCGAGTGATGTTCCGCTCAAATCGATTAGTACTCCAATCGGTATGCTTTGGTATTGGCTTGTCATGCCTCAAGGGCTGTCAAATGCCCCGGCTACATTCAATCGTCTTGTGACGCAATTGTTCCGACCTCACCGAGGATATGCCTTAAGCTATTTTGATGACATCTTTGTCCATAGCCGGGCAGAACGTGGTAGGTCAGATGTGGACAACTTCATTGACCATCTGCGAGCAGCGCTCGAGTGCATGCATACCAACGAGCTGTATGCAAATGCATCGAAATGCATTTTTGGTGCAGCAAAAATCCTCTTTTTCGGGTGCTTCATTAGGAAGCGTGGCCTTTGAGCGGATTCCGCTCCGGTAAAGTCATCTGTTGACTGGCCGGTTCCTTCGAACCAAAAGGGTTTGCGTAAATGGCCTCAACTCTCTAATTACTTGCACAAGTACAGTGCAAACTACGATGACATGGCAAGGCCATTAATTAACCTCGTTAAAAAGGAAGCATTTTGGTGTTGGGACGCAGTCCATGCCCAAGCTTTTGAAGCTATAAAGGACAGTCTCCTTCATGCTCCAATTTTGGCTTTGCCTGACCCTGAGTGGCCTATCAGTGTTGTCTACGACGCGTCTGATTTTGCTTTTAATTGTGCATTACTGCAGATAGATGTCGATGGACATGAACGCGTCATTGTGTATGAATCTCGTCAGCTAAAGGCTGCAGAGGAGAAGCATCCAGTTCACGACAGCGAGTTACTCGCAATGAAATATGCTCTCGTTAAGTTCAGAGTCCACCTACTTGGCTCAAAGCCATTTGTGATCTTTACAAGTCATGAATCGTTACGCACTTCGACACAGTCGCCTCACCTCTCACATCGTATGGCCCGTTGGCTTTCTTTCTTTGCTGAATACAACTTCGAGGTGAATTATAAGCCAGGCAAGCAAAATAGTGGGATATGTGCGCTGCTAAGCATGCCTTATTATGAGCCTGCTCATGTTACGACTCTGCCGTCATCTTACGTGGATCTAATTCGTGCGGCATACGCACGTAATGAGCAATGTGTAGCTTTGCTACATGCTCCTGGAAGCGATGAGTTCAAAGACTCGAATTTTAAATTGGCGGCACACTTACGTGCGAGCCTACATCGATACGTCGATGGTGGTTTGTTGCGCTATTGCAACGGGTTTGTGGATGTGCCTCGCATCGTTGTTTCTCATGATGAGGACTTGAAGCATCGTATACTCTTTGAGGCACGTGACATTGCTTTAAGTGTTCACCTCGGTCGTGAGAAGATCTATTGCTCAGTTAACTAGGCGTATTGGTGGCCCAAGGTGTACAAAGAGGTGAGTACATATGTGCGTACATGTAAAAGGTGTCAACGGGTCAAACCTTAGCACGTGCGGTTGCACATCTTGCTAGTTTGCATTCACCCACTAGGTGTTGGGTGTCCATCAGTATGGAATTTGTTTGGCCTACCGAAAGATTCGGACGGTAACACTGGTATTGTTGTCTTTGCTGACCAATTTAAGTAGGATGGCTCACTTAACGGCTGCGCCTGATTTTGTCGATAGTAAAGGCACCGCAATGCTGTCTATAGACAGTGTGTTTCGTTAACACGATTTGCCTGTGGCAATTGCCTCTGATCGTGTTCCACGTTTCACTAGCAAGTTTTGGACTTTTATCTTCAAGGTGCTGAGCACCAGGTTGAACATGTCCACAGCGGGTCATCCTCAGACCGATGGCCAAAATGTACGCGTCAACCTTGTCATTGGTGACATTTTTTGCAGTGTTTGTGCTGATACGCCTAGGCGTTGTAGCTCTATCCCCCCTGTGGTCGAGTTTGCGTTCAACAACGCTGTTGATGCATTTACTGGCTTGACTCCATTCTACGTGAATGGCTTCACTCACCCACGCGTTCCGTTAATGCTACCAAAAGGTGAATATGTGTTTGGTGGGGGAGGAATAGCCAATCTGCTTGCTGGTTTAGGACCAACTGCTTTGTAGAAACAGGTGAGCGAGTTTCTCGCTACGCAATTGAATGTCTCAAGACATGCACGTGACGCAATGGCTGATAGCTGGACAAACAAAAGTAACAAGATGATGCCATTGGAAGAACGTGTATAGAGAGTTATAGGTTGGAGACCTAGTCTTCCTACACACTAAGAATCTACCTACATAGGTGGTGTCAGCCGTCTATAGGACCAAGTTGCATCCTCGCTTCATTGGGCCGTTTACAGTCGTGGCCGAGAAGGGCCTAGCGTATACGCTCAACCTTACACGCAAGATGCGAACATACCCAGTGTTCTACATAGGCTTGCTTAAGCCTTACCTTGATCTGTCACGGGTGGATCACGAGGCACTTGCACTGAAGGAGTTGGCGCTGCCAAAAGTCGGGGAATTTTATCGAGAAGATCCAGTTGCCCTTCAGGACGCGCCCCTCGGTCACGCAGACCTTGCACCTCGTGCACTAACTCGTCGACGACGCGTCAAGATTCATCGACCACAGTCTGCTCTCGTTGTCAAGCAAGGGGATCAACAGTACCATGTTGAACGAATTGTGTAGTGAAGTCGTCGCGACGGTGAGTACCAGTACTTGGTGCAGTGGCGGGAGTACCTGGAGTCGGAGAGCTCATGGGAGTACGAAGTGCCACTGCGGCAGAATTTCTCGTACGCCATTGACTTTTTGAACGTCGTCTTCAGGGTCAGTCGACCAATACCGCTTACCACTAGTCGGTGCGTGAGTGGAGAGGGCTGCAGTTGCAGCAGGTGCACTGGTGTGCGGGTCCGTAACTGCCGCAGCATAGCGTGTGCTACTAAACGAACACAGTTGGCCTTTGGCCTGTTGTTTTGCGAAAACAAAGCGCAGCTTATATTCGAGCTGAACGTCAGCAAGTAAATTGCTCTATTGTAAATTTCACAGGCATGGTAGTTAGCGGGCTCTGTAAGACCAGTGCGTGAAGACGAAATCTTTTTCCGCCTTTGTCTTATCATGAAAGAGGACAACAGGTATTGTCCGCCTGGCAGACACTGACGCACCTCGTGCTTGCAGATCCAGCCTGTCGAGGTAATCTTAAACGGTCGTACACTCGATTCATAGGTTTCTCGCTCTGAGATCCTTCCTCTCCGCGAGTGAAGCGGCTGTGGCAGCCTTGGGTCCCGTAACCCATGCCGGCAATCTGACGAATGCGTTCACCACACTCGGTTGTGTCGTGCAATAACCACCGTGAGCATACGCTGTGGCTACACATTGTGCTTGACGCTTGCGTTTATCGACCGACTGAAGATATTGAGCTTGTTCTTCATCAAGAGCGTTGTGCAACACACCCAACGCAGGGTCGACGGCTGCACGCTGTACAAGGGGTAAAGGTACCTCATCGCGTTCCACGAATGAATTAGGCGCGATGCGCATGGTGTCATGTGCCGGTGGCGTAGGAGGATTGCCATAGACACTCGACGCGACGGTGTCACTCTCGTAGTCCATCAAACCCTCTTTGAGCAATTCTGGGAGGGTGTTGGACGTAGGCTTTGACTCAGTCATTTTGGGATGTGTTGTGAACACGATGATCAAGGATCAGAGCTTAGAGGCCTTGAAGAGCAGTAGAAGAATAGTGGACACAAGGGTGTCGACAATTTGGTGGGGAAGGGTGAAACGGGGTTGCACGGCGGTTGTTGAACCGGTTATGTTGTGTGTTCACACCAAGTAAAGATCGGTGGATCTGAGTGGTACAGTCTTGGTACCACGTACTTACGGTAATACCGCACCCTATCGGTCAAGGATGAGGGATAAGACTTCTGTCATAGGATCGCAATGTAGAAGTCAGTCAGACAAGGTTTTAGGGTTTTAGTACCGTAGTTGAAGAATCAATAAAGTTCGGTTCCCCTTTTGAACCGTTGGACACAAGTGCTTAGTCCAGGCATAGTGTGTTGTTTAATGCATTAGCCTTGCAAAGGCGTTTACTTTTGTTTTACTAGTAGTCTCTAGTTAGTGTGTGGTTCTGTGTATTGCTATCCCTTTGGAACCGGGATTGTTAAGCTTGTACGTTTGAACGGCTGTACGTCGTTGTTAGTTTGCTATAACGAAGAGAACTAATTGAGTCCAGGACTTCCTCTGGTAAGGAGCGCTGAGTAGCTCCGTTGCAGCTATAATTTGTAGACTTGCCACGTGATCTCTATTGCAGACTGTCGGTAGCACCAAATTCTTACCGTACAAAGCAGTTGAGCACCAATCACAACCACGTCCTTCGCGGGAGGCTTTAGATGAACCCCACAGCAGGTCTGACTATAAAGCTTATCAAGTCGTGCAACACATTGTCACATCCTGGACTATTGCCATTCTGTACTAACGGTCATGGCAATTTATGCATTCATCCAGTTCGAACAAAACCAAAGTCGAATTAAAGCTACTGGATGTATCGGCACCGCTATGACGGAACAATCGGGGGAATATTCAAGAAATTAGATGGTGTCGAGATTAGCTATGCCTTGTGCTTGCTAAGTGATAGTTCGAGAACGTAATATAGTTCCAAACCACCGCCAACTATTCACCAAGTCACCAATAATCAGGCACCACCGCAACAAAGAATGCAGTCGGAACAAAACAGGAACAGTGCAAGGTGATCAATTCTTCGCTGAAGCTAGACCCATTCAATCACGATCCAACAGCTCAATGGCGTCAGTTTGCATGCTCAGACACGGTCCATGGTCTCGTCCACCACCTCAAAAACCTTCTCGCGCTCGCGAAGCTCCACATTCACTTGCGCAGTCATACATCCTTGCGTGGTCGCGTACGTGCACTGCGCGACGCAGTGCAGGATGTTTGCGAGCTCGCCAAGCTCCGAGATACAGATGGACAACAGACTGCAGACGCAGCTGACCAACTGGATACAATTGTTGCATCGCTATACAGCACCATCACCATGTACACGACATGCCAAACTGTTGTTAGTAAAGACACTCCTCGTTCAAGAGCCGTAAAGCCGCTCGTAAGCACGTACAATGATACGATTGTCCCACTTGTCCGGCTGCAGACTGTAGCGGTCCATGACCAGCATCCGTGTAGCAGACACGGCACAGCCGTTGCAACAAAAGGCCTAAAAGCAGCAGCAGCAGAGCCAACCCATAATCAACGTAAGCACGGACAAAAGACCCTATCTCATCATTCAGCTGCACCTCGCAGCAGCAACTAACGTCAACGACACACCTCAAGACACAGGCAGAAATTGGGGCAGCTTGACTCGCCACACTGACCAGAACGCGCACAAGGCACGATCCCGTCCATGTAGCCCTGACAGCAGGTATAGTTGCTCATGTCGTAGTTGAGCGCCTTGCGACGAATCACAACCTGTGCACAGCACGGACACAGACACGAGCTCAAACAGCCTAGAGAGACCGCAACCAGAAACACATCAGACAGCGCACGACACGAGCAGCAGCAGGACACGGCTCGACGTACACAGGGGGTCGGCGCCCGGGGCCTTCATCATGCCCACGTGGAACGCGCCAGGGTTGTTCTTGCGTACGTCGCCTTCCACAGGCTCGCTCGAGCACAGGATACACATGTCGGTAGCGATGGAAGTCGCAGTAACTAGCGGTGGCAGTAGAACAGACGCGAGAGACGCTGACGCAAGAGACGCGGGCTACGGGTTTCGCCCTTTGCGTTACGTTTTGAATAATGACGGGGAGTCAGCAGCGGTTGTGCTGGTCGAGGCTGCTTGTGATTGGTAGAAAAAAAGCACCTGGGTACAGAGCGTCGGACCCAGCTGCGAAGGGTTCTTCGCGTGGTGTACACGAGCAAAGCGATGGTACCGTGTGCCAGTGCCCGCCGACGTCGATCAGACAGATAGCTCCTGACTCGCCCATCGGTGCGAGCGCCCGCACCTCTCTCTCTCTCTCTCTCTCTCTGCCACTCGAGAAGAACGACCGCACGCACAGACGTGCTTGAGCATCTGAGCGAATAGAGTCTGCCGTCCATGTGGCGCAAGCGTCGCGGCTCGCTGAATGGAGGAAACAACAACAACAGCAGCAGCAGCAGCAGCTTTAGCTACAGCACTAACAATCCCAGCACCAACGTCGCGCGCGAGTCCCCGAACTTGATGGCATCTGCACCGCTCAGTACGACGCCGTCGCGCTCGTCCATGTCGATGGCCAGTCCCTTCTTCAGTAGCGACCCGAATGCGAACGACCGTGTGCTTGTCTTTGGCCTTGAAGTGCCGACACCAGGACCGCTTGGTCTTGATCTGCGGGCGCGACACATTGAACGGGACAAACCTCAGCGCGGAGCTGTGGTGAAGGGGTTCCGGCCGCTTCAAGGAGGAAAGCCTGGATATGTCGAGTCGACGGGACGCGTCAAGGCGGGCGACATCCTGCAGATGCTTCATAAGACGGCGATTGATGATATGCCGTTTGAACAGATTGTCAAGTACGCTATACAGCTGCAAAAGGATCCGACGGCGTGGCCGCTGTCGATGGAGTTTCGGCGCGAGTCAGAGAAACTCGAGAGCAGCAGCCACGCAGCTCCGTCGTCATCTTCGTCCAAGCCACGACGCAACAGCTTCTTTCGGTCGTCCATTTCCATGTCGAATCCGGTCCAGGATGGAAATTTTAACGAGAAACTGCAGTACTTTCGTGGTTTCTTTGCTACGCGGATACCCACTGGCGGTACGGCACCCAGGGAGAAGGAGAAGCCGCCCAAGCCGCAGAGATGGGAAACCGTAGACGAGATGTACCGCGAGTTAATGTCGAAGCGTGGAGTGCCCGAAGACGTCATGGATGAGCTTGTTCGCATCGAATCACTGGAAACCAAGTGGCACGTCGTTTGGTACGCCCAGCAAAATGAGAATGAAGACAACACAAAGTCGAATGCAACGGAAGCGAAAAGGTTTGCAGATAACCTGGTGGAATTAAGGTGGGACAACAAGGGTCTGAAGGATCTCGAGGCGCTTCGTGGCAAAATCTCGATTGCATCGACTGACTGGCTCGAGTCTTTCCTGGCTCATTTTGGTTTGGATTATCTTACGATGAAACTTCCTGATCCATGCCCGTTTCCTATCGAACACTCGAAGTATGAGAAAGCTACGCGCGTGTGCGAGGTAATTTTGCGGATTTTGCGCTTACTGACTCATTTTACAGCTGGGGTGGAAGCAATCACCAATACACCTGGACTAGTGAAGCGGGTGGCTCTCTGTTTCCATACGGAGAATGGAGACGTGAAGAAGTATACGCTACAGCTGCTCGGAATTGTGTGCTACAACAGCGCGGCCGGGCACACTGCTGTCATTGAAGCGTTCGATCACTATAAGGAAACGAAAGGCGAGAATATCCGCTTCAGTTGTTTGCGGGATGCGCTCAAATCAACAAGATACTCCCTGGTATTCAAGGAAGACGTGTTAAGTTTTGTGAATATCATTGTGAATAAAGCCATTCGGCTTGAAGATCGACTAGCGATTCGTTCCGACTTTATGGCGCTTAAGATGGCTGGCTACTTTGAAGAAATTCGGGCGAAATCGCTTGCTGTTCAGCGTACAAAGTATCCGCTCGCTAGTTCAGCTGCTGCCGCGTCGATCGAGGAAGGCTTTTATGGAGTTCCGTCTCCAGTGCCTGGTTTTCCAGCGACTCCGTCACCGGTGGTAAGCAGGTACGTTGCAAGGAGCACTCCCTCACCAGTTCTGAGCAGCCGGTCCTCTGGATCACCAGTTGCTGGGCGGGATATGTGTCCAGGAACTCCTATCTCCAAACTAGACTCTTTGAAGACCCTTGGTGGTAGGCGGTTTTCTGCACGTAAAGGCAAAGACGATACGCGTCTGTTAGCGAGCAGGAGTGCACCGCCGTCCCCTGTCGATCGAGAGCCGGCGTCTCTTTCTCCTGATGGTTCAATAGTCCGTTCGTCGCTTCCTCTGGATACTAAGGGCACGCACCGGTTTGGAAATGGAGGCAATAGCATCATTAGTAGCTCAGTGACACAGCTTCGGAATCAACTGGATAACATGGAGAAACAAATCGACGTGTTTGAGCAGTTCATGGAGGATGACCGGAAGGACACGATCTATGGGCAAACCGACCTGTCCTCCGTGGACAGTGTATATCGGTCATTGTTTGACAGCATGACGAACGAACCTGAGCTACAAGCATGTTTTTTGTCAATTCTCCAGCAATTACTTTTTATTCCGGGCGATCGCGTAATCGGGAAAGAAATGTGGGCAATGTCGGAAAAAGTGGTAAAGCAGATAACGTTATTAGCTCCAGTCGAGGAAGTACGTAATTTTGATTTGGGATACGATGATCGCAAGACGTTGTTGAAGATGCGTGATCGCTATGCACAGTTCCTTCAGAAGTGTGCTGACAATGATCCTACGTTTCACTTCCGTATGGGTCCGATTATTTTGATCGAGAATATGGATCGGGACCATGACGATCTCTCGCTTTCGGATGCGACAGCAGATGAAACCGATGAGGAAGATGTACCCTCGAATGTGGCAGCTCACGAGCACCCAGAGCTACAAAAATACTTTAAGCTGTTAAAGATGGGAATGCCAATGCATCAAGTACAACTTAAGATGAGCAGCGAATCGCAGACGTTCGATCCGTTGATTTTGGAAACTCCTGACAGGATGGTTCCGCTTTCTCGGCCAGACGTGGAAAGTGAAAAGAAGGGAACACGAGCTGAGGAACATGAGAAGTATGCGAAGTTCTTTAAGCTGAAGAAGATGGGCATGCCGTTGCCACATATTCATCTGAAAATGTCTGCAGAGGGACTTGATTGCTCGATTCTGGAGACCCCGGATCTGCTTCTTGCTGACGATTGTACTGAAGTAAGGAGTACTGCAAATTTGACAGGGTTTGCTGGCATTCCAGTCAAGGAGCACGAAAAGTTTGCTAAGTTTCTTTAAGCTGCTGAAGATGGGAATGCCGCTTGAGCAAGTTCAATTGAAGGCAGTATCGGAAGGACTGAATGCATCGTTGTTGAGCACGCCCGATCAACTTTTGGACGAAGGTGGCAACCCGTTTGCAGACAGGCAAGCGGACCAATTGTCGCGAGGAATTTCCGTGAAAGACCATGAGAAATACGCGAAGTTTTTCAAGTTAATGAAGATGGGCATGCCGCTGGAACAGGTAAAGCTGAAGGTATCGATGGAGGGACTGGATGGCGAACTGCTGTCTACCCCAGATGCTCTACTGAAGGAAGACGGAAGCAAGTTTGTCGAGGAAGTAGTTGTGAAAGGTGTTCCTGTGAAAGAGCACGAAAAGTTTGCAAAATTCTTGAAGCTGATGAAAATGGGAATGCCGCTTGAGCATGTTAAAGTGAAAGCGTCTGCTGAAGGCTTGGATGGTGAATTGCTTTATACTCCTGACGTGCTTGTCGACGAGGTTGGCAAGAAACTGGAGGCGGCTGAGAAGCAGTGCGAGGGCGTACCCGTGAAAGAAAGTGAAAAGTTTGCTAAATTCTATAAGCTTTTGAAGATGGGAATGTCCATGGAGCACGTAAAGCTAAAAGTGTTGTCGGAGGGTCTTGATGCCAATCTGCTGGAAACACCCGACAAGCTGGTTGACGGGAATGGAAAGGAAGTGCATGATGTAGCGCCCGTCGTCGTGAAGAGCAAGTGCGTACCTGTTCGAGAACACGAGAAGTTTGCGAAATTTTTCAAGCTGAAGAACATGGGTATGCCACTGACCCAAATCAAGCTGAAGGCAGTATCGGAAGGACTGGACGGCGACCTTCTCGACACGCCCGATAAACTAGTAGACAGTGACGGAAAGGAAGCAAAGGTAAATGGCGTGAAGCTGGTGAAGGCATCGGATCACTCGTGCTACGTCAAGTATTTTAAGTTATTGAAGATGGGTATGCCGCGTCCACAGCTGGAGTTGAAGATGAGCGCGGAGTCGTTGGACCCAAAATTATTAGACACACCCGATGCTATGATTTCGGAGAACTTGTCTACTGCGGCCCCAGTGGCCGCACTGAAACCCGTTATGGCAGGATCTCCAAAACCTAAGCTCCGAAATCTGTACTGGGAGGCAGTGAAAAACGAGGAGACTGCCGGCACGATTTGGGAGAAATTTGCAAAGGAAGAGGAGGAGAAAAAGAAGAGTGAGCTTGCGGCACCAGCAGGTCCTCGGGGTGCTGATCTTTTGCAGCGCGAGCAAAGTCACAGAAGCCTGAGTCCGCAGCAGCGAAGAAGGACATCGTTCACCAATACGTGGATCAACTATCCGATATTTTTGTGAATAAGCCTCCGAAAGCAAAGGAGTCTGAGATTAAGAAGCCGCTGAAACGGCGAGCACCGACCCGCGTTGCCTTGATTGACGCCAAGCGCGCGAACAATATTGGTATTATGCTGGCACGCTTCCGGTTGCCGTACTATAAACTCCGGAATGCTGTGCTGCTGGTCGACAAAGGGCTCCTCTCTGTTGAACGCGTGTCATCACTTCTTCAGTTTGCTCCGGAAGACGAAGAAGTGGATGCCATACGAAGTTACGCCGGTGACCCGAAGCTTCTTGGTGACGCGGAGCAGTACTTCCGTGAGATGCTTTGCATTCCGCGGTTGTCCACTCGATTGCAAGCGATCCATGCTACGTGGCAGTTTGACTCATACGTGGAAGAGCAGCGGAAGCTCATGGAGTCTGTTTCGAATGCGTGCCGTGAGTTGCAAGCGTGCGAGCCTCTGAAGGAGATCTTTCGCGTCGTGCTATCGCTAGGAAACGCTTTGAATGATGGGACATCGCGTGGTGGGGCGAAGGGGTTTCGTTTGAACATATTGCTCAAGCTGAACCAGGTCAAGGCGGCCGATAATTCTACCAATTTACTAAATTACCTCGCGAAGCTGCTGCGAGCGAAAGACCCAGCTATTCTTGAGTTTAACAAGAGTCTGCCGTCTATTGAGAGTGCAAGCCGCGTCACGATGCAGGTGTTGAAAGCAGGCGAAAGCGCAGTGCGCAAAGCTGCGAATCTCATTTGCAATGAGCTCGAAGTGCATGCGAAGTTGCCGGAGAAGGAGTACCCGCAGCCCGAGAAGATTGTAGGTTCAGATGAGGAACCCGAGAAGATCTCGGACCGATTCCAGGAGGTGGTAAAGCCTATCGCTGATCGTGCACGAAGGACTTCTGAGCACACTGCGAAGGAACTCGAAAGCATGACGAAGCGTTTCGGGGAGACGGTGTCTTTCTATGGAGAGGATCCGTCGAGCCTCGATTCTGGTCCTGACGCGTTTTTCTCGATTTTCTACTCGTTTGCCAAGATGCTGCAGTCAGCTGACCGTGACAATGAGCGTAAGCGTATTGCCGAGGAGCGAAAGCTTCGTCGCGAGGAGGAAACCAAGAAGCGTCTGGAGCAGCTCAAGCTCAAGAAGAAGAAGAGCAGTTTTGCAACGCTAAAGACAGGAGACGTGGACGACATTGTGTCCAAGATCCGCGCGAAACGGGTCGAGGAGAAGCGACGCGAGATGTTGACGAATGGATCGGCCCCGTCTTCAGCTTCCGGGTCTGCTCGTGCCCCTTCAAGTCAACCACGGACCGGCGTGTCACTAGCCGCTTTGGATGAGCTCACGCCAGCCATGGAGGCTGTCTAACGTCTACCAACCGGCGCTGTATGAGGGACAAAAAAGTCGTATGACGACGATGCATTGGGAAGAGTAGTGTCAAAGCCGGTGGTGCCGCTCCGCTGCCAAATAGCAAGTCGCAGTGAAGGAAGCGGTACAGCTGACAGCAGGTCAAAAGCAGTATCACAATGTACCCATTTTGTAAAAACGCGTACTCCCAGTGGGATAATTAATTAAACCCCGAACGAGGGGGCCTTTGAAAAAACCGCGGCCCACACCAAATGGACGGGAACGGGACGCCGCCGCCGTCGACGCCGCCGTCGCCTCAAAGTCCTGCCCGCCCTGCGCCCCGGTACTTGACGCATGACGCTCCAGCTGCTGGTCCTGACTCTCCTCCTTCTCTAGCTAATGGACGGCAGACGCTATCGCCATTGTCACCCGCTTCAGCGTCCGTCTCGGCGTCTGCTGTATCAGCGACTGAACTCTCAGGCCGCTACAATTTCGCAGAGATGAGCGCGTCTGCAGACGCGACGCCGGCGCCGCGGTACCTTGGACGCTACGAGGCCGTGACTGGAACAGTAGCTGCTGCTGCTGCTACTGCTGGACAGGAGGACGACGACGAGGTGGAGGCGGAGCTGCGGCGGATGGCGCAGCGCCAATTGCCCCGAGGAGATCTCGGGCGAAGAGAGTGGAGACTCGACAGTTTCCAGTCAATGCAGCGAGGACAGGCGGCGCACACAGATGCACCGCGACCGTTGTCACCTAATAGCAGTAGCAACAGCTCGTTGATCAGCAGCAATGTTCACCACACTACCAGTCGGTCGGGACTATGGCCGTCTACGGATGCGGCATTGCCGCGGCCAATGGCGTCTCCACCGAGCTCGCCACGTTCCAGTGCGTCGACGTCGGCGGCTGTTACGATGGCTGCGTCAGCGTCGTTTCAGCAACCGCAACAAGAAGACTTTTCTGGTGCGGTGGTGTGGGGCACGAACATTAGTGTGTCGGAGAGTATGGAGCTGTTCCGAGGCTTTGTACACCACTTTCGACCCGAGAACTACGAGTTGCAGGACGAGGCGTATTATATCAAGGCACTGCGGAGATTAGCGCTCACGCAGACGCTCGTGCTGGACCTGAACACCCAGCACTTGCGTCAATTCCGTGGTGCAAGAAAGCTGTACAATCAATTGATTTTGTTCCCACAGGTGCTGATTCGGATCCTGGACATGGTGGTGATGGAGGAGTACGAGGCGTTAGTAGCTGGTGCTGGAGCGGCGATGGACACCATTGACAATGCATCGAACGTGGCTTTGCAAGTGCGGCCGTTCAACTTGCTTGACTTGTCGCCAATGCGCCAGTTGAACCCGTGCGATATTGACCAGTTGGTGTGTCTGAAAGGAATGGTCACCCGGTGCAGCGGGGTGTTACCGGATTTGAAAGAGGCGTTCTTTCGCTGTGCAATATGTCATGCTACGACACAGGTGGCATTAGACCGAGGGCGGATCGAGGAACCTGCCAGCTGCGAGCGCTGTTCGACACGAATGAGTATGGAGATGATCCACAATCGATGTGCTTTCACGGACAAACAGATGATTAAAATGCAAGAGACGCCTGATGCTATCCCTGAGGGCGAGACGCCGTACACAGTCCTCCTGTTTGCGTTTGACGACCTCGTGGATGGCGTGCGCCCTGGTGACAAGGTGGAAGTCACGGGCATTTACCGAGCTGTTCCGATGCGTTCGAATTGGCGCCAGCGAGTGGTCAAATCTGTATTCAAGACGTACGTAGACGTCGTGCATTTTCGTCGCGTGGACGAACTCACTCGGCGCGACGAGGGCGAAAACGGCAAGAACCTTCACGCCGCTGGCGAGGAGGCGAAGGAGGTTGAGAACAGTGCGATTGGGCCGGTCGATATCGACGTGGAAATGCCGGATCCGTCAGAAGAGCACGACGATGCCGCAGCTGTGGCCGACGCTCAGCATGCACGCAAATTGGCAGCTTTCCGCCGCATTGCAGCCCATCCTCGAGTGTATGCAAATTTGGCCCACTCGTTGGCGCCGTCAATTTGGGAGCTGGATGACGTAAAGAAGGGTATCTTGTGCATGCTTTTTGGTGGCACGCGCAAAGACGGAAGTAGCGGCAGTGTAAACGAGCACGAAGGAGAGGACGAACATGGCGGTGTGGCAGTTAAGCGCAAAAGTATGCGGTCTGACATGAACGTGCTGTTGTGTGGAGATCCTGGTACATCCAAGTCGCAGTTGCTGTCGTATGTACACAAGCTGTCGCCGCGAAGTATCTACACGTCTGGCAAAGGTAGTTCTGCTGTCGGCCTCACTGCTTCGCTTATTCGCGATATGGAGACGAACGACCTTGTGCTCGAGTCGGGTGCATTGGTTCTATCCGACGAGGGTATTTGCTGCATCGACGAGTTCGACAAGATGAGCGATTCGGCTCGGTCCGTGCTGCATGAAGTGATGGAACAGCAGACTGTCAGCATTGCCAAGGCTGGTATCATTTGTTCGCTCAACGCACGGGCATCCATTCTCGCGTCCGCTAACCCAATTGAGTCGCGCTACAACCCGAACAAGTCGGTGGTGGAGAACGTGAACATCTTGCCCACACTGCTTTCGCGTTTTGACCTCATCTACCTCATCCTGGATAAGCCGCAACCAGAATCAGACCGCAAACTGGCAAAACACATCGTCGCTCTGTATTATGACGAAGAAACACGTGTGCGTGTGCGTGCGCAAGCTCGCGGCGGTGAAGACGTACCTCAGCTTATTAGCATGAAGCTGCTGACCGAGTACATCGCGTATGCTAAACGGAACATCCACCCACGGCTTTCAGCTGAGGCCCGAGATGCGCTCATCCGCGCGTACTTGGATCTCCGCCGAATGGGCGGCGCTGGTGCTGCATCGGCCAAGAAAAATATCACGGCAACCCCTCGACAGCTCGAATCGCTTGTCCGGATTTCCGAAGCACTTGCAAAGCTCAGGTTGTGCGAGACTGTGACGCGCAGTGACGTCGACGAAGCGCTGCGGCTCATGAACGTGGCGACACAACGTGCAGCAATGGACCCGCGGACTGGTACGATCGACATGGATATGATCAATACGGGTCACAGTGTGCTGGAACGTGAAGTGCAAGCGGCACTAGTTACTGGGCTCAAGGAGATTTTGTGCGAGGCACCGAACCGGTCAATGGCCGTCGGCGAGGCTCGCCGACACCTTGAGGAAAAGCACAAAGGCGAAGTCAAGAGCGCCGAGTTTCAGATGGCGCTGCGCTCTCTCGAGGACGATAGCCTGATACAAGTTTCTCACGGCATGATCCGCTACTTTGGCGATCCGATAGATTGAAGGGAGTGGTAGTTTGTGAACCGCGTACCGAGAGTGCTGCTAGAAGTCGGCTGCCCCGCCTTGCGTGTGTAACGTGGTTAATGCAGTGCTGCTCACGTCTGGATCTCCACGATATCGCTACGGTTTTCCAGAGCGATGTGACGCATGTACAGATGCTTGGAGAAGAAGCGCATGACGTGCCGCATGTCTTCTTGAGAGTCGATCATTGCGTGTCCTTTGCGTGGTCGAACCACACTTGTAAACAGCTCGACTGCTGCTGCATGGGAATGCCTGCACTCAAATTCGCGCCACGAACGCCGAGCGAGTACTGCCGGATAGATGCTGTCGGCAGCACCAGTGATTTGGAGCATGGGTGTGGCAACGGCGCCTCCTTGTGCAGCAGAGCAAGCTGAGTGAGAACCTGCTATTGCTCCACCTGATACCAGCACGATGCCTCCCAACCGCACGTCACGCGGCAGCGTCATTGCCAAGTGGAACGCCACACACGCTCCTTGCGAGTACGCAAACAGAAAGAGCCGAGAGTAATCCCAGGCATACCGGTCATGCAGCACGCACAGGAAACTCCACACCTAGTTTCTTGCTGCCTGAAGACTCTGACTGCGCCGCTCGTGCGGAATATCCGGAGGGATGACGGACCCCGTCTCGTCGAAGTCGTCTACCCAGGCAAACCCGAGGTCAAACGGCAGTTCGAGAGGAGCACGGAGAGACACGACCGCTGGTTCACGTTCAACAAAAGTCATGAACGTGCCTTTGCAATACATCACGCTATGAGTCGCGGGGCTTTCCAACGCACCTGTTTGAGGCAATGCCATCTGCTCACCCAGTCGAGCGAACGGGTCGTGGGAGTCCCCGCAGCCGTGCAGAAACAGCAGCAGGTTCTGAGTCGCTGGAGCACCGTCTTTGGGCTGCACAAGCCGGAAGCACGACCGCTTGTCCTGGAAGCACGACGCGTCCAAGTCGAGGCGGCCACCACGACATGGCATCGTCGTCGTCTTGGGATGCAGATGCACGGACGTAGTTGGCGAATCACTGGTTTCGAGTGGATAGTGGGGCACGGTCCATCGAGTGCGACCATCGGGCTCGCGCACGAGCGTTAGACGCGCTGCCTCATGGACGCGCTCTACGACTGTATCCATGACGAAATGAGCTGTTCATCGATGTGTGAGACTCGCCTCCATCCTGTAAGTAAAGCAGCATGCAACCAGCAACTTACCGGAAGGTTGGGCCACCTCGGGGTTTACTTGTCCCTGCTGCTTTGGGGGATTAATTGGCTACGCGTTGGCTTGGATGGTGATGCAAAGAAGGACACGAAGATCCGGACGGAAGACTTGCAGCTGGCGATGTCAATCGATCCTCCGTTGGAACCACTGATAAATAACGACGTACTGCGTCAGCTGCACATGACGATGCAAGCTCACGCCACGCGCTTGCCTCGAGTTGTTTCTGCGCATTTCAGAGCAGGGCAAGAACAAGCAAGCTCAGGTTCAGAAGTACTGCACGAGGGAGCCCAGCGAAGACGGTGCTTGACTTGTTCATCTAGGCCTCGCAAAGATGTTCCCGTGCACGGGGTATGAGTTTGGAAACAGACAGAGGTTCAACAAGCTGCGAACAAAACAGGTCCAGCAACCGGAGCATATGATGACGCGCTTTCCTACCTTGTTCCTTGACGGGACAAGTAGTTGGTGCGAAGGAGACAAAGCAGGTATTGTTTTACCATCGAGACTTCCCCGAGGCGTTGGCATATCCAGGTCCTCCCATGCGAGCGCTCACTCGATTTCAGGGAACGATCGGCTGAAGTAACGACCTCTGAGTGCGTTGTCCGCAAGGACTGGCTGTAGTTTGCTCCCGTTCGACGATACAGAAGGTTGCGCGATCTCTGACTTACACATCCGACGGACAGGACGAATACAACTGCATTGAAGCATCTCATTATCGAGCTCGTGTTTCATGCAATACTTACTGTCCAAAGTTGGCGGTGGGTGGCCGCAATCCTGCTTCATCATCCTGGGTAATTGAAGTTGGGAATTGACACTGCAGCATAAAGAATCTCCCCAACACGTACCTCCTTTCCAATGTGGCCGAGACTGGTCACTGATGGAGTCGTATTGTAACAGGGTAAAAATACATGTTACACGTACCCATTTTATAATGCATATTTAATGGGTACGCTCAAAGTATACGTAATTACTTTGGAGCTGCCACTTGGGTGAGACACACAAATGTGACCCACCCTCGTGAATGTGATATCCATTGATGGATTCACATGAGAAGGGATGACGCTGGTTGAAGCTAGGCATCATGACGTCGACGACGGACGTCATTAGCGAGGCTAATGACGTCAGCACGCAAGGATACGCTTCTAAAGAGTCGCGTAACCAATCTTTTTATATTAACCAATCAGTGGTTAGTTCATATTTAATTCATTAAATATAACTCAGTCTTGAATTTGCTAACTAAAGAACACTGCGCACGCAGAAGCTAAATAAGCTTCTGGTGTCGTAAGTGTCTTCTTGTTTGGAAGTTTGTTGCGCTCTCGCTTTACGCGAGCGGCAACTGGTGGTGCGACCGCTTAAGCGGTCGACCAGCCAATCCCCACCACCACACGCGAAAGGTAGACGGTTTAACCGCTTCCTCGCTATGCTTAGGTGCGTGTGCCGTGGTAGTACGTGGCAGCTGTATAAGCTCCCGTCTACACTTGGTAGCACTAGTAGTCATTCCCACGACCGGTCTCTCTGAGCGTGCGTGAGGGTGAGGATGGTCCTCAATATGGACTGGAATGATTTTTCACACCTCTTCCAACACCATAGGGAGTTGGCAGAGCACTTGGCGCAGGGGCTTGGTGAGCAAGCCCTGGCCAATCTCTTGAGTTGTCCTCCTGAACAACATGTTGCTCAGTTAGAGAAATTTGAGGCATTTGTACTCGGACAGCGCAGAAATGCGTCCGAGGTACATGGTCATGCCGCGGCTGAGTCCATCAGTAAGACTCAGGATGAGCTTATGCGCGAGCAGGCTCGGAACGAGGCGCTCAACAGAACTGTTGAGACGCTCTCTGCCCGGTCTAATCAACCGAGGCCCATTCGGATGGACCCTCCAAAATTTGATGGGACTGCCCCACATACGATTGTCCACTGGCTTTAGCCGTGGATCAATGCGGTATGGCGCAGCTCATCGAGGACGACACCAGGATGGTGTCGTATGCCATGTCTAATTTGCGTGTCAAAGCGTCAGAGTGGGCTTACTCTGCGCTAATGGCAAGCGCCGATGCGTTTCCATCATGGACGATCTTTAAAACAAAGATCCGCGCCATGTACCAGCCGCCTAACAATGAAGTGCTACTTCAGGCGCGCTTCTTTGGAGCACGACAGGCGAAACGCTCTCTGCAAGAATATGTGCAGGAGATGCGTTCGCTGTCGGCGTCCATTACTATGGGTCCGATATTAAAACACATTAAGGTGCCTACGTTCATGCACGGACTACGCCACGGCCCATCTCGTCAGGCCCTTTTTAGAAAGGTGCCAAAGACGATGGAGAAGGCAATTGATATTGCCATGGTTGAGGAGAAATCCTACAACAGTGCCTCGGCGACAGCTTAATATAAGCCGTCGGCCGAGAAGTCGGAAGCCACTCCTATGGATTTAGGCAATGCAGATGTTATCTGCTACCACTGCGGCAAGCGCGGCCATGTAAAGGCACGCTGCTATGCCAAAGTTGCTGCTGGGGCTAAGGCGCCCAGCAAAAAGGCCTCTTACCAGAAGGGTGATGGCAAGAACCGTGCACGACGCACGGGTTCATCATCAACCACTTCGGGTTCGGGAAATGCGGGAGCGCAGTAGGGGCGGGATGCCCTACTGACGCGGACTCTGAAGCTACCCCTAAGTTCAGGGTGATCGAACAAATGCGTAACATAGTCCCTGAGGTTCCGAAAGGTCGGACCTCAACCCTTTTGGTCTATAGCGCTCGAGTACGAGGCTATGACCAAGTGATGACCCTTCTCGTTGATTCGGGTGCATCACAAAATTTGTGAAACTCGCGGCTCTAAAAAAGAGTTTGGCGAGTGATGAATTGCTATGCCAGGATGGCAAGCAAGAGGAGGCGATCGTTCGTTTAGCGAACGGCGCGCTCATAAAGTATGAGGGAGTTCAAGTTGGACTCGCCTTTAGTTTTAGTGATTTTTCTTGTAAAGAGAAGTTCACAGTGCTAGGTCTAGAGAGTCCATATGATCTCATATTAGGCATGCCTTGGTTGGCTACGCACCAACCATGGATCGACTGGCGTACACGCACAGTCGCTAACTCTACGCAAGACACCGGAAAGGATGTGCTTTTGCGAGAGGCTAATGTGACTGATGCTGTGTCCAACACAGTCGAGGGTGCGCTGAAGGTATGTCAGACGTCACCAAGTACTACCCAGCTCGTGGAGCCTGGAGTAGTGGATGAGGCGATGACAGGGAGTCATGCGTCTAAGGGTCCTGCACAGAGCCGAGAGCCTGTGGCAGTCGATGGTGGGCTGACGGAAAGTCAAGCACCACAAGAACCGGCACAGAGCCTTGAGCCAGGTGCGGTTGGAAGGAGTGTATTAGCTATAGCAACAACGACACCTGCTTTCAGGGCAAAGGTCGTGGTGACTCGAACAACAAGCACCAGACGTATTAAGACGATCAAGGGCACGTCGAAACGAGTGACCGTTGGATCAGACTCGGTCCAAGAGGACGAGCCTTCGAGCTAGTTGTTCGAGGCCGTCGAAGACAAAATGCCGGAGGCATCCTCAGTTGAGGTGCTCCAACTTGTCTTGGCATCTGCCGAGGAGATAATAAATCTCTCGGAGATGACGTGGGATCTGTTCCTGTCCGAACTAAAGGAGGGAAAGATCCACGAGATAGTCGCACCAGTTCCAAAAGAGAACGTGGTGGACTGTTGCTCATCGTCCACGATGGACGAGAGCGTCTTGGAGACCGACAAATAGAAACGTTTCGCTGCTCAAGGCTGGGAAGCCTTAGAGGACAGCCCTTTCTTTGATGTTCTGTGGAAACACTGTGATGTGTTCCCAGCAGAAGTGCCGAGCCGCCTACCGGTCGATAGGGGCATTAGGCACGATATTGGTCTAGAGCCTGGCACCGAGTATTGTGTGACCAGGCAATGGCCGTTGCCGAAGGAACAAGTCGATTACATCGATGATTTCTTTGACAAGCGAGCCAAGGCGGGGCATGTACGTGAGAGCAAGTCGCCACATTGCAGCCCGACCTTTTGTGTGCGCAAAGCCACAGGTAGATGGCGCGTGGTTCATGCTTATAACAAGCAGAACACGGCCACTATTCCGGCGCAAACGCCGATCCCGCAAAAAGATGTCCTATTGAATTCAATGGGGAAGTCAACTATTTTTTCCGCGTTGGATTTGAAGGATGGTTACTATCAAATTCTCATGAGAGATACTGTAACGGAATTGCACGAAATTATGGTACTTTGTACCAGAGGTGTTACACACCTGAGGTTACCCCTTTGTGAAGGTGATATAGAATATCTTTTGGTTTGTAGGGGCTGACGAGTGTCAGCCATTAGGTACGAAAGATCTTTGAGTAGGATTAAGATATTCTATAGGCTTTATTTAACAAAAATAAAATCAGTTCCCATTTTGATCTAAAGGACACGTGGCTTGCAAGCCGTCTTGATCATTGATCATTGATCACTGATCACTAAGAGTTAGCAACACCTCCTTGAGGTAGCTACTCTTGAGCACTGAGTGCTGTCGATTCACTGAATCGTTAGGTTCCCTGGAACAGGGATCTGAAGCTGTAAAGCTTGTTGACTCGTAAAGTCGTTAGTTCTTTGGAACTAAGTCGCTCGTACAGCTTTAAGTCTTCCTCTGACTTAAGGAGCTGTGCAGCTCCGCTACACTTGGTATCACTAGTAGTCAATCTACGCCTGAGTCTTTAAGACTGATCCTCTGTGAGGATGAAAAACTCCACTCCCCTATCTGAGGCTCAAAAGGTCGCGCTTGAAAAACAGACCGCATCTTTGGGTCCAGAGTACGTGGAATTCCTTGTTTCACAAGGTCTTGAAGTGCTTAGCGCACGTGTTGAAAGCTTTATGCAGTATGAAGCGACCCTTTTAGGGCAGGTCCAAGACCAAATAGCGTCGGCTATGTCTACACGCTACGTGTCTGTACCAGATGAAGAGGCTAAGCCTCATCCACTTAGAGTGGAAGTGAAAAACTACTCCGGTAAGGAGGGTGAGAACCTCATCCTCTGGATCCGTGAGATTGAGATGGCCATGAGATCAGGCCTGATCACACTTGAACATCAACAGGTCTCGCTGGCTATCTCGAAGCTCGATGGTAGAGCTAGAGAATGGGCCTTGACGTGTAGCACGTCGGTGGACATAGCGTTTCCCACATGGGAGTCGCTCAAGTCACAATTGGCACAGGTGTTTTCTCCACCTAACCAGGCTTACCGCGTGCGTTCACGCTTTCTTTCTACCCGCCAGGGTAAGAATGAATTATCGGACTATGTCCAGGAGCTGCGAACGCTCATGGCTGCAATGCAGTCTGACCCTCTGCCTGAAGCAGTCCATGTGACTATCTTCATGGAAGGTCTACGTACTGGCATTGCCAGAACCGAGGTTTTTCGGGTTCACCCCTCTACGTTTAAAAAGGCTGCGAGAATTGCTCTCAATGCTGAGCATAACTTCAAGTCGGCCAGACTTGGTCGAAATGGATACAATCCTCGCTTGTGAGAGCAAACTTTTCGGGTACTACTGCCTATAATAGGCCGGAACCGATGGATCTCAGCTATACTGAAGATGGAGGTGAAGCTGAGCTTCAAGCTGCTGAGCAGCAACACGTCGTACGACGATGTTTTACGTGCGGAAGCACTAAACACTTGCGGCCTGGTTGCCCTTTGCGTAAACAACGCCAGGATACGAGTCAACACTCGACCCCGAGTCAGAAGTCTGGCATGGCACGGGGAAATGCCAACACCCAGTAGGCGCGGGGCTCCCTACTGGGGAAGAACTAGGTTCTGTTACACCTTTAGAAGGTAAAGGAATGCAGGACTTAGCCCCAAAGAGTACCATACCTACAGGTATGGTGCGTGGATACAAGTCTGGCTTTTTGGTCGCCGAGGCGAAAATTAAGGGCTTTGAGGAGCCTTGGTCGATATTGATCATTTTTGGAGCGTCTTGCAATTATGCTCGACGCCGTTCCCTTGAGGGGAGTCAGCGTTATGCTGAGGCGCTTACAGCGCATGAGGGTGATTCTATCACGGTACGTTTAGCGACTGGAAGCCGCATAACTGTGCCTAAAGTTCCGTTGAACTATAATATAAAGTTTTGTTAGACTTTGACAGTATTGAGCGCTGTCTTGTCCTAGATTTGGACTCGAGATATGATCTAATCCTAGGTATGGCTTGGCTTGAACGCTATGAGCCCTGGGTTGATTGGAGGCCTAAGACCTTAGGCGCCACGCGCAATGTTCCTAGCGAAGCTTCGGAGAGTCATGAACCCACCTTCGCTAGGCAACAGAAGCGTTATTGGCGCGAGCCTTTGACAGAAGATGTCAATGTGCTGGACATTGAAATGTCTGAGTTATCTAACTCTAATGTTACAAACATAAGTTTCGAGCCTAGCTCGTCTAGTGAAACGGCACGTACTCCGTTGAGTGGTACTCGTTGTGATAACGAGTCACTGCATGCTGAAAGCATGGTTGGCCTAGGGCCGAGTGATCAAGGACGTGATTCCTTTGATGTGTGTATGGTGGCACGTGAAACTACACCGAGTGCGGTCGGCCGTGAGAGCACCGCACTGAATGTCGGTAATGACATTGTTGGCGATACGCCGTATAGTGTGGGCGGCCGTGAGGGCACCACACCTAATGTCAGTAATGACATTGTTGGCGATACGCCGTATAGTGTGGGCGGCCGTGAGGGCACCACATCTAATGACAGTAATGACATTGTTGGCGATACGCCGTATAGTGTGGACGGCCGTGAGGGCACCACGCTTAACGCCGGTAATGGCGTTGTTGGCGATTCGCCATATGGTGTGGGCGGCCGTGAGGGCACCACACCTAATGTCGGTCAAGACAAAAGCTCTCGTATAGAGCGTACTATGGTTAGTAGAAACCATGGGGACAATATTGTCCCGACCCCTAAGGGATGTAAGGTCTCGAAGAGACAATCGAGACGCCGGATAGCAACTTTTAAGCGCCAGGCGTCCTCACAGTCACATAGTGATAATAGTAATACACTATATTCACTTGTTAATGGAGTGACTGGTCAGGTTGATGGCAGTGTTTGCCTTGAAACCCTTCCATCTGTGGACGCTTTTTATAAACTAGACGAAATGTCTGATGGCAAGTTTAGCCAGGCCTTGAAGGCAGGAGAGTTATCCGAGTTAGCGGTCATTAGACCTGATACTGAGTTGAATTCTTCCTCGTTAGTGGATGAGTCCGTCCTAGAGGATACAAAGGCGGCACTTTGTGCACGAAGTGGATCTTCGATCCTTAAAGATCATTTGGATCCGTTCTATCCTTTAATTAAGGAATTTCAAGATGTGGTGTGTCACAACCCACCTTCTGCCTTACCTCCCGATAGAGGTGTACGTCATGAGATTGACTTGGTTCCTGGAACTAAATACTGTGTAACACGGCAGTGGCCTTTGCCTAAAGAACAGTGCGACGTCATTGACGATTTCTTTCGTGCTAAGCACGCGGCTGGAATGGTTCGTGAGAGTAAATCTCCCTATTCAACACCGACATTTTGTGTCAGAAAGCCAAATGGCAAGTGGCGTATTGTGCATGCTTACAATAAGCTTAATGCAGCCACTATACCGGCGCAGACGCCTATTCCTAAAAAGGATGTTCTTCAGAACAATATGGCGGGATGTACACTGTACAGTGCACTCGACTTAGTCGATGGTTATTACCAACTGCTCATGCGAGCAAGCGATATTCCGCTAACAGCGGTGAGTACTTCGAGCGGTATGCTTTGGGAGTGGCTCGTTATGCCACAAGGGCTATCTAACGCTCCGGCTACATTTAACCGGTTGGTAACGCAACTATTCAGACCTCATCGAGGCTATGCACAAACGTACTTTGATGACATTTCTGTCCATAGTCGTGCAATGAATGGACGATCAGATGTGGATAATCACATCGATCATTTACGAGCGGTGCTCGGGTGTATGCGGATGAATAAGCTGTATGCGAACGCATCGAAGTGCATCTTTGGTGCAGAAGAGATTCCCTTTCTAGGGTGCTTCATTGGGAAGCGAGGCCTTCGAGTGGATCCCGCTAAGGTAAAATCCATAGTCGATTGGCCGGTTCCCAAGAACCAAAAGGACTTGCGTAAGTGGCTTGGCCTTGCCAATTACTTACATGAGTACAGTGCGAATTAAGCAGATATGGCTCGGCCATTGTCCAATCTCCTTAAAAAGGATGTGGATTGGTGTTGGGGTAACACCGGACATGGTGCTTTTAAAGCAGTTAAGGAGAGTCTCCTTCATGCGCCAATATTGGCTTTGCCCGATTCTGATCGGCCTTTCAGTGACGTCTGTGATGCATCTGACTTTGCCATAGGCAGTGCTCTGTTACAAACAGATGTCGACGGACGCGAACGCGTCATCTCGTTCGAGTCACGGCAGCTAAAAGCTGCTGAAAAGAACTATCCTGTTCATGACAAAGAGATACTTGCTATGAAGTACGCTCTTGTCAAATTCAGAGTACATCTGCTTGGCTCCAAGCCGTTTGTGATCTATACAGATCATGTGTCATTACGCACGGCGACACAGTCGCCTCATCTCTCACAGAGAATGGCTCGTTGGCTTTCCTCCTTTGCCGAATATAACTTCGAGATGAAGTACAAGCCAGGTAAGCAAAATGCTTTGGCTGATGCGCTATCGCGTCGACCTGATTATGAGCTTGCTCATGTTACGACTCTCTCGTCGTCGGTCACTGACTTAATCCGTGCGGCATATGCCAAGGATGATCAGTGTGTAGCTTTGCTACGTGCTCTTGGGAGCGATGAGTTTAAAGACTCGGACATCGAGTTGTCGGCACGTATACGTGCGAGGCTACATCGATATTCCATCGATAATGGCCTGTTGTGCTATTGCAAGGATATTGAGGATGACCCTCGTATCGTTGTACCTCATGATGAGAAATTAAAGTATTGAATCCTCTATGAGGCACATGATACTGCTTTTAGTGGTCATCTCGGTCGTGAGAAGACTTATAGCTCGGTGAGCCAAAGTTATTGGTGGCCCAAACTTTATAAGTGGGTGAGCACCTATGTGCGTACGTGCGAAGCGTGTCAACGGATTAAACCCTCGGCACATGCGGCGACGCAGCTGGCTAGTTTGCCAGTACCCACTGGTTGTTGGGAGTCCATGAGCATGGATTTTGTGTCTGGCCTACCGAAAGATTCGGAAGGCAACACTGGTATCGTGGTCTTCGTTGACCGATTAAGCAAGATGGCTCACTTAGCGGCTGTGCCGGATAGCATCGATGCTGAAGGTACAGCAAAGCTGTTTATCGACCGTGTGTTTCACCAATATGGCTTGCCGGTGGCAATTATCTCTGATAGAGACCCCCGCTTCACTGGGAAGTTTTGGAAGTCTATCTTCAAGGTGCTTGGCACTCGGTTGGACATGTCCACAGCGGATCATCCGCAGACCGAAGGTCAAACTGAGAGTGTTAACCGCGTCATCAACGGTATTTGCGCTGATACGCCTAGAAGTTGGAGCTCAATGCTCCCTGTTGTTGAGTTTGCGTTGAATAACGCTGTTCATGCCTCAACAGGCTTTACTCCGTTCTATATAAACGGTCTCACTCACCCTCGCGTTCCGTTAACGCTATCACTACGTGCTTCAGGGCTGGGTGGGGGAGAGGTTGCCGATAGGCTTGCTGATATCAGCCCTGCTACTATTCAAAACAGGTGGGCGATTTTCTCGCAACGCGATTAAATGTTTTAAGACATGTGCGCGACGCAATGGCTGATAGCCAAGATAACCAAAAACAACAAGCTGATACCAAAGGCAGAAATTGTATTGAACGTTATGAGGTCGGAGACCAAGTTTTACTCAATGCTAAAAATATACCTACAAATGTAGTGTCTGCTGTCTTTAAGACAAAGTTGCATCAACGCTTTATTGGACCGTTTAAGGTCACGGCCAAGAAGGGACTTGCGCATACGCTAAACCTCTCGCGCAAATTGCGCACACATCCAGTGTTCTACGTAGGCTTACTTAAGCCGTACCGGGATCCTTCCCATGTGAACTTGGAGGCGCTGGCGCCGACGACGAGGGCGGTGCCCCGTATTGCCGAAACGAACAAGCAGTTCCAACTGAGCTTTGCTTCGAGTATGAGCATGCTCCATCGCCTGAAGGCGGCTATGCATCGCATCCAGCATGCATTGGGTCTTCCTCAAGTTCTCTTAAATACTCTTCATTTCGAGAACCAAATTCTCGTGGACTGCCACCGGTACACCGACCACCACCGACGCTGCTCGATGAGCATGGGTGTCGTCAGTTTCAATTCGAGAGACTACTGAAACGACGTCGTCGTCAGGGTCAATACCAGTATCTGGTAAAGTGGCGTGGGTACCCTGAGTCTGAGAACTCATGGGAATTTGATGTACCCCTTCGGCAAGACTGCCCATATGCTTTGGATTCTTTTGAGCGTCGTGGCCATGGTCATCTCGAGGCCGAGGCCGTTCCCCACCACTAGTGGTGCGGGTTGGCGGGTTGTTGGCCACAGACTGACCAGCACCCGCGGCTACCTTAGTAGCCGAAGCATAGCGCGTGAGCTTGCGCAATTGGCCTCTGGCCTTAAGCTTGGCATAATCATACCGAAGCTTGCGTTCGAGGCGCACGTCCGCCGCATGGGCACTAGCCCTTAGAGCAAAAATGTTGCTGAGGCGACGCACATAGTGCACCCAGTGAACGAAGGCATCGTCTTCTTCGCTCATTGTTTCGTCTGCGAGCAAGAGAATGGGTATACCTTTGATCGGTGGAACCGGTGCACTACGTGCTTGCATGTCAAGGCGTGCCTTGTATTGACTTTAAGTCGTTAGGTGCGGCTCCAGGTACCTTTCACGAAGTGCCTGGCAGCTCACCACCTCTTCAGGAGTCTTGGGCCCATGGTCAATGACCCACGTTGCCAATGTTTGGCCGGCCGCTTGACGTAGACGTTCCTCCACACAGGGTGGGGTGAACACATAGTCACGCTGGCGTTCAAGGGTTGCAGCCATTTGTACATAACGCTAAGCGTTTTCTTCTCTTTGGACAAGCAATTGTTGTTGCTCATCGAGCGGGTTCGTGATGATAGTCTCTTCAGACCCAGATGCTGCATGCTGCGCTGGTTGTGCGCTCGCATCTCCACGTTCAGCGAACGGATTTGGGGTGTTCGAAGGTTGTGCCTCAGGCATCAGTGAGCCTGACATTGTCCCTGTATCACCGCGGATACTGGTATCGCTACCATAGTCCACTTTCTCCTCTATTCCGAGGTAGTCACACAGAGCCTTTGACTCGTTTGGTGATGAGGACATCGTGCTAGAGCGTACGTTACCGTGAGGTTCACCGTACGCGCACTGTTCTCGCTGAGAACACAAGTTCGATTGACGTTTTGGCAAACGTCAGTCTGGTGGGGGAGGGTGTAACGGGGTTGCACGAAATTATGGTACTTTGTACCAGAGGTGTTACACACCTGAGGTTACCCCTTTGTGAAGGTGATATAGAATATCTTTTTGGTTTGTAGGGGCTGACGAGTGTCAGACATTAGGTACGAAAGATCTTTGAGTAGGACTAAGATATTCTATAGGCTTTATTCAACAAAAATAAAATCAGTTCCCATTTTGATCTAAAGGACACGTGGATTGCGAGCCATCTTGATCGTTGATCACTGATCACTAAGAGTTAGCAACACCTCCTTGAGGTAGCTACTCTTGAGCACTGAGTGCTGTCGATTCACTGAATCGTTAGGTTCCCTGGAACAGGGATCTGAAGCTGTAAAGCTTGTTGACTCGTAAAGTCGTTAGTTCTTTAGAACTAAGTTGCTTGTAGAGCGTTAAGTCTTCCTCTGACTTAAGGAGCTGTGCAGCTCCGCTACAACAGTGGCCAGCCAAAACGGCAGTAAGCACCCCAAGCGGTATGCTGTGAGAGTGGCTTGTGATGCCACAAGGGTTGAAAAATGCTCCAGCAACATATGATCGAGTGGTAACACATGTGATGTGTCCGCACCGTGCCTACGCGCCCCATTGCTTTGACGATGTATTCGTGCATAGTAGGGCGAAGGACGGTCTGAGCGCAATAGATTCGCACAAACGTCATTTAGACGCTGTGTTGCAGACTCTGGGTGACGCTCAATTATACGTTGACTTGCAAAAGTGCGTAATAGGGGTCCCTGAGATACCTGTACTGGGCTGCACCGTGGGTGCACATGTTGTAAGAGCAGACCCAGAAAAGGTTAAGGCTGTACAGGAATGGCCAGTCCCACGTCATGTGAAGGATCTGCGCCAATTCCTTGGGCTCGCTAATTACCTGCATAAGTACAGCAAGAATTATGCGGAGCAGACTAATCCATTGTCTGATCTTTTGAAAAAGGATACAGAATGGACTTGGCCCAAAGAGCAAGAAGATGCGTTCACATCAGTGAAGCAGTCTCTTGTAGAGGCACCGGTCTTGGCATTGCCGGACGCGGATAGGCCCTTTATCGTCGTCTGCGATGCAAGCAATTTTGCAATCGGCAGCGCGCTCATGCAGAAGGATGACAACGGCGTTGATCGTGTCATCTCGTATCAGTCTCGGCTTTTGAAAGCCGCAAAGCTGAATTACCCTGTGCATGATAAGGAGCTACTTTCAATTAAGTATGTCCTTATAAAGTTTCGTGTGCACCTCTTGGGCACCGAACCATTTGTAGTTTATACGGATTGCGTATCACTGCGGACCGCTATAAATTCACCGCACCTCTCGCCGAGAATGGCGAGATGGCTGACATTATTTTCTAAATTTAACTTCAAAGTTGAATATTAGCCGGGTAAGTCGAATGTCTTGGCTGACGCGTTATCGCGCAGACCGGACTTCGAGGCAAGACACCGAGAAAGTGTGTCTCGTGCGAAAGCACAAGTTGAGTCGTAAACATTGGCAGCCATGAAGGCATATCATGTGAGGAGCTTCATGGCCTCCGATATAAAGGAGTGTTACAGTCAGGACGAGCATTGTCGCATGCTGTAGGATCATTTTGGTGGACGAAAGGTTACCCTTCCGTCGCACCTGAAAGCGCAGCTAAATCGCTTTAGCTACATTGATGGCCTGTTATGGCATCAGCTGTCACCCTGTGATCCCTTTAGAATCTATGTCCCTCATGACACGGATCTCAAGCTGATGATACTTCACGAGTGCCATGATACGCCATCTAGTGAGCATCTGGGCCGTAAAAAGACATTCTTACGAGTGTCAGAGTAATTTTGGTGGCCCCACCTATATTCGGTGGGTGGCCAACTATATTCGCTCATGCGAAGAGTGTCAGCGCATTAAGCCTGTACCTTCTAGCAGTGCGCCACTGAAACCACTGCCGAATCCTACTGAATGTTGGAAGTCAGTCAGTTTGGACTTCATGTTTGGCTTACCTCCTGACCATAAAGGCAGGGCGGGGCTCGTTGTCTTTGTCGACAGACTGAGCAAGATGGTGCGTTTAGCACCATGTAGCACCACGATATCGGGAAAAGAGGCTGCCCTCTTGTTCCTGGATTACGTGTATCGACTACACGGGATGCCCGAGTCCATTGTATCGGATCGGACTCCGCGTTTTACGTCAGGTTTTTGGCGTCATGTGTTTGAGCTGCTAGGAAGCAAGCTCCACATGTCAACAGCCAATCATCCCCAAACCAATGGCCAAACGGAACGTGCCAATCGAGTTGTGGCGGATGTATTGCGTACAGTAGCAACTCCTAAAGAATGGAGCAAGCAATTGCCATTCGTGGAGTTCGCTATCAATAACAGTGTTCACGCCAGTACGGGTGAAACACCGTTTTACATTAACGTACTGCGCCATCCTCGGACGCCAGTCTCTTTTGTGTGCAGCCCGAGTCTTAGTGGGGGAGGGCCTCTCACTTCGCTCGGTGCAAAAACGAAAGGGAACCAAGGTTGCCATAGTGACACTGCTAATTTAGCAGTGATCACGACACCTATAGGTGTCAATGAGGAGGCACGGCAAAAAATGCTTGTGCTCCTTGACACCTTAGTGTTATCAACAGCTTCGACCCGTGAACGACCTCCTGGAGGCGTCATAGGCGAGCTGAGTGCTAAAAGCGTGAGCGAAGCTCAGCGCTTTGTGGATGAGCGATTAGCCATCACACGTAAAGTCCGTGACGCGATGGCAAGCGCACAGGATAAGCAAAAACAATATGCGGACCAACATGGTCGTAAAAACAATGAACACTTTAGTGTTGGGGATAAAGTGCTATTAATTACCGCTAACCTTCCTAAAAATGCTTTTTCTGTACTACCTGGTGGTACTACTAAGCTCTTGCTCCGATTCATCGGGCCATTCGCGGTGGATGAGGAAGTTAGAGACCTAAACTATAGGCTCACTCTCCCACCCTACATGAAGACGCACCCCGTATTTTACGTGGGTCGTCTGAAGCGGTATGTGGATCCACAGGAAATGACATATCCGCACCTGTCTAACGAGACCGATGGTGACGCCGACTGTGAGTCGAGCGTCGTTGCCGAGGAGGCGACGGGGAAGACGGATAGCTTCTTGGCGTCGAGTGACTCTCACACGGCGAAGGTAGAGGACTCGGTAATCGAGGAGGACTCCGCGCTTGGCGCGCGTCTCTCAGCGCCAGTCGCTCTAGCAAGTTCACGCAAACCTTCAGGCGGTCATACCCCTGACGGTCCTTCGTCCTCACATCACGAAGACCCGAAGTCAGTCGCCAGACTTGACTTTCGAGATCAGTCACCCGCTTCTTCAGCGCAGCGTTTTCCACCTGCGTCTGAATTGCAGCAGGGTAGGCGGCCGCAAATAGGTGGGCGTAATCGTCACTCCTATCGGGCGCCACCTGTGTCGGTGGACGCGGCAGGAAATAAGCGCTTCCTTGTTGGAAGGCTATTGTCCCACCGCTCTGTGAAGCAGAAGCTTTAAAATTTCTTGTCCAGTGGAAAAAGTACCCATCGAGCTTTGACTCTTGGGAGCCTGTTGACGCTTTGCGCGTCGACGTGCCTGGGCTGGTGTCTGCATATGTCAGAAGCACCAGCTGCAGTCTTTCTGCTAGGTCCGGATGGACTAGCAGGAAAGGCTTAGCGAGAGTCAATTAATTGTTTTTTTTACCGTCCAAGATCTCTTTCGCACGCGTCATGGCGAATATGATTCGCTGCGACCGTTGTTTTAATGCATCTTCATGCGGAGTAACACGGCGCAGGAACTCTGCTTCGTACTCGTCGGCTGTTTCATTTAAATTCAGCACGACGGGAATAGGGTAAGCACGACCATGTGCCTTGCCCTGCTTTTTCCATAACGGAAAGACGCTATAAACTTTATGAGCGTCAATAGAGGCACGCTGCAAAAGCGTCGCACTGGATCCCTTCTAGCGTAACCACTCGGATGGAGGTGGTATTGTTGGCAGGCCACCACTCACGTAGCCGCCCTCGCGACGGCGGGCTAGTGAGGCCACTTGTGAGCTGGGTGGAGCTCTAAGCTCTCATTTCTTTGAGTCTGACTCTCCATTATGGATGGTCAAGACGTCAGAATGAGGATTCACACCCGCAGAGGCGGAAGATTTTGAATCGCCGACCTGTTGTTGAGACGCGCCTACTTCTTTAGAGGTAGCGCGCTCAGAATTAGTCGCTGCGCTCGTAGACGCAGGCGATGAGGCATGACCTTCACTTGCAGGAAGCATGGAAGCTCCCTCAAGGTTAGGTGCCTCAAATGGTGGCGACATATGTCCCATCAACGCACTTTGCTCATCACCACTTTGCGGTGATGGCAGTGGCGTGGTCTCATTGCAGTCCACAATGACAGACAGTATATTATCCACATTATAGTGAGATGGAAATTTGCTCCTAGCACCTGGGGTACTTTGCGACGGCTGCGAATCATCGCGGCGCGTGCGCTTAGTACTAGACTGCATGGGCACCTTTTCAGGTGACCCATTAGCCTTACCACGTTTCGGTGGCATGAGAACTCGAGTGGACTGAGCGGCGCGTATGTGTACGAATCTCTGTCCCTCTGTCTTTTAGGCGATGTTTTACAAAATGTAAAAATCGTTGTTAAAGGGGGGATGGTGTAACAGGGTAAAAATATATGTTACACGTACCCATTTTATAGTGTATATTTAATCGGTAAGCTCTAAGTATACGTAATTACTTTGGAGCTGCCACTTGGGTGAGACACACAAATGTGACCCACCCTCGTGAATGTGATATCCATTGATGGATTCACATGAGAAGGGATGACGCTAGTTGAAGCTAGGCATCATGACGTCGACGACGGACGTCATTAGCGAGGCTAAATTATTTAACCTCAGCACGCAAGGATACGCTTCTAAAGAGTCGCGTATCCAATCTTTTTATGTTAACCAATCAGTGGTTAGTTTATATTTAATTCATTAAATATAACTCAGTCTTGATTTTACTAACTAAAGAACACTGCGCACGCAGAAGCTGAATAAGCTTCTGGTGTCGCAAGTGTCTTCTTGTTTAGAAGTTCGTTGCGCTCTCGCTTTACGCGAGCGGCAACTGGTGGTGCGATCGCTTAGGCGGTCGACCAGCCAATCCCCACCACCACACGCGAAAGGTATACGGTTTAACCGCTTCCTCGCTGTGCTTAGGTGCGTGTGCCGTGGTAGTACGTGGCAGCTGTATAAGCGCCCGTCTAGACGTATCGTCGGTTCTAAACGTGGCGCTACAACGAAACTTGATAGAGATTGAGCACAATAGTAGGAGGATTACGGTGTCATGCTAATCGACTTAATGGACATCGATTATGGACGGAGTGTTGAGTTGCAACAAAGAAAATTGACTGTCATCATGCAGATTGCCCGCCAACATTGGTTGTCGAGCATTAATGACGTGCGATTAGGAATCCTCGTATCCTGCACACAACTGCTTGGACGGCCAGAAAGACAGCCTCTTACGTGTTCAAGCAAAAAACCTTCACAAGTTCGATCGAGGAACTCTGTCACTTCATATGTAACGGGGCACCCTGTGAGTGGGGTGCCGCGAAACTTTACATACACTAGTACGTGCAGAGAAGCTAATCTACGTAAACAGATCGTTTGGGTAAAGGGTAAAAGAGAACTGTATTTAATATAGTTAAGCTATCAATATAGCTTCAGTCTTTATCTAACAATATTAATCTACATTGTCGTATGACGTCAACCTGCTCTCCACTCATTACGCGCGTCTAGTAGCGATCGATGGTAACCTTGGTTGTTATGTCTTTTATCAACCAATCTTCGAGCAGCACGTGAATATTATCCTACAAGAGAATAATATTCCTTCAATATTATTTATTGTGGATAATATTGGTAGAGAATTGTCTTGCTAGACAATCTCCCTGTTGACACCATTTGGTGTCAATACCATGTAACGGGCTACCCCTTACATCACCTTCCCTCTAACCATAATCATCCATTAATTGAATTTAACTGATTGAGACAGGGAGATCACCGTTTGATCACTCTGGGAAGGAAGGCACTTGTTGGTTAAATTTAAACTCATTTGCCAATTCATCGCATGGTGTCAAAGTACACGCGATGTGCTGCCGAAGGAGCAAGAAAGGCGGCCGTACGCATGCGTGCAGCCGAAGAGAGTTCTTCTCTTGCTTCAGCAGCAGCTGATCCTTCGTCTGCTGTTGCGATTTAGCAACAGACGGTACCTGTTGTGAACAGTCCACGCGGTGAGTCACAACGCGCGACAGATACATCCACTGTGTCTGCAGCGGGTGCTGCGACTCGCAATGTGGATGAGCATAAAATAGATCTTATCTATTCTGGCGAGTTGGATGCATCATCCGACTCGAGACGACACCTCACGCCTCCGGATCATCCGGGGCGGACACTGCAAGAGCCAGGCTGACTGGATTTGGGGAACGTGGTGGCATCATGTTCGAATCTTTGGACCGAGCGATTCTTCTGACGAATCCCCGTCTCACGCAAGTCCATCCGACGATAAGACGCGTAGTGATGGTGGTGATGCACCTATGCATCACCACGAGAGAAGCAACTTCGAGGATCGAGCTGCCAGTGGTGTCAGTGCTCCTGATAACACCACTCAAGAGGCCAGAACCGATAAGGCATGCGTCACGCTCCTCAATTGGAGTCTCTTTGGATGTCAATATCCAATTCGTTAGAATAATTGGCCGGTATGACCACCGAACGGGACCGAATCCCGTTGTTCAACTTTAGGAGGATCGAATCCCCAATTCCAGCACGTATACTTTCTGTGCTGAGAAAGAGTTCATCACTTATGTATTTGTCGAACATCGCTGGCACAATGGTAACCGTGGTCGAGACGGTAAGGCCTTGGTGCAAGGATGGAATGTCTTCATTCATAACATCGAGCGCATTAACCTTAAGTCCTGGATCGGTAACTTGATGTAGTTTGCATCAGGCTTGAGAAGCGCAACTCAGTCGGTGTACGATACAAGTTGGACCGACTGTCTAGAGAGGCAGGATTACCCTATCTCTCGTGGGGTGATTCGTGTCCAAGTTGTCTGGATAACTCGAAGCGTACCTATAGGGGGGGGCTAACTCCCTATTGTTCCATACTGGAGGGCACGCATCTCTTCTGAGATGGCCGAAGGGATTGACACTTTGCAATCCCTGTACTCGCGTTCGAAGAGGTCGTTTTCCGACGGCCCTTCTTCAAACGCAGTGGATGTTTCTCGTCATATTGCATAACGAGACCCAAAATATCAACAATCAGATGAGCACGAGGCTCCCAGCTGTCCCAGGCCGGTGGATAGCCACGCCAGCGGACAAAGTAACTCGTCCGGACGCCATTCACGTGTCGGTGGCTCACAATACGCTCCACCAGACAGCAATGACCACCGCCAGAATCCACCAAAGGATGTGGTGGTGGCGGAAACACCTGTTCCGGCTCGAGGGTCGGATCAGCCTAATTTTCAGATATTGAATCACGTAACGGAACGGTTACATAATGACCTGGCACATGAACGGACTCGGCGTTATACGCTCCATGACCTTGTAAAGGACAAGTGCAATTCCTTAGCGCACGATAGCTCAAACATCGTGCCGCTTTTGCGTTCACGCAACTTGAGAACGAACGTTCGGTTCGTTCTCTTCGTGACGAGCTGACTGCAGCTCGTCAGGACATCGATCAACTGCGTGAGCAGGTCGCTTCACTATTCGACCAGACTGGCTCGTCGAAACGAGACCACTCGAAGGTGGTCTCGGCCCTTTACCGCGGAGGTGTTCTTTGCTTCTCGAAATGGGATCGTACTGATAGTAAGGGTGAAGAAGTCCAACGTAAAACGTAGGATGCGTACGCATCCTACATGGCAGTTCAATTGTGTGTGAGTTGTCCATACGGCGCAACACACAAAATGGACCAACACACTTGGGCAGTAATTTACTGCTGCCCACATTTGTCACTGCGTGTTTGGTAGATTAACTATAGACAGTAATCATTAAAGGCTAAGGCAGTCGTACACTAGATGGTAAAATGCAAAGTGAATATATTTAGGTCCTTAGTTCACAAACTCTGTTGCTACTCTAAGCCTACAGGATTCTTCGACTACACGTTCCTGATCGCTATATCGCGCATTACTAATCGTATAGTCGCGCATTAGTAATCGCCACATCGCGCATTACTAATCGTTTAGTCGCGCCTTACTTATCGTCCATTAGTACGTTTCTGATTCTGATCGCGCGTTCCTGAACACCCAAACGTACCGAAAATGGGGGACGTCACTGTCTGGCAGTACAGTGCTGGTGAACCATAAACACCAGATCCCGAAGGATTAACTTGTTTTTTGCACGCCCCCACCGGTATCGAACCAGTGACCTTTGGGATGGTACTGCCATACCAAATTGGCTGAGCTACAGAACACATTTCTGTCACATCATGCCGAGACGTCTCTTTTACAACAATAATAAGTCTCCTTCATCAAATGAAAGAATATTTTCTCTTTCATTTTTGTCTTCGTTTCTTATCTGCTTGTCTATTGCATCTGCAACAGAGTCTTGAACGAAGCGGACAACCGCTTCGCGATTCAGCTAAAATTGCTCTGCTGATTCATCATTGTTAACAGCAGCGCGCTTCGTGTGCACTGCTGAAACGACGTTGTCTTCACCAGTTATGGCGTCATCGTCCTTACTGTGACAGTCATTGTCAATGCCGAATATACCAGCATCGTAGTCATCATCGTCATCGGTGTCGATGTGATCGACACCGGCATCCATCATGTCGACACCATTGTCGACGGGTGATGAGCAAGAACCAGATCGGTTTTTGTTCGAGCGAGTCCACCCCCCATCAACTAGATTCACACTCTAAGAAGGCCGGTAAACGTGGATGGTGTAGGCCATTCACAAAGAACGGTGTATGCGCTGTCGACGCGTGCACCGAGTTGTTGATGGCGAATTTCGCCATCGGAAAAAAACTCACTTCAACTCGTAGACGAGTGAACGTATCCTCGAAGTATCTCTTTAAAGACGCGGTTGACGCGTTCCGTCAGACCATCTGTTTCTGGATGATCAGAAGTCGACATCTTCAAACGTGTTCCAAGTGAACGGAATACGGATTGCCAGAACTCTGCTGTATAGCGGGGGCCCTATCCAACACGAGTTCACGGGGTAACCCGTGAATTCGGAAGATAGTATCGATGGAGACACGAGAACAGCCCTGGGCTGTGATTGACTTCAGTAAAGCAACAAGGTGTACTATCTTGCTGATCCGATCAACAAACACAAGAATACTGGTATTCTTGTGAGCGTCTTTGGGAAAACCAAAGATGAATTTCATAGATACGGACTGCCAGCAATCTGCAGGAATTGGTAGAAGTTGCAAGGGGGCACGGTATGAATAACTAGGCTTCACCCGTTTACAAAATTTGCAAGTGCGAATCTATTTGCGCACAAACTCATACTGGCGGGGCCAGAAGAAGTCACGACTTACCACGAGGTAAGTCTTTTCTCTACCGCGATGCCCACTTGTTGGGGCATCGCGACACTCATACATGATGCGCAATCGGAAATCATCATGGCAGAGAACGAACACACGAAGTTTTTCGCCGTGGACTGCTGTGTACTACAGCAGTCCCTCACGGACAGAATACCGTTCGGTTGAAGAGCGGTATTGAGACGTCAAGCTTGTCAAAGCTTGACCACATGGAATATATACGTAATCCATCAATCGCAGAAGAGACTCATCTTCTGCGTATGCTTTCTGCACGTCGTCGAGCCGACTCGACAACGGAACACTCACTGATAGTGTCGCTACAGTAAGATCACACCTACTGTTGGGTTGAGCAGTCGGCTCGAAATCGGGTCGAAGCGAAAGAGCATCAGCGACGACATCAAGTAGTCCTGTTTTTTACTCGACGGATAAGTTGTACTCTGCGAGAAAATCATCCACCTACCCATTCGTTGCGAGAGGTGCGGACTGTTCACGGCCGTGAGTAACGACGCATGGTCGGTATAAACCATGAAGGGCCTATCTCCTTCGAGATATACCCAAAACTTGGCCAGTGCATAGTTCATAGAAAGGAGTTCCTTGTCATGCACCGGATAGTTTTGCTCAGCTGCTTGCAGCTGAAGCGATTGATAACAGACGACGCGCTCAACGCCGTCTGAGTCGTACTGCATCAACGCGCAGCCGATTGCAAAATCGCTGGCGTCACAGACCACATGAAATGGCCTATCCTGATCTGCAATCGCCAACACAGGCGATTGCACTAAGCTTTTCTTGATGCTTTCAAAAGAGTGCTGACACTCAGCGCTCCATGACCACCTCTCGTTTCTCTTTAATCGACGAGAGAGATGTACGGTCATCTCGGCATAGTTGCGCTAGTATTTGTGCAAATACGCTGCCAAGCCAAGGAACTGTCGAAGTCCCTTGACGGCGGCTGGCACAGGCTAGTCGCCAATCGCCTTGATCTTTTCCGGATCAGGGCGTACACCGTTTTATCCACGATGCAGCCAAGAAGTGGTATTTCGCTCGCTGCGAAAATACATATCTTGAGGTTCGCGAGCAACTGCTGCTCTCGCATAAGTGTAAGAACCTTCCGAACGTGGATACTATGAACCTCCGCGTCTGCCTTTCCATCCATAGTCCGGCTATGGACGAAGACATCGTAAAAGTAACTCGGTGCGAAATCGCGCACCGATCGCAACATATTCGTAACACATCTGATAAACATTGCAGGGAGATACGTAGCATCTGTGGCATCACTAGCCACTTCCAGAGCATACAACTGGTGGCGCTCACTGCTGTGTACGGGATGTACCGTTCACGCAGGAGTATTTGATCGAATACATTCATCCTATTAATGGACGAAGAGATGGTACTTTTTGCCAAACCATCAATGATGACGTCCTTCCTCGGTTTCCGCGTTCAAGCCGGTACCGTTGCAGCGTTCAATTTGTTGAGCGCTTGCGCTATCCGCCACCCTCCTGTGGCCTTTCGCACACATAAGGTCGGATAGCTGTGTGAGGACGTTGATTCCCACACATGATTAGCCGCTAAACGATCGGCAAAGAATTTGTCGATCGCTGTTATCTGTTCACGAGGCAGTAGCCACCGCTTCATGACACAGTATTTTCGAACCAGGTTTTAGTTCGATCTCATGCCGAGTGCCTTTTTCCTTGGGCAGCTCGCATGGCACGGATTCAGGGAAACATCCCTCAATTTAACCAAATCGTTAAACAAAAGATTTGTCTTCAAAGACTTCCAAGATTGAGACGTGTATCGCTCAATCCGGGTCTTCTCATCGAAGACGCTCTCTTTCATCGATGAGCTGCTGAGAACCCGTTCGTTTTCAGTAAACACTTGTGCCGACCATATATCGGCGATGTACTCGTCTTCTGTGACAAGTACGCACATCTGCTTGGTCTTGTCAGTACGCAGATCTCGTAGGAATCTTTTCGATTCTAGTGTTGGCAACTTGGCGACCTCCCAGGCTGACTTCTAAGGCGTAACCAGATCAAGAATATAAGCGCCTACACTTGATCCTTCATTCACCAAGACAGTCACTGTCTCGGTGATTTCCTGGGAAACACATCCGCAGGTGGTTGGGGATCCACACCCTCAACATAACACTCTCGGGAGTTATCACTCTCAGGAACGCTGGAACTCTCTTCCAATACGTGCAATATCACGTTCACGTCCTCTTCGATCGACTCTCTTTCAGTCGATCTCGCTTCAGCGTGTTGTTCAGTCTGAACAACACTAATCTCTTCTCGGATGCACCTTCTTGGTGTGCATCCGTGTTTCAGTCCACTCGATCTCTTCGAGTGTTGATCCTTGGGCGCTGCCTGTGTCTCTACACAGGTGCCGGAAGCTGGTTCCACAGTGTAGTGGCCTTCTACACAGTGATCTTGTGCAGTCATACTAACGACCATACCACAAGTGAGGCCATCGAACTCACACCTAGTACATCCACACGCTTGTGGACGCTCCAAGACGTTCATCAGACGTCCATCTAATGAACAAATGGCAGGCATCTTCACGGATCGATGCTGCCAGCTGATCCATGACTGGTATTTTCTGAGCCATGGCAGATTAAGGATGACATTAAATCTGAAATCCAAAATCAGTAAGATGAAGTCATCATCCTACTGCTTTCCTTCTAGCGTGTAGTGGATTCCCACTACACGTTTGCATAATGTTACGTATGCGCCTGTTGCGAGGCACACCGTCATTCTTATTAAGGGGAACTCTCGCTCAACATAGTTAAGCCTACTATCCTATAGCGACTGGCGTCGAATAAAACTGTTTGACGCCCCACAGTCAACTAGGGCGCGAAGTGACATTCCACTTGTCACTTCTATCTTTAAAGTGATGAGGTGTCCCTCATCACTAGGGGAAGTAACAAACAGCAACTGTGTGTTGAACGCAATCTTTGTCAAGAGTCCTGCAATTTTTCTTGACGTTGCTGGATCATCAGGGTGCTCCGCCCCTACTGACCCTTACCGTTTTTTTACGGTCCAAATTGCTGTCGCGGCTTAGCGACATGGTCGGATCCACGCCTTGGACCTTTCCTTGGCTAACGGCGGTCATCACGTCCTGTCTTTGAACGTGATGTGGTGCTTGCGACAATACAATTATAAGCGTAGTGTCCAATCTTCTGACAGAGATATCACCTTGCCGTTCGCTTGTGACTCATAGAGCGAGAGTGCTAGCTCTCGATGTAACAGAGGTCCATTGGTTCGGGACCTCCGGTTTCCTGTCGTCTTGTTGGACGATAGTTTTACGAGTTAGCCTGAGACTGTCTCAGGCTGAAGTCTTCTTGTTCCGCATACGCTATCGCCTTTTCCAGTGTATGAAAGTCCTCTTGTAACATGTAGGTCTCCACCGGTCCATCTACAAGGCCATAAATGAACACATTGATAAGCGTGTGCTCGTCAACAGGGTTTTTCCGTGACGCTACTCGTAAGGTAGCGTAGGTGTTGTGCAAAAGCATGCACGTCACGCTTTCCTTGCTTAGGCCTCAAGATGCAGAGCGTGCTCTGAACTCGGATCTCGGTGGCTCAAACGTCTCTTTGAGCCGGGACCTCAAGATATAAAGACTCAAACACGTTTGGGTCGTGAAGCTGGAGCCCTAAGGTCCAAGTATTTGCTCGTCCCGTCAAATTTGACAGGGCGAAGGTGATTTGCATCTCGTCATCCTCGAGTGAAGGACCCTGATGGCGTCGTCTAACTCGACGAACCATCTCAAAACGAAATCTTCATCGATTTACTTGTACCTTGAGATATCAATCTTCAAGGTTTCGGGTCGACGCATGTGCGTCGGCTCACCCATAGACTAATGAGATCCTTGATGTTGTAGCAAGGCTATCTTCCGTCTTTCGAAGGCAAGTTCCCCTTGTAGGAACTTGTTGATATCAGCATGCTGCTGATCTCTGTTGAGAGACTCTAACATGACACTGATGGCGTGTACGCCCAAGAGCACACTCATGCGGCCAACTGTCTCCCATTCTTAGTTACTCAGATGATGCCTTCACGCGTGACGGGGAAACTGTTGTCTTCTACGTCCAACATGTGCATGTTGAACGGACAATAAGTAGTCGTTGGACGGATTAACAGTGCTACCAGGTGAACGGGGCACCCTGTGAGTGGGGTGCCGCGAAAGTTCACGTATACTAGTACGTGCAGAGAAGCTAATCTACGTAAACAGATCGTTTGGGTAAAGGGTAAAAGAGAACTGTATTTAATATAGTTAAGCTATCAATATAGCTTCAGTCTTTATCTAACAATATTAATCTACATTGTCGTATGACGTCAACCTGCTCACCACTCATTACGCGCGTCTAGTAGCGATTGATGGTAACCTTGGTTGTTATGTCTTTTATCAACCAATCTTTGAGCAGCACGTGAATATTATCCTACAAGAGAATAATATTCCTTCAATATTATTTATCGTGGATAATATTGGTAGAGAATTGTCTTGCTAGACAATCTCCCTATTGACACCATTTGGTGTCAATACCATGTAATGGGCTACCCCGTTACAATCTTAGCAGCGAAAGTATACGCTAACGGTAATCAGAATTGCAACGTTATCAAGCTAGTAATGGATGTTTATCTGAGTGGGCAGCATTGAATCAGAACCCGCGCGACCTCATTTATTCAATGCCAAAACGATGCATCGATTTCATCAAGCTGCGTGGTAACTTGACCCGTCACTGTACATAAGAAGCTTTGTCTCGTATTATACAATGATTTTTGCATAAATATAGATGGCTCATTTTCTGGCCACGTCCATTTTCCGACATATGTATAGGAGGCCCCCTACGAACTGCTAAAAACGGTCGATTACACATGTACCTGTTTGATACGATACAGATCTATCATGGTCAAATAGCTGTTCTTAATTCGTAATAGTTGCTAAAACATTGTATAAATTTCTTGGGGTGGCTTTACTTTTGGCCCGGGGTGTGCATACAATAACAGCATCATACTCCTTGTTCACTAACTGCTGTTGTTGCGAGCCCGAAGGGCGAAGCTATTAGTGCGTGTGCGCAAGGTTAAATGCCTAGCTTTTAAATCGTACTAATTCGTGTGCGTGTCTGTCTGTGTATCTGTGAATTACGCGGTTAGGTGTAGCTTACTCGTGCTGAGTGCGATCTAGCCTGTTTCGTCCACATAGTTACATAGGCATATCTGCAATCACTCTTTGGGTATGTCACTATTGTGCACCGCACACGTGATTGGCTTAAAATCAGTCAAAGGTGAATTTGATCAAATAGTCAAATGCTAGACCCTCAAAAGCAAAGGCTGATCGCTTTTGTTGAGTGTACTGAACTGGGTAAACATTAGCCTTAACAGCATGATATTCATTCCTCATTGACTGCTGAAGTATAGTGTTCTGCATCTTGATTCAGATTTCCCACCTAAATTACTCTAAAAGGGCGAGCTCCAGAGCTTGCTCCTCAGTTTTAATTAGCGACCATAGAACGCTGAACGATCCCGGTGGACATCCAATCCTTCAAAACAGTGGATGTCATCAGTCATCGAGGAGAAATTATAAGAGAGAGCACTGTAAGCGCTTACTGTTGGAGAAGCAACCGTTTCAGCAAATAAAAGAGTCTGGAAACACACTGCCTTCACTACTTTTGGAGCTGCTTCGGTTCGCAGCGCGAAGTAGTGCCTACCCAGACCGCTGTGTTGCAGTAGACACCGGCATTGGTGTGGGAGCATGAAACAAGCTCACGGAATGCCAGACCTAGGTCAACTATAAAGTGGCAGCAAACAAGTGCATTTTTATCGCCATGGCTGTCAAATCGTTGAAAGTTGTCGAAAGCGTAGAGTTTACTGTGGAGTCAGGAAAACATTTCAACTAAATTTGGTTCTGTTTGTGCGCGCACGCTTGCTTCATTGTCACTGGACCGGTAAACACTGGGCGTAGTCAAGACTGCATATCTGAACGCGCTTGTGCCAGCCGGAGAGCACTAAGGTTCTCCGCCGTGGTTATCGCGCATTTTCATCGGGAACATCTGGACGAAGTGGCCGAAGGAATAAAACAAATGTTGTCTATACTGAGCTGAGCTGTGTGTTACAAGTCTGGAGTACATGGGAAACCGTGCAGCTCTTTAACAAGAGAACATTGCCATCACCAGCAAGGATCTTACAAAAGCGGCAATGCGGCAACCCCGCGCTGCAGCGAAGCGGGAGTTCTGGAAGTCTGACACGAATGTACAAGGTGCCGTTGCTGTTATACAAGCGCAACCTTGACAGACAGCCCAATAGCCGTCACCTCGTCCATCCACAGGAGTCACACGAGGAACCGACGTTGCTTCCTCGGCCTAGGATTTACCTGACATCTTGTAAATCCAAAAAGGGTCAAGTAGACCCGTCTGATTCCAACCAAATCGTATGCAAGGTCAGCAACGACGCCGTGCAATAATTCCGGCGCTCGAGCTTTCTCAGGTGTGATGGTCGCTCGCGTTCCCGTGTCTTTCGAGCACGGAAGATTCCCGATCGTGGTGCGCAGTTTACTGTAGCCAGCAAATGAGTGCTCCAATCCTCGATACTTCTTCCATGCCAAACTCGTCGCTTCGGGTTGCTACACACCGACTGCATTCGTGTCTACCATTAATAATTCCTCGCCAGCTCCCAAAAACGACCTAGTGTCGCACATTTGCAAGGGCTGATTCCAGTTTAGAACCCCCGCATCCACATCGTCGACGAAAAACTGACCAGTCGCTACCGTCGTTTCCCGACTGTGGTATGCTCAAGCCAGTCCAGCCGCAGTCCACCCTCTGCGTCGCGTCGATCGAGAGCTGACGGGTCGAAGTGAGACAAATGAGCGCCAGATGGCTTGCGACAATACAGAGCAAGAGCATGTGTGAAAAGACGGGACGCTGGCCCGGTTCTGTCGGGTACACTCATTAGTCACGTGTGTCAGAAAAAGGGCGAGCAAGAGAGTAAGAAATGGCCTCACCGCCGACAATGACGACGACGGACGACAACTCAATCGGTCGATCGCTTGATCAATCGATTGATCAATCGGTCGCCACTTGCGGACAGGAAGAGGGAGGCGAACGAGTGGCCGAGCTAGTCGTCATACGAGACAGTTGCCAAGAGCTTTCTCTCTCTCTCTCTGTCTCTCTGTGTCTCAATTAATAGAGGCCAAGGCGCTAACGGCTGCGTTCTTCTTCGACATCAATCGAAGACTGTACGGGACCACGTGATTGTACTCGTGGTCTCCTTGGTCACTGCTGGTCAGTTTCTGTCCCTCCTCTTTTCGCTTGTTCTCGGGTCGCACTTGCGAACTGGCGATGCGACAGCGCAGTCTCAAACCCCAGCGGCGTGTGAAGAAGCTCCCGCACCGGCTTCACGATCCGTACGCGATTACGGGGGACGTGTCGTTTGAGGAATCGACTATTTCGGTGGGTGGCCTCATTACACCCACGGGTGTGCTGCAGCTCGTGGTGGTCTTGGCACTCAGCAGCTTCTTGTTTAGCGGCGTGCTGCTCTTTTGTGTGGGGCTGTTGGCGGTGCTGGGGCTTGTGTTGCTCCATCACAAGAGCGATGCGAAGACGAGGCAGCGAAGACGAGGACTTTCGAGTGTCTTGCACCGCCTCGTGGCTTTACGTCGCAGTGCGTTGGACTATTCGCTGACGCTCTCGATCGCGCCGAGAAGCGCGAGTCATCAGACAGAGAGCAAGATGCCGAGACTTGCAGTAGTGCCGTCGAGTATTTTACCCCAGAAAGTGGTGGCGACTATGGCATTGAAGCAGGAGACTTGGAAGCTGAAGCCTCAGTGCGCGACGACTTCGATTGCCAATGGCGCCTCGATGGTGACGCTTGACGTGTTGCCTCGGATCAGTTCCGACTTGCTCGAGACCGCAGACGAGCTGTACAGTATGGAGAAAGCCAGGGCCAAGTCGGAGCCGAAGCAGGTACTACGCAGGCGACCGCTACTGCCGCTCAAGGCCAACGCCAAGGTGATGCAGCTAGGGCCAGTGCAGGAGATCGAACGAGTGACACCGATACAAAAAGCAGAGCAGGAAGAAGTGATGTCTGATGCATTGACGACGTCTGTGAAAGCTGTGCACGCTCTGACTGAACAAAAGAAGTCGCAGTCTTTGCAGAAAAACGAAAAGCTACGGGAGGCACCGAGATTTACTACTGCCGAGACAAGGACTCAGTCATCTTCGATGCCGCTCAGAGGCAAAGATGCGGCTGCGCTATCGAAGGCCAAACCCAAAGCAGTGAAGGTTGTTCCATCTACAGCATCTGTTAATGATGGGAACGCTATACGTGCTGTGGCTCCGCTTCCAGACTTACCGAAGCGCAAGCTTTCGGAGAAAGCTGCTCGGCGTAAACCGGCCGCTAAGCAGGTTGTCACCCGCAAGGTGTCGCTCTATGTGAAGTCAAAAGTTGATCCAGTGCTGAAGGAAAAAGAGCAAGCGTTGAAGCAGGAAATTGCAGGTGGGCAGGATGAGGGGAACGGACACGAGCTTGAAGGTTTTGCTTTTTCGTTGGGGGCGTTCCCACCGTTGTCACAGCCCACGGTGCCGCAGACATCAGCGTCGCCGTCTGCTGCTGATGTGGTGGAACCGAACTTTTTGCTGGATATTGAGCTGGAGCCGATTGCAAAGCCCGAGAAGAAGTCGATCTCGTTGGAGTCTCAGCGTTTCAAGTGTGAGGGGAATGCGGAGCTGCGGTTGATGTTGGACGAGCTTGATGCGATGAGTTCGGAGCTGGACATCGCCATGGCTCATTGCACTTCGCTGCTTTATGAAGAAATATAACTCAAGAAATTGCGTTGGAGCGAGACAAGCAGTCGGCTCATTCACGTCTGGCGAGGGTGCCGACATTCCACTATTTTGGTGGACCATAAAGGCGTGCAAGCGTGACAGTATTGCAGTAGACGAAGCTGCGCGAAGAAAGCGGCAAACAGCATCTTAACTTCGTAATAAAAATCGTGGTCATTGGAGGTTCAGACTCCAGTAGCTCTGGCCGTAAACTCAATCGTACCATGTTGCCTATTCGTTTAGAAAAGCCATAAACGACGAGTACGCACGCTCAAGGTCGAAACTCAGCTGACGCGTTTGCTCCTCATCCAGTTCTTCGGAAGCCCTCATAGCGTTCATGGTACATAGCCAGCCCTCGATTTTGTCGCGTCCTGTAAAGTTGGGCGGCAAGCCGCTTACCATAGTCAACGAGCTCATCATCTCGCTCAGCAGCGGCTGGATCTCGTCCATTGCTCGAATGTTGAGCTTGAGCACGTCCATGAGCGTGATGAAGTTTTGCACGGTCTGCGCCACATTGACCGAGTCCGTCTTGCGGTTGATCGTATTGTGCACGACAGTAGCCGGCACACCGATGCGAACGAGTCGCTCGAGTGCTCGAGGACAGTCCAGTCTGTACTCGGAGACGAAAGCTTCGACGCTGTCAATAAAGCCTCCGGAACGTAGCGCCGTCTCGGCTGTTTTGTACTGTGAAATCAGCTTTGTACACGCTTCCGTATACTGCATGTTCGTTGACCCGTGAGTGGAAAGAAAGCACAACAATTCAATCAATGTGCGAGGCATGCAAAAAGAAACAGCTGCAAACCTGTTCGGGTGTGATGGCGTCTCGAACGTAAGCGGCTTCCAGGTGCTCCGTGGTCTTGAAAATGGCATACAAATCCGACAGATCTTCGTACTTGCGTCGGTCCTTTGTATCGGTCCATAACTTCATGTTTCTAGAGTCAAAGGAAGACAAAGACAGCAATGTTAAAGGAGGAGGAGGAGAAGTACAGGCTCATAGACGGAAGAGCTACCAGGCAGACTCGAATGATGGCGTTCTCGATGAGCTGCAGCCAATTGAGCGACTATAACGTTCGTAAACAGCACGACTGCATCGTTATAGTCAGTTACACATTCGAAGATAGGGAGAACAGAGTCAGGGAACGCACAGTAACAGAGGATAGTGCTGGATCGCCACTCCCAGGAGGAAATCGCCGTCTTGCTAGTGCGAATGGACTGACAATGTCCTGATGGAATAATAGACCAATCAGACGACGTGTCGTTTGGTGTTTGACAAACCATAGGTCTGCAAAACAAGTGCATACTGGGCGCCGATAGGTCGTCGACCGGATAAAGTGGTTGGTGTATACTTCGATTGAAGCAATTATTTATTAGCTATTATTCTCGACCGCTGCAGCAGCTAACGATCGCAGCAGCAGCAGCACTAGCTGATCCCGTCGGGCGTGGCGTCAATCAGCTTCTGGATTTGAAATTGTTGCTCCACAATGGGTCGCACATCATCGACATCGACGAGGCTCTCCAGGAATGGTAGCAGATTCAGTAGCTCGGCATCCGCTTCGTCGTCGTACCACGTCTCGATGGGGACACCATTGTTCACCTGCAGATCAAGAAAAAACAGAGGAGTCATTACATTGCGGCTTGGAAATCAGCCTGTGCTTGGTGACGTACCTGATATCCGAATGCGTGGGGGGAATTGTCCACCAAAACGACCTTTGATAGATCTCGCCCGAGGACATTCAGGTCCTTGAGGTAGTTCCCAAAGACATCCAAACAGTCGTCTCGATAGAGTCGGTACCTACAACAGGGACAAAACAGCGTGAGGGTCGTGGCAGGTGGCAAGTACACTCTTCACAACAAGCGTACTTGATCAGGTTGCGGTGCGGGTCAAGCATGTTCATGAGCTTCTCCGCATACACCTGGTGAGACGCGGTGAATACGACGATCTCAAAGAGCTTGGACGCGCATTTCAGAAAGTACTCCATATGCGGACGCTTCTTCACATTGACTGTATACTCTACACCATTAAATGTGACCTAATTTGGTACCCAAGCGTGACACGTCGGGTTAGCGAGGCATGCAAAAATAGCGAGGCTCAAGCAGGAAAAGCGCACCGGAAACTGCATGTGTGGATCCTTGACTTCATCCACGCTGCAGTGTACGAGAGTCTCGTCTAAATCTAAGACCTGTTGCATCACGATACACGTCGTTAGCCTATTAAGATTGCAACTGCACAACTTCACCACCTACCAAGCAGATTTTTGGTGCGTTGCGTGACCTCTCCGGCAAAGAAACGGGTCTTTTGCCTTCCGTGATGTCCTCATACTTCGGCAGTGTCTTCATGAAGTAAAACCTGATTGTTCACCAGCACCAAGCATGAGTACACGCTTCGACAAGCACAGGCACCAATTTTTTTCCACACAGCTTATTCCATGCTGCTCCGTACGGGTTAAACTCATGCTCCATCATCGTGCCGTCCTCCTCCTCATGCTCCTCTTCATTCACCACATCGGCATCAAAAACTTCAGTAGCCAGCACAACGCTGTGCTCTGCTTGGTCGTCCGGCTGCACACTTTCAAGTCGAAGCTTAACATCCAGTCGGCCTTGAGCCCTCGGCGGAGACGCACTAGTGGACCGCGACGTCCGCGGAGGCTTGAGCGCGGGCGAGAACAACCCGTCCTTGCTCCCATCTGGCTCCCCCTCTTTCACGTGTTTCTGCTCCAGCTCGTCATCTGAGACGGTCACCAAGTCATAGTTCAACTTGGTCCGTGCTTTGACCGCCCCCGGCTGTTTCTCCTCGTAAGCTTCATCATATTCCGCCAATAGTTTTCGCGGGGAGAAGAGCTTTTCCTTCTCTTTGAACTTGGCACCATCCAAATTGCTGGCATCTGAAGGTGGTGGTGCTTGCTGTGAAGTATTGGTTTCTGTAAGTACGAATAAACAGTATACAGTTAACGTCTGTGGTACAAGAACGACAGCTGCGACTCGTGCCGTACCTGCCGCCTTCGTGCGCTGGCGCTTCATGGGCGTCGAGGCAATAGGCGATCGCGGATCGACGTAGTGGCCTTGCAGCAGCGGCTGCTGCTTGTTCTTGCGGTTCTTGCGGCGCTTGCGCTTGCGACTGGCGTCATGGACGGCGTTCACTTCGGCCATGACGTTGGCAAATGAATCTGATTGGCTCGGGTGAAGGACTCGGAATAATTGTGGACGGTACACCACGAACCGTCTTGTCAATTGACGTCGACCATAGTGAAAACAAGTGGAAAAAAGTGTGGAAGGTCGAATCCGTCGTTCGAGTGGCGATACAAGCCGGGCTCGATTTGATTGAAGCGATGTATGGCCAATAATACCTCGATAATCAATCAGCAGCGAGTAACCTCCTGTCACGTTCGCTATTTGATAATAATCATCGAAACACTAGCAATAGTTGCGGGATCAGGGTCCTTGGTGGTCACTATTGAAGTTCGTGTAACGAGGGAGGATGGACCACTCAAGTGCCGGTGCATGTTTTTCGCACAAGGTTCTGGGGACAAAACTGTCGAGTCATGCTTGAAGTGCGTGCGACGTCAGTCGAGGGAGGGAGTCAACAAGATCGAGGAGACGAAGAGGCACCAAACCAACAGCTTCGATCCATTTCGGCCGCTATGACTCCAAGAGCTACAGCTGACCAGATGCCTGACGATGACAACGCTGCAACGATTGATATGGACAAGACGACGTTTGTGACCGAGAGCAATGGCGCGTATGGATACGGAGGTCACGCGACACTGCGGATCGACGAGATGCGTCGGAACGAGTTCCCGCAGCTGCAACAGCGCGTGCATTTGGACCACGCAGGCGCAACAACGTACGCACAGACGCAGCTAGACGCTGTGTTCCAAGAGCTCCAGCGTGGGCTGTTCACGAACCCCCACAGCGCAACTCATCGAAGCAATGTCGCGTCAACAACTACTGCCCAGATTGAACACGTTCGACGTCACGTGCTGGCGTTTTTCTCGGCCAGTGAAGAAGAGTACACGCTGATCTTCACGGCAGGGGCGACGGCGGCACTAAAGCTCGTCGGTGAGAGCTTTCCGTGGACTCCAGACAGCACGTTTGCGTATTCCATGGACTCCCACACGAGCGTGCTTGGGATCCGAGAGTATGCAGCAGCACAGGCGTCAACGATACAGTGTGTTGGACTCAAGGCGCTCGAACAGCTTGAGCGAGGAACAGCCAACAGCCAGCAGCGGTCAGTAGACGCTGCGTGCTCTCAGCCCCAGTCCGATGCTGCTTCCACGAGTTTGTTTGCGTTCCCGGCGGAGTGCAACTTTAGCGGCACTCGCCATAACTTCAACGCCATTGTGGATCAAGTTCGTGCCGGTCGCTGGAAAAGCTCAACGAACAAGAACACACGGTGGATGGTGCTGGTCGATGCAGCCAAGTACGCGGCAACGCACCGTCTCGATCTCTCGACGCATCACCCTGATTTCGTAGTGCTTTCGTTTTACAAATTATTCGGGTACCCCACAGGGCTAGGAGCACTAGTCATGCGGAAATCTGCAATGTCGCACTTGAAGAAGCCCTACCATGGCGGTGGAACAGTGCAAAGCATCTCGGCCGAGCGAAACTATTTCGTTCCACGTGGGACGGCCGACGAATCCGACATGAGCTCCCGTTTTGCTGATGGCACGCAGTCGTTCCTGTCGATCCTTGCGCTGCGACACGGATTCGAGCAAATAGAGAAGCTGGGAATGGCGAGTATCTCAGCCCACACTGCAGCGTTGAGGACGTTACTTGTTGGTAAACTGACTGCTCTAAAGCACTGGAACGCGCGACCGATCTGCAAGATCTATGGCAATCACAGCAGCAACTCGACAGCAGATGAGCAGGGACCGATTGTGGCCTGCAACTTTCTTCGTCCGGACGGCAGCTACGTTGGATACAGTGAGGTTCACAAACTGGCGGACATTCACGACATCCTTTTGCGAACTGGCTGTTTCTGTAATCCAGGTGCGTGTCAGCACTACCTCGGACTACAGGATTCTGACTTGATGTCAAATATTGCAGCTGGTCATGTCTGCGGAGACGACATTGATGTGGTGAACGGACTGCCGACTGGTGCAGTTCGATTGTCATTCGGGTACATGACAACATTCGAAGACATTGCAGCTTTTGTAGAGTTCGTGTCCAATTATTTCACCTGCAAAACACCACCGGCATCACCGACGCCAAGCTCAATGTCTGTATCACTTGCTCCAGAACCTGTATCGAAAAGACGTTACCTCTGCAAGATCACACTATTCCCGATCAAGTCGTGCTCTGGCATGGGTGTCGACGCGTGGCCTATCGGATCAAGAGGACTGTTGTTCGACCGAGAATTCGCGATCGTAGATGTGTCCACGGGTAAGGCACTAACGCTTAAGGCGTTACCAGAGCTATGTTTCATAGTTCCCGTCGTCGACCTGGAACGGGAAATACTGACGATTTCCTATCGTCCACCCGACGAAAACTCAATGTCGTGGCAGTCGGCAGTGTCTCCATCGTCACTTACAATATCGCTACGTGCAGACGTTCCGACTATACAGCACAACAACGAAAGAGATTCTCGAAGCATGTGCGTCTGCGACAGCAAGTTCAAAGGACGTGACGAAGGCTCTGATGTCTCTCAATGGCTGAGCTCGTGTCTTGGTCGGCCTTGCACGCTGGTGCGCGTTGCTAACGACCACGTTCGTACCTCGCGATCCAAGCCGACAATCAATGCAAATGCAACTGCGACGAACCAACGGCTCGAAGGCCCGACCACAACAAGCCAAGTGCCTCATCCTCCGTCGATCGGGTTTGCTAACCAGGCACAATACCTGCTCATCTCCCGCCAGAGCGTCGCCCACTTCAACGCAAAGCTCGCTGCCTCCAACGTCTCTATGAGCATCAACGAAGACGCGTTCCGAGCCAACCTCATTGTCGACGGATGTACCGAGTCGTTCGAAGAAGATCAGTGGCATCGCGTGCGTCTCGGCGACAGCGTGTTTGATGTCTCGGGTCCGTGCAGTCGCTGTACCATCATTAATCTGGATCCACACACGGGTCAGTTCCAGCGACAGCCGCTGCAGGTTTTGTCCAGCTACCGACGGCAGCGCAGCAGTATCTTCTTTGGCCAGTACCTTGCGTCGACTTCGGAGACCGGATGGCTTCACGTTGGCGACGATGTTGAAGTGGACGCCGGTGCCGCAGCCAGTCAAACGCGGGTGCTCGATCCCTTGCAAAAGCGATGATCAGCTTTGCGACTCGCAGTATCTTTGCCGAGGTGTTTTCCACCATACCGGAGCCAAGAGGTTTTTCGCTTGTCCCCTCGTGGCGCTCCCCGCTGCGTCCACACTCCGTGTCACTCGCGTATTCCCCACGTCGCAAGCACAAGACCAAGAAGAGAGAGAGACCGAGTCTATCGCCATCCGAACCATGCCGAACCCCCGTGTGTTCTTCGACATGACCGTTGGCGGCGCGCCCGTCGGCCGCATCACGTTCGAGCTGTTCGCCGACAAGGTGCCCAAGACGGCCGAGAACTTCCGGGCGCTGTGCACGGGCGAGAAGGGCGTGGGCCGCTCGGGCAAGCCGCTGCACTACAAGGGCAGCGCGTTCCACCGCGTGATCCCCAACTTCATGTGCCAGGGCGGCGACTTTACGCGTGGCAACGGCACGGGCGGCGAGTCGATCTACGGCGAGAAGTTCCCGGACGAGAACTTTCTGCTCAAGCACAAGGGCGAAGGGATCTTGTCCATGGCTAATGCTGGCCCCGACACGAATGGCTCGCAGTTCTTTGTGTGTACCGTGGAGACGTCGTGGCTGGACGGCAAGCACGTGGTCTTTGGCCGCGTCGTGGAGGGCATGGACGTGGTCAAGAACATTGAAGCAGTCGGCACGCAGGCGGGACAGACCACGAAGCCTGTGGTCGTGGCCAACTGTGGCGAGCTGTAAGGCGCTGCTGTCGTCGTATCCGTCGATGTCGTCGAAGACGAGCAACGTCATGTGATTGCTGCATACCTCGTGACGAAGACGTCTGTACAGTGCTGACGCGCTGGCTGTCACATTGATAATTAAAGGAAGTTGACCTTTTACGTTGCCATGTTCTGTTGATGCAGCGGACTTCGGTTGTCTTGTCATGCGTGTGTGTCTTTGGCTTGTTCAGGAGGCTGGCTGGATGTCCCAGGAGACACGTCGATTATCCTACATGCTAGGTCAGTGAACACGTCCATAACATGTCCCCAAAAACGTACCGATACTTACGCCGAATGGTCAAGATGGACATCGAACAACGAAGAGATCTCGTAACTGATGCGCGATCTTCCCTCCCCACAACAGTGATATGCGACAAATGGAGGAAGCGATGGCCGTCACCTTGCAGCGTGCTGCAGTTCACTCTTAACTACAGCTTCTCGGACAATTACTGCGTCAATGACACTCGAAGTACCTGCTCTTCCACGGGTGCGACGCTTTTTTCGTTGCGGCATGCCATCACTGTCTCGAGCGGCCGCGAGCTGCTGCTCCAGTGCCACCGGTGCGTCTTCTGTGAGATCAAACACTTCGCCTTCTGATGCAGCCTGCTTTATTCGATAAGTGATGGCTTCCTCGATCGACATAGACCCTTCGAGCTGGATCTCCTCCTCTACTGCCTCGGCTCCATCTTCGGTTGGCGTAGACATGCGCACGACTCGTCGAATTGGCGCTGCAAAGTCGGCACACACGTACGCGTCTTCGCGTTCTCCGTCGAAAAACGATTTGTCCGCTGCAATGGCCTTCGCCGTTGCTTCGTGGATATCATCATATAGTGCAGCTTCCATTGTGTCCTCAGAAACGAGCCGGATGACGGTCACGAGAGCGTTCGTCTGACCCATCCGCAGTACACGGCCAATTGCCTGCTGCTCCAACGTACTGGCTTGCATGGGACTAAATCCGACTGGGTCCAGGAAAATGACATGAGACGCCACCTGCAGATTGATTCCAGACGCACTTGTGATCGAGTTCAAGATGAGTACTTGGATGTCTCCACTGTGAAATGATGCAACGTGGGCGGACTTCGTCTCGCTCGACTGGTGCTGCAAAAACACAGCACTTGTGATATTAGCCAGACGGAGTGCCTTGTCCACAACTCGTAGCGCTCGATCCCACATCGTGAAGACCACGACTTTTATTGTCGGTAGGCGGCTCAAATACTGCACCAGTGTCGATACTTTGCTGCCGTACACTGGCATTTTCTCGACGGCGTCATCTGTGCAAACGTTTTCCGACTCAATAAGCGCGACGCACTCGGTGATCTGCTTGAGCTGTTCTTCAACGAGAGCGCGGGCACGTGGACACCGTTCGGCCAGCGTGAACTCCATGACCTTGGCTAGTTTTTCCACCTTGCCCATCGTGTTGAAGTGTTTCAGTATATAGTCTTCAATTTCACTTTCGTGATAAAAGAGCAACTCCGTCGGCTCAGGGATGTCGTCATTGAATTGATAGTGCTTATAGAGCATCCGGAAGCCGGCTGTCGTTTCCCCGCTTTCGTTGAAGAATTTGCTCAGACCAGACCCCTTCATATCTTCGAAGCACTGCACCACATTGGCGTACGTGTTGGAGAAAATCGCACGACAAATCGCTACAGTGTTGTACGTTGCAGCCTCCATCACATTCACTTCATCTTTGTGCTTGGTTGCTACAGCCAATTGCCGGTGTAAATGATACTTCTCGTCGCGAAATGTCTCACTAGGGCTCTTGACTTTGACCAACGTTGACGCCAAGCTAGTTGTCAAGCTGCTTTGCTTACCCCCACGCTCCCTATCTAGTACTCGATCAGAGATGCCGGCGTGCACACAACTTTGTCGCGCAGGATGGTACTCTTTTGCCCACAGTGTCTTCGACAGCACATCCGTAGCGTCGACAGATGTCTGTTCGAGCATCACTGTACTGGTCTTACCTTTCTCTATACTGGCAGGCTGCATGTCGACATCCCCAAGAGCAAAGACGTCGTATTCAGACTGTTTCGCGGCCAGGACTCGTTCAATCTTGTACAACAGTAGCTCTCGGGGATGCAGCTTTACTGGAATGTAAGTTTCGTCCACCTCGATTTTATCAGTGATTGCCTTCTGCTTCACTTGTGCGCAGTTGCGAAGATACAGCTTCCTTTTAATTTCGTCAAACGCAGGGTCATGTGGCAGCAGTCGCAGTCGCTTGAATCCGAGCAGCTGATTGTTTGCATACATCGACTCCGCTTTGCCGGGAAACGGCGTCGCAGTGATCAGCCATACGTTCGAGCACCTATGCGTGAGTTGAATGAAGCAGTCTCTCGCGTCTTTTCCAGGCAGCACCAAGTCTTGCACTTCTTCGAAAATCACACGTCGCCACGCTTTCAGTGGCATGTGCAGTAACGTCACCCACAATGGCCCACAATAAGCTTTGTGGACAAACTTGGCTGCCTCTTCATACTGCCGCATCGAACTGGGCGCCACTACTAGTGCTTTTCCGCGACCGTTGCTTTCTAATGGGTACACTTTCCCATGCCGATAGTAATAAGCCTTCGACTGGACTGCTTCTTCGACCCCCACGAGCACGAGCATTCGATTCGAAATGTCGCCACGTGCTGCCGGGTTCTCCACCAACTCCATGTACTTTTTCAGCCCTAGAACAACGTCAGTCTCCCCGCGCTTCACAAACTTGTCCACTTCACGTTTCCACTGCGCGAGTAAATGCGAGGGCGCTACCAGCAAATTAGCGCCAACCGCATAGTCTCGCGGCTCGTCTGCCACGAGCGCCAGCATCGTCGCGGTCTTGCCCATGCCAATAGCATCTGCTAGACACCCGCCTTTCGAGTAATAGTCGAGCATCCCAAAGTTAAACTTGGCCACGCTCTCGTCGCGTCCTTCAATCTGCTGCATGCGGTAGAGCGACCGTCGCTGGTGCTCGTACAGCGGCATCTCGGCACGAAACGTCACGGGCGTCGATACCTCCGGCGCCGTCAGAGGCAGGAACGGGACCTTGAAGCGCACGTCTTCAGCGCCGCGAGCGTCAGCGCGCGAGCCAAGGAACGCTTCAATCGACACCTGCATCGCCAGCGCGTGCTGTGTTTTGCGGCATGATGGGGTTGGTGTACATTCGGGCAACATTCACGACGGCCCAACTCGTTCGGTGCCCTCTTACGTGTCACCTCGTGCTGCTGCCACCGAACCGCGCTCAGAATCCAAAATCCGCCCAACATGGCGAGCGACACGCCACCGCGCGCCTTGACCCGCGCTCCCACGACGCCGTCGCTCTCTCGATACGACCGACGCGCGGTATCTGCTCTGAATGATGATCCAGACACGTCTCGACAGACGCAGCTGCAATCTCCAGTCCCGAGCGGTCTTCCAGCGCGAACGCCCGTGCGTTTAACGCCCAAAGGCGGCGCCTCACACAGCTGGCAATCAGGACGAGGGGGTGGACGCCACCACGTACGTAGGCGCTTGTTGTAGTAGCTGTATATCGATACGGAAATGGAGGTACATTGGAAGTACTGACTGACTGACTGGTGTTGTGTGTGTGTGTGTGTGTGTTTGTGTAACTGTCTGTTGCTTGTGGTCGCCACTGTACGGACAGCAGCGCAAGCGTCCGTCATCCATCGACAGTAGCGTAAGCTGGAGCGGCAGTGAGGTTGAGTCAATGGGCGCGTTTGGTGCAGCGCGTGGCGACCAGGAGCAGGTGTCGAGACTTAGCTGGGCTTCGTCTGTGAGAGATGACGTACCAGCTACAGAGCAGGTGAATGTGACGGCAACTGCTGCATCACTATTTGGGTCATCAGCTGTGGCTCTGCCGCGTGCAGCTGCTGCTGGGAGAGAGCCAATGGGTGGCAGTGGAAATGGAAGTGGCGTGCAGTCGCTTAACGAGGTGCCCGGACAACAACTGAAAAGTCGTGCAGGTTCTCGGTTTACGAGCTCGGAGCACGTACATGTGACTCCTCCACCTTCTTCGTCTTCTTCAGTGTACGACGAAGAGAAGGACGGTCCGCAGTCGTGTCCATCGACTTTCGTAAATACGAGAGCACCTCATTTTTCCATCGACAAGCTGCGTCAGTTGCGGAGTACAGAACTTGTTGCGTCCACGCTACTGCCTACGCGCGCCAGCGTGGATGGCCTCATGGGATACGTGCGGGAGCTGCAGCTGTCCGAGGCGACTTTGCGCAAGCAGCTGGAGAAGACTAAACAGCACACTGAAAAGGAGCTGTCCATGTCGTTGTCAAAAGTGGGCGAACTAGAGCGCAATATGCAGGAGATAGAGCGGGACCACGAGTTGGCACGGCGGAAGCTACAAGAACAGGAACGACTCATTCGCGACCTCGCACACAAACTGAAACAGGCAGAGGCCGCGAAGTCGGCTCGGTCTAATGTTGAAGAGCTCTCGTCAATTGCTGGAGAAGCAAGCTTACCATCAGAGAACGGAGTAGCGGCTGTGACGGCTGCGCAGAAACAAGTAGATACAGCCGTCGTCACGGCGTCGACTCCGGCTGCCTCCATGCAAAACTTGATGCAACAAGAACAATCATCGTCAACTCCCGTTCTCCTCGACCAGACCAATGAAAACAATCGATCTGCCCAGCACGGACTCGCATCACCTCCTCGATCACCGGAGCGATCACTTTGGGACCCGTGGGTGTCAGAAGGAGTGGCTTCTGTGACGAACCATCCGCCTGTGTTTACCATTGGATCAACTGAGTTAGATCCAGTAGTGTCGTCGTCCTCCGCAGTTGCTCAGACGTTGATGACTAACTCGGAGACGGCTGCAGATCGACTGTATGAGCTCAAGTCAGTACTCCAGTCTCCGCGTCAGGAACAGGAACAGATTAGAGCTGTCCAAAACGATGTGTCTACTCAGCGCATAGAGACGGGTGCTATTGCAGTTCCTCTTGGTGTGCAACAAGAGCACGCACAGCAGTACATTCCTGCAATATCCAGTGTGACTTCAACGCCGTCGCTGATGTACTCGAGCTCCTCGCAGCACGATCTTGTGTCGACAAGGGCGCAGAATGCCGCGCATCATGTGCAGAGCAAAAACCAGTCTCATGCCGAGTTTGTTTCGCAAGCTATTCCAGTTACGTCTACTGACACGATGTATTCAAGCAACGGCGAGTTATGGGAGCAAAGAGATGATGTGAATATTTCAGCGGATGGCTCTACGACGCATACCGGTGACTCAGAAATCGGTACACTACAAGGTCAACTGGAAGGTCGCTTGTCTACAAGTTCGGTACCTCCGCCAAAAAGAGCTGGGGGTGAAATTAGTGATGACGTAGTACTTATCGGTTCCGTACATCCTGCTGAAATCTCAACCGCCATGTCGCTGTCGCAGCGTCCAGTGGAGCAGCCTCAATTTCCGTTGGAGCCATCCACAGGCACTAGTGTCGGCGCAAAAGTGACTGGGCAGGAACAAGAATCCAACATTGGAGCAGAAAATTCTTTCAGCACCTCCGGGTTTCCGCCATCAAGTGTATCTCCTCGCCCACCCTTGTCAACTCATGTAAGTGAGGCACGCTGTACTACTTCTTCGATCCAAGATGACAGTTCGGCTGCGCCTATTGAACCTGTATCATTAGAGACGTTGCTGGTGGACTTCTTCACGGAGGTAGACAACAAACGCTTGAAGATGGCAAAGGTGTACGGAAAACGGTATGCAGGCCGCGAGAAGTGGCTGTTCGCTGAGTTGACAAAGCGATACGGTGCAGCAAAGGTGGCAGCGCTGAAGGCTCGGTTTGACACCGGAAGTGGTGGTCATGTTTTTGCTGAAGCCAATTGCGCTGATGGACCGGAGGCACAACGTGCAACGAAATCATCCGACGCCCCAAATCATGCTGAGCCAGGTCGTCGAGGTTCTTTACAACGACCGCAGGTTTTCCATCCTCCTACACCTACCAGCAATGCGGGATTCAGTGATGGTGCAGGTGCGACCTCAGTGTCCACCGCGGATGCTGGTCTTCAAGTAAGGGGCGAATCGCGCCCTCAGAGTCGGCAGGTTGCAGCTGAGGTTGGGACTTTTCCAATTCCGAGTGAAAGCGTTTCTGTGAATGCTACATCATCTCAGCAGCGCCATTCTGGAGGCAACATGCCTTCTCCATCTGGTTTCCACACTTCGTTCCCAAGTCCGCAGGAGACTGGCGAAGAACTCAATGCGGCTTCTGTTGGTGATACGGGTGCCTCATCGCTTAAGCATGGTCCATTTTCTATGACGCAACGCGGAGAGCCATTCGGTCATCGGTCTTTCCCTCCTCAGACGGGAACAGAAAGCGGCGATGCGTCGTTGGGGCTTCGTCAGCGTCGCCAAACGTCTACTTGCAGCCAGGATGATGCCGCTGTGACCTTGGAAAGTTTGCTGGAGGAACTGTACAAGAATCACCAACCTGATAAGCTGAAGAGTGTCTCTACTCTCGCAAAGCAGTATGCTGGTAAGGAGCGTGAGCTTGTTGTGTTACTGAAGGGGAAGTACGGTGCCCTGAGCGTGAAACGGCTGGAAGAAAGTCTGGACGTGCTGGAGCGCGCTCACCTTGCTCGCTTGAGCAGTGATGCTACCGGAAAGCGGCGCGGCTGTTTCGTTCGTACCATCTCGCTTCTGTTTTGGCTCTCGCTGCTGCTGTACTTCTCGTGTGGCGTTGTTTTTATCAGCTTTGTCGTCTTGGACGTGTGGGAGTGCCATTCTCTAGACAGTGAGGAGCAAGAGCCGGAAGGTGCTGAGGAGTGTTCTCTGCTAAAGGAGGAGCTTGCGGCATTTACGTACGAGCGCGTTGCTGACTACATGGGTCAGTCACATCCAGAAGCTTGTTTCTGCTCGGAGTGGAAGGCGCGCGAAAGTGCGTTGTTCACTAACTATTCGGGCGAAGACATTGTCAATCTGGCGAGAATGGTTCCGTTCTCACCTGAAAAGTTTGGAGCATCGTGGGTTGCAACTGTGAAGGCACAAGTACCATCGCAAGAGTTTGTCGACAGCTATGCCAAGCCTGTGGTGGACTTGTCGTTGGATGTCGGCTCATTCGTGTGGTCGTCCGTTCTCGAGCTCGCGGGGTCCAACAAGGCTTCGGAGGTGTCCCCAATCATGGGACGTGGCGACGATCATGATCATAGTGACATTTCATCTTCGGACGAAGACGACGCAGACTCATATCAGGGAAGTGCGGGGGTGGACAACGATGATTTCGCCGGCAATGATGGTGCAGATGCTTTACCGAGAGGTGATGAAGAGCTGGTCGAAGACCCAACAGTTGCGATGACACCAGGTGTATTCGACCATGATTCTCCCGAGAAGAATACCGACGCGCTTGAAACAAGGCCTGTTGCTGATGAGCTCGCCACTACTGTGGCAGACGACGTGTGGGAGCAGCACGAAGATGGTATTCCCGTTTTAGCCGATGAGCGCGACATTGATGTGGTAGACGATGTGTTGGGGAAGCACGAGGATGTTGTTCCCGCTACGCCAGATGGGCTTGACACTAATGTGGTAGAGGATGTGTTGGTAGAAAACGAGGATGTTGTTCCTGCTACGACCGATGGGCTTGACAACAGTGCGGCGGATAGTACGCCAGTGGAGAACGAGAATGACGTTTCCATTGCGGATGACGAGACATTCGTTGGCAAAAAGAGCTCGGCATTCGAAATGACAGAACAGCTGCCGACTGTACCAGAGCCAATCGATATGCTGGAGGTAGGCGATACCGTACCATCTGGAGTAGCTGAGTCGATTGATGCTAGTAAGCAGGCGCCAGGTGAAGAGACCGAAGCAGGGACTGACACGGAGACTACGTGGGACGGATCTGCGACTACCATGACTGAAGATTACGAGTTCGCTGGTGGTGTCGATGACGCGCCTGAAACCGAGATCGAAGTATTGGATTCTGCGCTTACGAATGCTGCTGATCGTGCTACTGAAAAAGCACACGGGGTGGCAGCGGAAAACAACGAACAGACATCAACTGGCGACGTTGCAGCTGAAGCGGGAAGTGTTGTGGAGGTGGAAGTGCGCCAGGAGGGTCTAGGCTTGTCGTACCCCGAGAGAGAGTCAGCTGAAGCACTCGGTGGCAATTCTGCTGAGATGTCCGAACTGTCTGTGCAGGAAAACGTAGCATCTCTGCTCGGCAGTGGTGAAGGGCTGGTCACATCAAGTGAAAAAACGGAGGTTACACCACAAGTGACAAACGCTGTTGACGGGGAGTCCGCTGCGCACGTCAGTGACAGCACTGAGGCTGATGTGGGGATGATGCATGTGGAGTTAGACGATGATGCGGCAAGCGAGGTGTCTGAGTTAGACGCTGACACAGCTAGAGTTGAGGGACTTGAGAACGAAGAATCGACTGAAGTATCGCAGGTGGAGCTTTCATCTGAACTCTCACCTGAGCTAAGCTCAGAATACGAGTTTGTAACGCACGTCAGCGATCCGCCTTCGGTTTCTACTGGCGTTGATATATCGGTGGCTACGTCGGATGCTGACGAAAGTACCGCCAGCTCGCTGTCTGAGGGACCGGAGCCGGATGTTCGTGAGAATGAGCTGGATAACGATGTGGATGCGGGTGCTGAATCCGATGAAACGCCTGATGACGACAAGGTCATGTCATTCGAAGATGATGGTGCCGGCACCTTAGCATTTACTCGAGACCGAGCAATATCCCACCAACCCGAATGACGTGAATGCAGACGAGGTTTCGCCAGAGGAACCCATAGTTTTTGTATCAGATGATGGGTCTGAAGCTATCGAAGATGATCATGAAGAGTTGACTGCTTCTGCAGTAACGAGGGTATCGTCGTCAGCCGATAGCGATGGAAACGTGTTTGAGGAGAATGCTGAAGCAGGCAATGACGAATTGTTCATTCTCGCTGAGGTGCAGGAAGGCAGCGAGCCGGAGCTTGAAGACGACATTGCGGTTGTGGACGAGGGTACCCTGGTGCATGACTCATCAGAAGACGTTGAGAACAGGAATTTTGGTTCGAACGAAGACATTGAAGAGACTTTGGCGGCTGCAGCGGAGATAGACTCGACTCCCGGTGGGTCGATCTTGTCATCTATGGCCGAAGTAGAGATCCTCGAAGAGGCTGTAGACGCGTTGGATGAGATGGGCAATGATGAAGCTGAATCCACCGCTCACCATGAAATTGAAGCGGAAGAGTCTGCGTCTGAGGCTGATTTAGAGGTTGAGCTTGACGAGGAATTGGCGGTGTCTGATGGTGCAGACATGCCGGACGATGTAGCTACGATTTCTACTGAGCTTGGTGGAGAGATGAACAAGCATGCCGATGCTGACGTGACTGCTGGTAGTGCTGCAGATGAAGGCATGGACGATTTGGCTGCTGCAAAGACGGCCAGACATGATGACGGTGGTGAGGATGCAGTCGGTTTCGTTACAGAAACTGAAGTAACGTCTCCTCCTGTTGATGCGACCGATTTTGACGACGTCGATCTATTTTTTAGTGATGAAGGAAACGTTGCAACTGCTGTCGGACATTCTTCGGTAGGTGACGGAGAAGAAATGGCTGCCACGGAAGCAGCTTCACTCACCGCTGATTCAGTTGGTGCAACTGACGAGGTTGTGCATGCGGATGCACACGTACATGTTAAAGACACGCCAACCAAGCTGCAGCCTGTGGAAAAGTTGTCAGCTGCTGTTAAAGAGGAGGCAGACAGAAGCATCACGTCGACGATGAACGAGGTTCTTGCAAAACTTGTGGAGCCTTTTACAGCAGCCAAGACAGCTGCAGCTCTCGCGACGACCGACAGCGCGTATCAAGTCGACGAGCTTTAAGATCCTGGTCATGCATATGCACGCATGCGTTCTCCACGATCGATCTCGCGCGGGTGTTTCCAGGCTACTGCATCGACACAGCTGCTGCTTTGCTCCGGTTTTCGTTCAGCTCGACTCTTTCTATCCCAAAGTACCTTCAGCAACGCTGTCATGACCACATTGTAGCCGCCTCGTGCGTCCACTTAATTCACCGACGAAAACGCGACTTTTACCACAAAAGACTGAAATTTAGCGAGAGAGAGAGAGAGAGAGTAAAGGCAGTGACGGCTGCTGTATTCATTCCACCGCCTCGTCTGACATGTCTCAATTCAGCCTGCAATCGCTCTCCTTTTATTTTGACGTGTCACTCGACTGGACCCTTTCAAAGTCGCAGCAGGTCGTCACTAGGTCAGTCAGTCAGTCACTGAGTCAGTCGCTGAGTCATTACTGAATTCAAGTCGTTCCACGCACACAGCACGCACGTAATCGCTCAAGCGCATGAGTTGGCTCCGCTCCAAGCTGCGGCTCGTCGCAGCGCGTGCGTCCGACGCGCTCGCCCAAGCCGCCGACATGATGACGCCGACGCTGTACGAGTCGCGCGTGGACGAGTTCCACCAGCGCTGGACGACCGTCGCGCGGTTCCTCGAGTCGGTCGTCGCGCGCGACCTCGAGCCTGGCGAGCAGCGCCGGCTGCTGCTCGAGAGCCACACGCGCGACTCGCTGCTGAAGCTCGTGCTGCTCATCTACGAAGAAGAGAACAACTCGGACCGCTGGGAGATGATGGTCCTAGCACGCCCCAAGACGCCGGACGCAAGTGGGACCGACGCCCAGTCGCCGTCGCCGCCCTCGCCATTGGAGCACGCGTCGCACGAGTGTCTCGAGTACCTCCTGTTGAAGCAGATCATTCCTCATCTGTGTGAAGCTGGACGGCGGGATGAACCATGCGGCATCATGTCGCTCGCGATGCAGTTCGTTGCGGCGTTGCTCAGTCGAGTGAGTTACCCTGTCTTGCCGACGCGGGAGGTCCATATGTCGGTTGTTGCACTCATTCAAGCAGCAGCTCGCAAAGAAGTGGAGGACCCGACGGTCCGCAAGTACCTGATTGGGCTGCTGAACATTGTGTGGAAGAAGTTGCGGGGCGACCCTGTCCAGACGGAGTTTTTCTTCCTCCATGCCGATCGCCTCATGATCCGCACGACGGACATGACGTACGGACGGGATGATGATGCTGTCTCGACGCCGGTGTGGCCAGTGAGCGACGACCCGTTCTTGCATACCCATAACCACCACACGCAGAGTGAAGTGCCCGAGCTGATTCTGTTTACGGGTCTTTTGCCACACATGTACGCGGTGGGAAAAGTTGGCGAAATGTGTCGTGAGGCATTGGTTATTGCTGCGGCGATGCACGATAAAGCGCTCTGTCGCTTTGTGCTGCAGCTCACTCCGTTTTGCCACTACGCGGTGAATGGCGTGATCTCGGCGTTTGATGCGTTGCCCAAGACGTTTACAGCGGCGACAAAGACCTTTGCTGCTACAGCTGCAGATTCGACTGATCTTGATGCAGATATGGAGGAGGAGCTGAGCTTCCTTGCAGTGCGACTGCGGTTTTGCTGCACATTAGCGATGGTAGCAAGGTATGAACTGGACGAAGTGGATGAAGTTACTGGTGAACTGCAGCGCCGATCAATTGCAGATGAACTGTTGGATCAATTTCGGACTCGTTTTCTTGAAGGTCCACTTCTTGAAGGACTTTTGCACACGTCCGAGGCAGCTGCTTGCGCTGCCACACTCTACGCGCGCATTGCGTTGGAAGAGTTGACAGCCTGTGGCCGGGATACGCGAGCGAACCCGCTACTTTTTGTTTATCTGCAGTTCCTCCTTGAGCGTACGTCAACGAAATTTCGGACTGTTCGAGCTGTGGCTACTGTGGAAAAACAAGAACCAGCAGTGCTCAGTGATCCTGAGCGACAAGCGAACAGACTCTCGGGGGCCCAACGGCTACCGTCGGAGTTATTGCGACACATTGACTCTCTTTCGAGCTCTCTGTGTATCGCTACCATCGATCTGTTTACAAGCGTCCTGGAGTTGCAGGATGAGTATGCGGACCACATACTGCTGGGTGCAAAGGATAGGTCCGACTGGAATATCGAGAATGGGGGTGAGTCAAGTCCACGAAAGCGTACACACAAAGCCTGTTCACTTTCGAGCCCCAATGCGCTAAACAATGGCGCTATCTGGTTTGCATCGCGATTTCCTGATTCGTCAGTAGCTTCAAACGTTCATCTGTGGAAAATCCGTGCATTTGCTGGACCCGAGGATCTTGCTGCAGAAATCCCGGCAGCGGACGACCAAGAAGACCAGGTGTTGTCGCTGCTCTCTTACATTGCGGATGCCGAGTATGCTGCGTGCCAGCGCGGCCCCGAAGAAGTTGGTGAGTTTGATGATGATGAAGTTGACTTGCGGGAACACGCTATGATGTTGACGACTGTATCGGAAGCCGAAAACGTTATTCCTTCGGCAGTCACAGCTGCTAGTATTGAACGACGTTCCAACGACGACAGAATCGGTATCGAAAGGAGCTGAAGACCTTTCTCTGCATGGTACATCTGCTTCGAATGCGACCACCCCGCCTCCGCAAGGGTTCTCTGGCGGAACGGCCGCACCACGTGTTGCAGTAAAACCACTGCGCGATGTGTATCTAAGCATCAGTTTGCCTTCGTTCTCGCCAGCCCAACCAGCGGGCCTCCGAGAGCGCGCCCAATCTCAGCAAGTGTTGAGCGCTGAAAGCGTCAAGGGTCACATACCGCGGTTTTTGCGCATTGTTCTTAGTCGCGTTGAACGACTTTTGGAGAACACCTTTCAAGAAAACCTGGCGCTATCGGGCTTGTTGTGCGCGCTGGCCCAAAAGACACGATGCTCGGCAGTAGTGTTTGACCTGGAGGAGGTTTTGCCAGCAGGCCAAAGCCTGCGCAGCATTCTCGAAGAGGTTTATGCTGATGCGGTGTGTCGCCTGAACCGCTTACCTGATGGCGTCATGCAGATGCAGGAACTGCGCAAGAAGCTCGTGGGGGAGGACAGCGATGCAAAACTGAACGGTCATGAGGTGGAGACGCGGTTGCTGTGCGGTTACGTGATGCTTGACGAGATTCTGAAAGAGTTTTGCTCAATTCTATTTGCCCGCGAGCGTTTGAGGACGCTTCCGCTTCAACCGGAAGGATATTTTATGGAGCCGAAGCGGGCTGGGTCGTTTTCTCCCTTTTCGATGGTGCAGCGCGAGCGCGCTCCATCCAGCGAAACCTTTTTTTCTGACGATGGTTCTGAGGTGGACGAGGGTTCACCACGCAATGAGGAACGCATTGGCAAGGAGTTTGAGGCTCTGTTAGCTGAAGCTCAGTCCAGCATGGATGAATTACTTGTTGGTTCTAGCGAGGGCTTGACGATGTATGCGTCCAGAAGCAGACCTAAAGACATATACTGATCAAAGTGGACACGAGGAAGGGACCCCTTCGACCCGAATAGAATGAAAAATATGACGTTGTGAATAAAACGAGTTTGGACTGGAACGCGTTCGTTGCTGGGGCGTCACAGAGGACTTGAGTCACTGGTGTCTAAAATGTCTACACCTTTAGCTGGCAGGTGAGCTGTGTTTTGATGGGACTAATGTTTTGTTTTTGCTTCTAGTTCGGACAAGCTTGTGGTTGACGTGTCGCAGAGGCAGACAATGGTCTGCTGGATTATCGTTGCAGCTGTCGCCACTCTCGGTCGATATCTGTCTCAGCTTTGATGCGACTGTTGCTCGCAGGTCAGGCATATGACGATCCTGGAATGTCTAGGCAAAGAGGGCACGGGATTTTCCAACACGACACTTCGACCGCAAGAAACAAAGAGGTATGGAAAGTATCACGTTACCCTATGACCTTGTGGATTCCTCTGCGTGGTCTTTATCTCTATGCACTGGACAACTGTTGTTGTGGCAGGCGAAGATTCCTTGTGTTAATGGCTTGCGTACGGAATTCAGGCGACACCCGCACAGCAACTTCTCGATGCTGTGTATGCGTGTTCTCTGCTGAATGGAACGCTGCAACATGGAGACGAAATTGGCACCGACTTGACGCTGATGAACGGCTCTAGTGATGAATTTGTGTCTTTTAAACCCGACTTGTCAACGAGCAACTCTGCCGATGGCAATCTCAGTGTTTGCTGTTGTCACGCGGCCGACAACGCTGACACAGTGACGCAAGATGCGGACCTTGAGCAATGGCATCAATTGGCTACACTGCTGATATCGCTACTATGACAAGCATGACTGAATCAAGTGACCGCACTGTAGCTCAATGCAGGTGTTGTCAAAACGCTAGGCGAAAAACTCAATGCAGCGTGTGGTAAGACTTTTCAGATTGATGGCTCGCACACGAGTGGATTTCCAGACAGCAGCTGGAGCAATTATCTTGTCTGCGTAAGAACAGACTTTGCTTGGCTTTTAGTTTGGTTGCTGGCTGCTTCAGGTGCGTTCACCGGATGCTTACGGCACGGTCTCAAATACGGCAGAATGGTATCAGTTTGGAGATATTCCTGCAAGTAAAATACCCGACCGCTGTGCTACGTCGCTGCCATGAGCATCAAATCTGCTATGCGGAACCTCGGTAGGCACACCAAGAATGCTCGATCACCTCGGCCACTTCAGTTGCAGAGTTTGCTGGAACTTTGATTTTAGACGTTTGTGAGCTGATCGAGACGTATCGGACTGCGCATACCTGATCACCTCTGCAGCTATCAAGAAGAGGGCGAAGCAACTGGAAGTCCATTTCGTGGGTCAATTTCTTGTGCAGTCTATAATGACGCTATTTTTCTTCGGACGAAGAAGTAGCCGACACATCTTTTGTCGACAGTGCAGTGCATCAGAAATACTGTGATGGAGTTCGCATACCAGTGTCAGGTGCAATGTCGGTCAGCGCACGATATCTTGGAAGTACTCAGCATTCTTTGCTGAAGTCAGCCTCTTTGTATTGGGCTGCATCAATTGTTCGTAGCCTGTCGGTACGAGGAAAGCACGGCACTTTCGCGGATACTGCCAATGACTTCGTCTTGTAGCTTTGGCCAAGACATGGGGATCGCAGCCTTCCAGGTTACAGCTCTCACTACCATTTGCGTGGTGAGCGATGCAAACTGCGACAAGTTCAGTTGCCATTTTTGGGCAACTGAGTCGCACTGATAACGCTGGAATCGATTGTAATCCGCGGTTACTTGCTGATGTGTGACTGGTTCAAGAACAATCGATCCATTCGAGCTTGACTGCATCAAAAACGTTCATGAAATCAGCACGAAGTTCCTGACTCATTGAGTTGGTGACGGTCTCTCAACCTACTTCCCGGACAGGAAGATGTTTCAGCCACACTGTCGAGCCTAATGTATCGGATACGATGGCACGAGCGAGGTAGTCGGGAGGAGTGATCTCATGTATTGTTGTTATGAACAGTGCTGCGGAAACCCTGACAGGGCAGCGTCACTCCAGCCGCACGATGATAATTCGGTGTTAGCTGGTTGCTGTGTTCCACACGACCACGAGAACGCGAAGCTCGGTATGAGACCCCAGCGATTTGCTCGGACGTCTACTGACGACCGCAGAGTTGCTTCAGGTGTTTCCTGAGAACAATGCTCAAGTCGTCAAGCTCTCTGTAGGACGGAAAGTAGTTGACGTCAATCACATAAAGATCTCGCGAGCCGTCATCCGCGACAATGACGTCGAAGCCAAAAAGGGTCAGTTTCAGCTCGTCGCGAAGGCGCTCGCCGATCAAGCGCACGGCCGCAAATATCTTTTCCTGCGTCGGTTCACTACTGGCAGTCGTTACTTGCAAAGTGCTGTCATCGACATCATGGGAGTGGAAATCCCCACTCGTGGGGTAGTCCTCCTGGGTGTTGAAGTGCACTTGCTGGGCATCTCCAGCCACAAGATTCGGCAACGAGCGTCGCTCTGCCACTTTAATGGTGTCGCCAAGCACGTACCCTTTATAGAGACGACCCGAGTGGTTGACAAACTCCTACACCAGCAGCAACCAGCGTTAAACAAACGTGAGCGACCCGCAGGAGAAACCCTGAGCAAGGCAAAAGATACTCACCTGATACAACACTGGGTACTCGACGTAGACCAAGTCTTCGCGTTTCGTGATGACGCTCATCATGTGCGACCGCTCCGTTGCTGCAACACACGCATACACCAAGATCATCATCACTTGCCACCATCAGTTGTTGCCTGAAGCACAGCCAGCTTAAGCCAAGCAGTCTCTGCCCTCTCTTCTCACGTACCGCAGGCTTCCACAGACTTGCAAATGAGTGGCAGTCTCGTGCGTCCAGCGTCTAGCTCCGTCAAGAGGTTCTGAAAGTGCTCAGAGTTCTGCACCACATGGAAAAACGGCACCTTGAAGCAGCTCGGCGATGGCTCAGTGACCGTCTCCATTGTCCGAAGCATCTGACAGGCCGCGTAGCGACACGTGAGCAACCGCACGCTGTCAAGCGGATCCATCACGCGCACCGACGGGTTCTGGCGCTCAAACTCCTGCACGAGCTTCACGCGGGTGGCTGCTTCCTTGTCGCCCTGACCAGCGAACACCATATCATGTGCCAGTTTGTGCAGTATTGCGTCCAAGGGCTTGTAGCGGGCAGCAAGGCGCTGCGCCGCAGCTTCAATGTCAGAGGCGCTTACGGACGTTCCAGTGGGCGCTGCGGCCTCCAAGTTGATCATCACGAAGCGGACGCCGTGCTCTTCTTGGCCGAGTAGCGCTTCGAGTCGCTCGATCTTCTTGGCGGGGAAGATCACGCCCACAACGAGCGGCTGGACGGCGGCCATGACTACTTGGGTGCGAGATGGGTGAATCGATTGTAGCTGAGATCCGGTGAGTATGTTGCGCGAGGGTTGGTGGACACACACGCTAAGTTAGGACCTCCCTTAAATTGTGGCATTCATTTGATGCAGGTCCTGTTTTACGACAAATTGGGTGAAATAAAATAGGCATTTAAAAGCGTTGGCGGATTGCAAAACGGCAACCCGGTCTTGAACCAAACCTATTTATCAGACATCAGAACTGAATACGTCTTGATCCGTATACACAGGTGGTCAACTCTGTATCCGGATAAGGAGGATGTAATAGGCGACACTCGCCAAACCTGGGTCGCTGGCGCACGCAGCGGCGAGCTCAAGAATCGAAGTGGATATTGGAGGAATCGTCGAAGCTTGTGAGTGTCCTTCCCGTGTTGCTTGTGAAACGTCCAGCCACATCGTGATGGGTACAGAAAAACGGACTGCACGCCGAATAGAGAGCAACACAACGCTTGTTTCCACAGTACGCATGCCATCGATATACTTAGTTGCTGAAATAAATTCGGCACAAGTCGCGGAAGTAGCAGCGAAGGATGCGGTGCTCGACGTCGTTGACGACTGATGAAGGGTTTGAACTGTTCAGCTCGGGGGACTGGATAAGGTTGGTCAATAGCATCACGTATCTGATAACAGTGACAGCGCAGAAGTCAAAAAGAGGAACTACATACCATGAGCTCAAAGCCAGCTTACCTATCATTGAGATATCTTGGGCTCGAATGGAGATCCACCAGCAGCTCAAGGAACGGAAGCTGTGGTACGCATCATGAATACCGTCATAGATTAGATCGCGTATTAGTGCTACCGCGTTCACCATACGTGCAAGATGGTAGCATGTCATACCTCCCAGAAGTACTGGAAAAATCCCTCGCCGTGGGATTCAGGAGCCAGCCGTAAAATACGAAGACCGTACTTGAAATCCTCAGGCATAAAACACTGGTACAACACGGCAGCTGCGACGTGCGCACCGACTTTCACGAGACATTGGCTCTGGCATTACACACAAAGAGTCAGCACGACAAAGCAGAAACACGCACAGCACATCTTTACAACGAGTACCAAGCGGACAAGCGAGCTTCGATCGATGATGTCCACCACGGAAACCATGTCGGAGAAAAAATTCGTTGCCAACGAGGCTGCCATCAAATAGCCCTTCAGAGCGGCACGCGGGTCTGTCGAGTTACATTCCGCGATAAAAAAGAGCTACACAAACCACGCAAAACAACTTGACTCACCAGAAGTCGATGACGATCGTTGTTTCGATAGAGGATTCAGGAGTATATCAGCTTTGGCACAATGCCACCTCGGCTCGCGATTGCAACGGCACACCAAGCTCTCGAGGGCTGCAAAGTGTAATCGTACCAAGTCTCCCTGGAAGTTCTTCAAGAAAGAGACTGTTGAGCTAGAAGACCCTGGCCCGGACGCTGTAGACGGCGTATCTGGTGCGAATGCCTCCAAAAATGCTAGGTCCCCGTACGGAGTGAGATCGAACGATACACGGTAGCCACACATGTTGTACATGGATGCGCGGTGCAGCAGCCCGGCAGAGACGCAAACGAGCGTCTCCACGATCCGCAAAGGAAGGTACATGAGCGCCTGCGTTACGTCCAGTTTGATCCGTTCTTCGCCTCCAGAGTTATCAGCAAGGCTTGCATGAACCGCATCCGCCCATTCACGACACTTCAGTAAGATTTCTGTCACAAGCTTGATGCTAGTCACGATAGAAAATCCATCGCTTTGGGTCCCTGATACAAAAGATACATCAGCTCCAACGCTGGAGACCTTAGCACTGGGTGCACTAGCCGACGGCGCGAGCGACGACACATACTCGGCGAGCGTGCCACACGCAACCGCAAAGTCCAGTTCATGTCGTAAATGTGACGAAAATAGTGCCAAGTCTTTGCACTGAGAGAGCAACTTCCAGCTATTATTGGCTGCGCAAAAACTGATCAGATTCTGATACGACGGGCTGCGTCCACCGTTGTCCTTGTCGTTTGCCGACCGTGTTTCATGCGCATGGCTGCTGACCTCGGACATAGCTGCGACTTCGTCCTTTAGAGCAGTGATAAACTCATCCTTCGTTTTCGCACTGGAAAATGCAAACATGCTGCCTACGTTTGCCATCATGCGAAAATGCTCCCTCTGCACAGCCACTGCACTCTGAAGGCGTCGCTCTATCGCCACTGCACTGCTTAGGCTCTCCAGGGCAGGCACGGAGTCATTGTTTTCAGTAACAGGCCCTATCCCGCAGCTTTGGAGAAGCCCTGTCGCGCCCTCTATGTGCGCAATGCAGGAAAACTGGCGAATGACTTGAATCAAGAAGTGCTTGATTCGTCCACCAGCGCTGGCATTCGAGCTATTCGCGAATGCAAAACTACCCAGCGTCAGCATGAAGCGAGCTAGCGCTACAAAACACTTCTCGGGCTCGTCATCAAGACACGTGCTGTGTCGTACTTGGCAAAAAATCTCGTCGTAGAGCAGACGAATGCACGTGCAAACGCAGGATTCTATCGACATCGTTTCTTCAACGTCGCCTTCGAGTAAAAGAGCCGTCACGGCATTTCCCATCACGATCCGTTTGTAAAAAAATCGTACAGCCGAAGCGGCATCATGCGAATCTCCGTCCGCCAATTGGCCGCAGCTCGATCGCAACAAACGAAGCCCTTGTTGCTCCAGTGCAGCGCGATATCCCGGTGGCAATCTCGTCAGCTCCAAAGCCACCATATCACGTTCAAGAAGCTCAACTACTTTGTCCCAGTCTTGAGCTTCCCACGCCATCTCGATTTGCACCTTGGTTGTTTTCAACAATGCAGGGCTCTCGTTGGCAGATTGCACTTCCAGCACCGCTTCACACGCGGTTAAATATCCTTCCAACTTCGCTCGATCCTCTGTCGACAATTGAGTGTCGCTGCTTTTGTCCATCGTCTCGTCGCCATCGCCGTCCTCCTCTATCAGTTCCGAAGCTCGGCTAAAGCAGCTGTAGGCCTTTTCGTACCCGTTAAAGCTGAAGAAATACACGCCCAGGTCAAAGTACGTGTCCACTTGACTCTGTGCTGGGAGCTCCTGCTTCTCGTCATTCCCCATCAAAATCGCCTGAATGCTCTGCGCGATCTGTAAGTGGCTCGCCATGAGGTCGCCCAACGCCATCTGATACGTCGACAAGATCTCCTCGCCCTCGCTGCGGCTGCTGCAGGTCAAATACCCGTTCTGTGACTGCCTTACGAGCGCCCGTAGCGTCCAGCGCTTGTGCAACACATGAGCCTCGTGCGGCTGAATGAACACGTCTTGCATGAAGTCGCTGTTGCGGCTACTCCGCGGCTGCTCGGCAAAGTCCACGATCCCGTCCAACAGCAGCCGCTGGAAGTGCAACGGCAGTGTCTGTTCAATCGCTGACAGCGAGAGCTGCATCTGGAGCGCGACTTGGGCTGCGACTAGCAGCAGCGCACTGTAGCGCTTGTTGCGCACGTTGCCCTCGTCCGCGACGAGCTGCGCCTGTTCGAGGAACTCGCGCACGAGCTCAATGGCCGACGTGGCACCATGCGCGTCGCACTTTTGCTGCTGGCGAAGCGTCGTCAGCTACCGATTGTTGAGCATTAGGGAGGAAAAACATTAATGACAAAACAAAAAAGCAGAGTGATGGTCACGTTGCAGTTGCCCCGTCGTTAACAAAGGAAACCACGACCTCGACAAGAGAAAGGACGCACGTGTTTCTGAAGCGCTTCTGGATGCAGGAGGAACTCAAACCAGGCGTAGGATGGCGCCCTGGGAGGAACGTCGACGATCGGTTGCTGGAACAGAGAGCGGTAGACACTCGTGTCTTCTTCGTGAGCTGCAGGCGTGCCTGGTCGGGGAGATCCCGGCATGAGCGGCATGACTGCAGTGGTAACGCGCGCATTGACATGGCATTCCGTGCCTAATTGTATGTGGACCACAACACATCTGAAGTAATGTGTCACTGGTGTGGTGCATCCGTCGTGGGGGTTCACACTTTCGATCGTGCGGCCCAGAGCAAGGGAGACGACGCTGTCGAAGGGAGAAGGAGCGAGCGCGTCATGAGCTTCCAGGCCTTGAGGAGAAGCGTGCGCAGCAGTCGTCACGCAGCGCGCTACATTGCTGCCAGCGCATCTCGAAATGCTGCCGTGCGGGTTGACACACTAGCTGTCAAGGGCCACACGCGCGTTTTTTCGGTCGTTGCGAGCGCCGCGCAGCAACGCGAGAGGTCTGTGTGCCCGTCTGTCTGTCTGTGTGTCTCGCGTGTGCCGCATGAAAGTCAGGCACTTTGTACTGCAGGCTGATATGGTTATGTGACTGGTTGTGTGTGATTCGGATGTGGGTGTAGCTGCCTGCGCTTGCAGACGCCGACGAAGATGCGCGCGTTCTCCTCTGGTTTGCGCTCTTGACGGGATGCAGTGATGGGATGGGGTTTTGTTGACGTGCGGTTGTTTTGTGTGTGTGTGGTGTGTGTAATGAACGGTGCTGCAGCTGGCGCGGAGGTGGTGTCTGTGCCGTCTATGGGCGACTCCATTTCGGAAGGCACAGTGGTCGAGTGGCTGAAAGGTTTGGGAAGCGAGCTGCTGAGTGTAGTCACAGTATGACTGAAGCACTAACTATTTGCTGTGGCGGGTTTGACAGCTCCTGGTGACTTTGTGGACGCGGACGAGGTGGTCGTGATTATTGAGACCGACAAGGTCAGCGTCGACGTGCGCGCGCCGATGTCGGGCGTTCTAGAGGCCCAGCTGGCTGAAATTGACGAGAACGTACTGGTCGGTGCGCCACTTTTTAGCGTTGTGAAGCAAGGTGCTGGCAGCACTCAATCGGCTGCTTCGCCTGCTGCGGCTAGTTCCACCCCTGTGGAAGAGGCAGCAGCTACTGGCGTCGAGAACCTGGAGACTATCAATGTGCCATCTATGGGCGATTCGATCTCGGAGGGCACGATTGCGACCGTTCTCAAGAGTAAGCTGTTGCCTCACTTGGTAGTTTCGCCTTTGTTGCCGTGCTCATTTTGTTGAGCTACTTGTTGGTTGATAGGCGTTGGTGACTACGTGCGCGCTGACGAGGCGGTTCTTATCGTGGAAACTGACAAGGTGAAGTGCTGTTGTATAACCAGCCGATACGTGCTTAGTCGGCTGACGATTATACATCGACATATGCTGTGCGCATTTAGGTGAGCGTGGATGTCAACGCTCCAGTTTCTGGAAAAATTACGAGTGTATTGGCGAAAGTTGAGGATGTTGTGGAAGTGGGATCGCCTCTCTTTGTGATCGATAAAGCTGCTCCCGCCCCGATTGAGTCCGCGACCCCTGCGTCTTCTTCTTCTGTTCAGAACGCTCCCGCTTCCCTACAGAAACCGTCGACTTCGTCCTTGGCCTCCGCGCCGAAGCCTGTGAATCCTATCTTGGCTTCTCCGTCGAGTTCGTCAACCTCTTCTCCGGCTGTACCTACTGTATCGTCGACACCTACTATGGGCCAGTACAACCGTAACGAAACGCGTGTACAGATGAGCGCTCTGAAGCTCCGCGCGTCGCAGCGACTGAAGGATACGCAGAACAGCGCTGCCATGTTGTCAACGTTCCAGGAGTGTGATTTGGGCAACCTCATTGCTTTGCGTGATGAGCTAGGCGATAGCTTTGAGAAGGTCCATGGCGTCAAGATCGGTATCATGTCATCATTTCTTAAGGCTAGTGCGCAGGCGCTTCAGCGCATTCCGGCGGCCAACTCCTGTAAGTCTCAGCTGTTGACTGTTGGCTCACCGTTGTTGACGTGACGTTATCTTGCTTTTGTTATGCTGTGGCTCACTTACCTACAGTCGTCGACATGGACGCGAAGGAAATCGTCTACAATGATTTTGTCGATATTAACGTGGCGGTGGCCTCGGAGCGCGGGTTCGTCTTCTGTTTTGGCCTGATCAATGTGTGTGAAGTTGGATGTGCTTAACTCGCCGTTGTTTGTTCAGTGTTGTGATGCCTGTCGTCCGTAACGTCGAAAGGCTGAGTGTGGTGGATATCGAGAAGACATTGGCAGCTCTAAGTGAGCAGGCTCGTGATGGCACGCTGGCCTTGGAAGACTTGGCGGGTGGGACCTTTACGATTTCAAACAGCGGCGTGAACGGAGCGCTGTTGAGCACCTCAATGCTGACAGCACCGCAGTCTGCTGTTCTGGGCGTGCACGGTGTGAAGATGCGCCCGACGGTGCATGCGGGCAAGGTGGCACCGCGCCCCATGATGTTTCTCTCTCTGACTTACGATCACCGCATCATCGACGGACGAGAAGGTGTGACTCTGCTGAAGAGTATTGCTGAGGCTATCAGTGATCCACGTCGCCTGCTTTTGGACATGTAAAGCTGCTGGACCTCGGTAGATGGTCGCAGGAATTGAACCGACTAGCCGCTCTCGCAGAAATACAAATTCGGTTGCTGTTATACCGTGCACCAGGTTGCAGCACAAGTAACTCGCAGCTACGTGTAATGTCGTCGTCGAACGCAGCGACCAGTGCGAATGAAGCTCGCGTTTTCATTCATGGTCTGTTTACGCGCCAAGCAGTTAGTCATCTCATATCTACCGTGGCAGCAGCAGCCCGCTCAGCCATCCGAAGCAATCCCCCAGGGTCCTCGAGTCCTAGCATAAACGCAACCTCTTCGTCCTCATTGTCGTCGTCGTCCTCATCAGCGTGCTGACCAAGGCTCTTTACAGCTGATGTACCTACTTCAGTCATCATTGTGGTCTTGTCTGTAACATGCGTCGGAGCATCGGCCGCTGATACAATGTCTGCACCTTCTGTTGTTTTACCTGCAGCAGCACTGACAGTCTCATCGACCTCGGCATTCTCGTTCACTGCTGCAACAAGCTCAGCAGAACTAGTATCCATATCGTCCGGTGCGTCTGCACCTTCAGCCACCGCAGATTCTGCAACGAGCTCCATTACTAAGTCAGCCTCAGATGCAGACTCTTCCGCTTCAATGTCGCGGTGAGCGGTAGATCCAGCTCTACCGTCGCCCACCTCATCCATCTCGTCCGTAGCCTCTTCGAGACTCGCCACCTCAGCCTCAAACGACAAAGTCGAGCCAAAATCCCTGTTCTCATCGTCCTTCGATAAGTCAGGCGCCACGGTATCTTTGCCCACAATCATAATGTCGTCCTCAAGGTCCAGCTCGCTGCCTTGCTGCACCTCAGCGAGAAGGAACAATTCGTCATTGCCTGCTTCAGCATTCTCCTCAAACACGTTTCCATCGCTATCGGCTGATGACGATACCCTCGTCAGAGCAGAAGCAGTCAACTCTTCATGATCATCTTCGATTGCTTCAGACCCATCATCTGATACATAAACTGTGGGTTCCTCTGGCGAAACCTCGTCTGCATTCACGTCATTCGGGTTGGTGAGATATTGCTCGGTCTCGATAAATGCTAAGGTGCCGGCACCATCATCTTCGAATAACATGACCTTTTCGTCATCAGGCGTTCCGTCGAATTCTGCACCCGCGTCCACATCGTTATCCAGCTCATTCTCACGAACATCTGGCTCCGGTCCCTCATACAGTGAGCTGGCGGTACTTTCGTCAGCACCCGACGTAGCCACCGATATATCAACGCCAGTAGAAACCGAAGGCGGATCGCTGACGTGCGTTACAAACTCGAATTCTGAGCTTAGCTCAGGTGAGAGTTCAGATGAAAGCTCCACCTGCGATACTTCAGTCGATTCTTCGTTCTCAAGTCCCTCAACTCTAGCTGTGTCAGCGTCTAACTCAGACACCTCGCTTGCCGCATCATCGTCTAACTCCACATGCATCATCCCCACATCAGCCTTAGTGCTGTCACTGACGTGCGCAGCGGACTCCCTGTCAACAGCGTTTGTCACTGGTGGTGTAACCTCCGTTTCTTCACTTGATGTGACCAGCTCTTCACCACCGCCAAGCAGAGATGCTACGTTTTCCTGCACAGGCAGTTCGGACGTCTCAGCAGAATTGCCACCGAGTGCTTCAGCTGACTCTCTCTCGGGGTACGACAAGCCTAGACCCTCCTGGCGCACTTCCACCTCCACAACACTTTCCGCTTCAGCTGCAACGTCGCCAGTTGATGTCTGTTCGTTGTCTTCCGCCGCCACCTCGGGTGCTTTTTCAGTAGCACGATCAGCAGCGTTCGTAAGTGCAGAATCCAATACTTCGATCTCGATTTCAAGCGCGTCATCGACACCACCAGCGAACTCGTAATCTTCAGTCATGGTAGTCGCAGATCCGCCCCACGTAGTCTCCACGTCAGTCCCTGCTTCGGTCTCTTCACCTGGCGCCTGCTCACTAGCATCAATCGACTCAGCTACTCCAGATGGTACGGTATCGCCTACCTCCAGCATATCGATTGGCTCTGGTACAGTCGGCAGATCTTCCGTCATTTCGAATGCCGAGCTCTTTTTGCCAACGAATGTCTCGTCATCCGCAATGGAAACGTCATTCTCGTTCTCCACTGACGTATTATCCGCCGCACTGTTGTCAAGCCCATCGGTCGTAGCGGTAACAACGTCCTCGTTTTCTACCAACACATCCTCTACCACATTCGTGCCAAGCCCATCTGCCGTAGCGGAAACAACATCTTCGTGCTTCCCCGACACATCGTCTACCACATCAATGTCGCGCTCATCGGCTAAAACGGGAATACCATCTTCGTGCTGCTCCCACACGTCGTCTGCCACAGTAGTGGCGAGCTCATCAGCAACAGGCCTTGTTTCAAGCGCGTCGGTATTCTTCTCGGGAGAATCATGGTCGATTACACCTGGTGTCATCGCAACTGTTGGGTCTTCGACCAGCTCTTCAACACCTCTCGGTAAAGCATCTGCACCATCATTGCCGGCAAAATCATCGTTGTCCACCCCCGCACTTTCCTGATATGAGTCTGCGTCGTCTTCGTCCGAAGATGAAATGTCACTATGATCATGATCGTCGCCACGTCCCATGATTGGGGACACCTCCGAAGCCTTGTTGGACCCCGCGAGCTCGAGAACGGACGACCACACGAATGAGCCGACATCCAACGACAAGTCCACCACAGGCTTGGCATAGCTGTCGACAAACTCTTGCGATGGTACTTGTGCCTTCACAGTTGCAACCCACGATGCTCCAAACTTTTCAGGTGAGAACGGAACCATTCTCGCCAGATTGACAATGTCTTCGCCCGAATAGTTAGTGAACAACGCACTTTCGCGCGCCTTCCACTCCGAGCAGAAACAAGCTTCTGGATGTGACTGACCCACGTAGTCAGCAACGCGCTCGTACGTAAATGCCGCAAGCTCCTCCTTTAGCAGAGAACACTCCTCAGCACCTTCCGGCTCTTGCTCCTCACTGTCTAGAGAATGGCACTCCCACACGTCCAAGACGACAAAGCTGATAAAAACAACGCCACACGAGAAGAACAGCAGCAGCGAGAGCCAAAACAGAAGCGAGATAGTACGAACGAAACAGCCGCGCCGCTTTCCGGTAGCATCACTGCTCAAGCGAGCAAGGTGGGCGCGCTCTAGCACGTCCAGACTTTCTTCCAGCCGTTTCACGCTCAGGGCACCATACTTCCCCTTCAGTAACACAACAAGCTCACGCTCCTTACCAGCATACTGCTTTGCGACAGTAGAGACACTCTTCAGCTTATCAGGTTGGTGATTCTTGTACAGTTCCTCCAGCAAACTTTCCAAGGTCACAGCGGCATCATCCTGGCCGCAAGTAGACGTTTGGCGACGCTGGCGAAGCCCCAACGACGCATCGCCGCTTTCTGTTCCCGTCTGAGGAGGGAAAGACCGATGACCGAATGGCTCTCCGCGTTGCGTCATAGAAAATGGACCATGCTTAAGCGATGAGGCACCCGTATCACCAACAGAAGCCGCATTGAGTTCTTCGCCAGTCTCCTGCGGACTTGGAAACGAAGTGTGGGAACCAGATGGAGAAGGCATGTTGCCTCCAGAATGGCGCTGCTGAGACGATGTAGGATTCGCAGAAACGCTTTCACTCGGAATTGGAAAAGTCCCAACCTCAGCTGCAACCTGCCGACTCTGAGGGCGCGATTCGCCCCTTACTTGAAGACCAGCATCCGCGGTGGACACTGAGGTCGCACCTGCACCATCACTGAATCCCGCATTGCTGGTAGGTGTAGGCGAATGGAAAACTTGCGGTCGTTGTAAAGAACCTCGACGACCTGGCTCAGCATGATTTGGGGCGTCGGATGATTTCGTTGCACGTTGTGCCTCCGGTCCATCAGCGCAATTGGCTTCAGCAAAAACATGACCACCACTTCCGGTGTCAAACCGAGCCTTCAGCGCTGCCACCTTTGCTGCACCGTATCGCTTTGTCAACTCAGCAAACAGCCACTTCTCGCGGCCTGCATACCGTTTTCCGTACACCTTTGCCATCTTCAAGCGTTTGTTGTCTACCTCCGTGAAGAAGTCCACCAGCAACTTCTCTAACGGCACAGGCTCTGTTTCCACATCTTTGTGTCTTCTTTGGTTCGAAGGAGACGGCCAATCCAGGTTGGCCTTGGACGTTGACAAAGGCTGAGGGGGAGAATCTGCGGGAGGTTTCGCGATGCAACTGTCTGGTTTCGCGTCCAAGTCGCTCTCACTGCACGATACCGCCGAAGCTAATGAACGATCTTGCAGCGGAGCTTGTGTTAAAAACTCGATCGATGAAGCGGTGACATGGTTCGTACATGACAGAGGTGTGTCGTTGTTGACTGCTGCCAGTGGAGGTCGGAGTGAACGTTCATGAATATCTTGGTGGTCTGGAGACTCTTTTCCTGGATGGAACCCTCTATCCTGAGAAGGGTCGTCATCATCAGGCTGCTTCAAATTGCTTTCATAGTTCGAAGGCATTGCTCCAATGCGATGCACTGAGTTGGATCGCAACGATGAATTCATGGCTGCCAAACTCTCTTGCGTCTGCACCTCATCAGCTTTTGCCTGCTTTTCTCGTGACTGCAAGCTTTGCTGATGAGGATGCAACAGTGACGAGGGTTCCGGAGAATTACTAAAAGCAGGGCTAGAACTCAGCGGTTCGAACGAAGCAAGGTGATGCTGATCGGACACTGGCACTGCCGTCGAATCCGCATGCTTGTCCAGATGTATCGCTCGAGGTTGACAGCGATCTCCATGCGGAGACATGAGTACTGACTTTAGCTCGTAATCCTCAACGTCAACCCCAGCTGACTCTGTGACCGTAGCCGCCAAGGGTTCAAGTCCTGTTGAGCTTATCGTGAACACAGGTGGCACGTTTACCACAGAGGCTCTACCTCCTGACGCCCATGGATCCCACAGAGGCTGATTCGGCGATCGAGGTAATTCAATCAAATGCTGAGACACATCGTCCGTCGTCGGCGGGAGATAAGATGCACGCTTAGGAGATGATGAAGGCTGGGTCTGATGGGGTTGAGGCGGCAGTGCTTCCACCGTAAGGGCTGGATGCTTTTCTGTTAGTTGCCCTGAAAGTATAGCTTCTCGACCAACTTTTCGCGGATTCGCTGTCCATTGCTCTGTCTTCGCCTGCGACGTCGCCTCTTCAGCAATTGATGGCAACCCGTCACTTGACAAAAAGACATGCTGAAAGTCAGAACCGACCTTTGCACGTTCTGCCTCGGCCTTTTCTAATCTGCTTGCAAGGTCGCGAATGCGTTGCTCCTTCTCTTCCAACCGTTGTTGCGCTATCTTTCGGTCCCGCTCCACCTCCTGCACCACCTGCTGCAATTTGTTCAGCTTCGACTGCGATTGGTTCAGCTCATCTTCTGTATGCTGCTGTGTTGTCACCAGCTGCTTGCGCAAACTCGCCTCCGATCGTCGTAGTTCATGTAGATAAGTGAGCATGTTACTGACACTGTCGCGCGTCGGCTGGAGCTTGGACGCAATCAGCTCGCCACCACGAGATTGGTGCCGTTTCTTATGTCGGGAGAAAGCGGTTTGAGTCGCGCGAGCATTAGCGAACGTCGCCGGACACGACCGTGGGCCGTTTTTTTCTTTTTCGTCGTATTTCATGGACGAGATCGGTGCCAGCACGTCCTCCGAACTATTTGCTCGAAGGGACATCGATCCAGCTCGAGTGCCTCTACGCGACAACAGCTCTCTGTTCACTTGCTGAGGTACTTTCCGCTCCTCTTTGCGGTCCAACGCCGTGTATGTCGCTTCACTCCCCAAAGTACGAGGAGCTAGAGTTGAGTTGCCAGCGGTGACTGCATGTCCTTCAGGAAACAAAAAAGGGACAGGGGACTGCAGAAAAGGCATCAACGATAGAGCGAACAGCCGCAACATACAGACACATGTTAGTTCAGCTGCATCACGTGTGGGGACAATCAATTGAAAGACACGAACGTCGTGTCGGCCGCCGCCTCGATCCGCTCTTCGGTCGCGGTGGTCGACAGCGTCTGCAGCTGAAGAGTCACTTGTACGTGTGATTGGCAGATAATCAGACAGCTGTCGAGCATCCTGTGCCAGGTCTGCGGCGCTGCTGGCAATTCGCATGTTGAGCGAGACGATGATTGCGTCAGTCTTTTCGGTCAAAAGATGTACCCATTTGCGACTTCACTGCTCGGGGAAGTGAGCTAAGTGCGATATGGCTCCTCTGGCCGCACTTAAGCGCTCTTTTTGTGTCGATCATGAGGGATGTGGTTGAGCTGTTCCCCACCCCATCTCGATTCGGTTCGAATCATGCTTGTTTGTAGTTTTGGAATTATAAGTGCAAGTCAGAGGTAGTTGAGGGTACTGCCAATGCCTTTCGTTTTGGTGTACTCTTTCTCGGTTATTATGCGAAGTTCTTTGTGAAGAGCAACGTTGTGATTGATGTGTATCGTCAGCTTCATGTATTGATGGGAACACCTGTGCGACGCGTTTCTGACAGCAATGCTGATTACTGATGATGAGTGCTGTTTTTTACAAGTTTCTGTTGATTGTGTATTTTAATCGATGCCGCACTATTTACACACAAAAACAACTTGATAAAAAACAAAGGTAAATATTGAGGACTGCCTGTTAATGTCCTTGTTTACCAACTTCTGCGCTTTGTCGCGCTACCTCCTTTGCAGGTCATCCACCTATGTGAGCAGTCATCTTCAACGTATCCTCTACATATTCGATGCCGTTTGTCAACATTTGGCATGCAAAAAGCGATACAATGGACTTCTGTAGCGGAGCTACACAGCTCTTTAAGTCCGAGAAAGAATTTTTAACAGGCCAACGGCTAACGGCTGACAGCCTATTAGTTCTACGGAAATAATATATCAAGTTAAGAGTCACCCAGTTCTACAGAACTCGGGTGGACTCTACGAGCTATCAGCTCAGCTACCGTGTAGTTCTAGAGAACCACAAGCACAATGTGCAGGGGAGTAGGAGTCTAAGGACTCTCTAAGCTACGGCAGTCCTAAGGAACTGTAGGACAAACATGTGCAAAAGGGGAGGGGGAAGTCTAGGGACTTCTGCTCAAATTGAGAACTGAACTTTATTTAAATTTTATATCAAGGAAAATGCTACTATAAGTACCCTAAACTCGACTAAACTAGAACTTATGCAAATATTAGCATTTAAACTAAATGGATGGTTGCCACATCACTCAATTATCAAATGATGACGTTACAAAGTACATCCACGGTAAGTATTGCAACTCAGAGAATACTGAATAATCGGTTTTTTCTATTGGTAAAAATCTAAGGCCACCATTGTCTCCTATATCACATATGGGAGGTTTTCAATAATTTAGCCGATGGCTAGTGTGACCCCCTTACATATGCAGTTTAGCAGGGCCTTCTTTTCTTAGGTCATTATTGCAACCGAGGCGTTGCATACATTCCACACACGCACAACGCTATCACATAATCGAATCATGTGCTACGTTGCACTTGACAAATTAGTGTAGTAGGACTTGTGTCCACATTTCTCTTTCGGTGGCAGAGAAAGGACCCTCAATTTACATTCTCTTCTACGTCAATCAAATAGTTTCTTCAGCCACATCTGCGGTTGACGACGTTACTGAGCAGCAGCATACCCGTCTCCGTTTCCCAATATTCGTAATTGAAAACATCCACCATCAACGATCACCATAAGCACATACCGATATACTGCACTTTCAGTCTTAGTACACGACGCACAGCCGATTCTTTAGCCGCTAAAGATTGTTTAGCCCCTTTTCACTTGATATGAAATGCAAATGTAACGAGCTTGATTTAGTTCCTTGGACTGAATAACCAATATATAGAGGATGGGCTCCAGTTTTGCATCCCTATCTTATCTATGAATCGTCAATGTAACAGTAAGTAAGACTCAAGGCACACAAATGGTCGACCGTGAGCATAATTTTGGTCAAGGTAAAGTTTGGTTTTCGCTTGCGTTCACCACCACCTTTACCTCAGATTACATATCCTTTGTAAATTTATGCGCTTATCGCTGTCATACTGAGATTCGTGAAAGTATGAACAATTTTAGGCAGATCAGAACAACATGTCGTCACCTCATCCAAGGTGACAAACAGACTAACATTATTGATTACCTTGTCTTAGGCGACGCAATATATCCTATTCTTTACAAAAGATTGAATATCCATACGCATCCTATAATGATCTCTACGTACTCTAGGCTCGCTACACTTCACGTACAATCCCAAACCGGTTCTGTAATGACAAGTTGCACACCACATCTGCCTCCGCAGTGAAATCATCTCAGCCGTACGAAAAGATCTCTACTTTACTTGTCATTCACAAGAACGCCATGGCTCACATGCAAGCAAATTCAACAATATCATGATTAGTTGTCGATGTTAGGTCGGTACATTAAACAAAAATCTTCGAGGTTACGCATTTTAGGTGTAGCGGATCTACACGATTTTTCAAAGGAAAACGCACGACACGTACTTACGTAGAGCTAAAATGAAACGATGTAAAAAGATTCTTGTTCAAAGAAAATTAGGGTATACTGTAGCCTGAGCTTTTATGAAACTATGACATGATTTACAGCACTAGGGGCTCCGAGAAACAGGTGTGATGTACTGAATTTGTACATTGAAGTTCTCTGAGGTACTCCGTATTGAAATACGATGCGTTCTAATACCCGAACTACGAGACTCGACGCTGTAAAAATTTATGCCATGGGACTCCGCGCTTTGAGACTCCGCGATGCATGTGTGGAAAATTGTCACCAGAAATTTACTATGCGCAAGACTGGTTCAAAAATCTTACCAGCATACTCGAGGAAGTTCGAGGTTGATGGAAGCGTGCAACTCTCTGAGGATGGCAGAATATTCAAAATACGCTCATCAGGTACATGTTTGTTAGAGATGGTAGGATGACGACAAAGGTAAAGGGGTAGAACCGTGTACGAGACTCTCCGTGTAAAGGCACGGAAGATTATGAGAAATGTCTAAGTGCTGTCCGCGCTTCAGCCTTTCATGTGGTTGGAATACAGCAATCGCGTACCTAACACAGAGAGTGTGTCACACACACACGTATGACTTCACTGTTTGACGTTATCACATGATGTCAATGAAGTACGCCATCTTCGCGCTTACATTTAGTATAAGCGCGCTGTAAGACGGCGTCTCCCGGAGCGCGCGTCCAATATTTTGCCTTTTAAAATAAAACACTATTTTTTAGTTTATTGAATAGAATTCAGCATTTGGTTTGCAACATGATTGTTACGTGTGTGTCACGGAAACCCACGCTCTTGCCACACCTACAACAATCGCTCATATATCGTCGAGGCAGTCGTATGAAGACCACCCGAACATCGCTGCACGCGAAAGAAGATGGTAAAACAGCTTCCTTGCAGGATGCTGAAGTTTTGTGTTAAGGTGGCGTGTGGCAGCCTCAATCTCCCTCCTACGCTAGTTGGCATTGGTAGTCCACGATTCATCGCTGTGAGAGCGTGTCAGTGAGGATGAACCCCTAAATTTGATTATGCTCGATTTCCCTACCTCTCCTAGTATCAGGGAGATGTGGATAAACTTATGGCTTAGGGTATTGGTGACCAAGCCCCGGTTAATTGGTTAAACTGCTCGCCACAGCAATACATTCCTCAACTGAACAGATTAAAAAGTTTGTGCTCGTACAGCGGACGTAGTGGAACTACTTAGCGCTCCTTAGCAGAGGAAGTGGTAGACATAAAGAGTCTCTTAGTTGTAACAAACTACAAACGACGTACAGTAGCTCAAGCGTACAAGCTTAACAATCCGGGTTCCAAAGGGATTGCGATTCACACAATCACACACTAACTAACTTGTCACTACTAGTTAAAGAAGAGGAAGCGCCTTTACAAGGCTAATGCTTTTAACAAAACTATGCCTTGACTAGACATTTGTGTCCACGATTCAAAAGGTGCACTGAACTTTTTTTATCCTTACCTACGATAATAGAACCATAAAACCCTGTCTGACTGACTTCTACATTGCGGTCCTATGACAGAAGTCTTATCCCTTATCCATGATCGATAATGTACGGTACTACCGTAAGTTTATGATACCAATACTGTACCAGTCAGATCCACCGTTCTTTACTTGGTGTGGACGCTCAATATAACAGGTTAAATAATCTCCGTGTAACCCCGTTACACCCCTACACCACACTGTCGACACCCTTGTGTCAAGAATTCTTATACTGCTCTTAGAGATCTATAAAAGCTCTGGTCCTGACCATCGTGCTCACAACACATCTTAAAGTGACTGAGTCAAAAACTTCATCTAAGCACCATTGAGGAATTTCTCGAAGTGGTTATAATGGACTACAAGAGCGACGCCGTCGCGGTGAGTGTTTATGTCCCATCTTCAGCTACGCCACTGGCGCGTGACATCACACGCGTCACACCTAATTCATTCGTGGAACGCGAGGAGGTACCTTCACCCCTTGCACAGCGTGCAGCCGACGACCCTGCGTTGGGTGTGTTGCACAACACTCGTGATAAAGATCAAGCTCAGTATCTCCAGTCGTTCGATGACAGCAGGCGTCAAGCACAATGTGTAGCCACAGCGCGTTCTTACAGTGGGTACCGCTTCACGCCACCGAGTGCGGATGAACACATTAGCGAGACTGTCCGGCAGACAGTCGCGACATGGGTCACGGTACCTAAGACTGCCACAGCCACAATCAAGCGGAGTGCGAGGTTCTTAGAGCGAGATGCCTGGGGGTCGAGAACATGGCCGTCCAAGATTACCCCGACAGGCCGAATCAGCAAGCATGATGTGCGTCTGTGCCCGCCATGCGGACAATACCTGGCGTCCTCTCCCCTGGTGAGACGGAGGCAAAAATTGATGTCGTCTTCACGCATTGAAAACACAGAGCTCGTCATCTACCAATCCTGTATATTCTCCAAGAGAACGCTTTATTTGCTGACTTTCGGCTCAAAAGAAAGCTGCGCTTTAATTTCGCAAATCAAAAGACCAAAGGCCAACCGCAATCATTTTCTTGCACCTTCTATGCTTCAGCAGCTATGGATCGGCACACCAGTACACCTGCGGTAGCTGCATTCTCCTCTACCTTCGCACCTACTAGTGGAAAGCTGTATGGGTCGACCGTCCCTGAAGTTGACGTTCAAAAACGTCAACGGCGTACGTACAATACCGCCGCAGCGGCACTTCTTACTCCCATGAGTTCTCCGACCCCTGGTAGACCCGCCACTGTACCAAGTGCCGGTTCTGACCGTCGCGACGACGTCGCTGTAAGATTCGTTCAGCATGGTGCTGTTGATCTCTTTGCTCTTCAGCGAGAGCAGGTGTTGGTCGGTGAATCTCGACGCGTCGATGACGAGTTTGTGCACGAGGTGCACGGTCTGCATGACCGAGTGGCTCGTCTTGAGGGACAACTGGATCTTCTCTTGAGGGTCCTTCGACTTGTGGCATCTCCAACTCTTCCAACGCAAGCGCCTCGTGATCCACCAGCAATGGATCAAGGTAAGGCTAATGCAATCTGACGTAAAACACTGGGTGTGTTCGCATCTTATGTGGAAGTTTGAGCGTATACGCTACTCCCTTCTTGTCCAATCCCGTAAATGGCTCAATAAAGCGAGGACGTGACTTGGTCCTACATACCGCTGACACCACAATGGTAGGTAGATTCTAAGCGTTAAGTAAGAATAGGTCTCCAACTTCATAACTCTCGATACAATTTCTGCCTTTGGCATCAACTTGTTCCTTTTGTTTATCCTGGCTATCAGCCATTGCGTCACGTACATGTCGTAAGAAATTTAATCACGTAGCATGAAACTCGCTCACCTTTTTCTAGACAGTGATTGGGCTGACACCAGGCAAGCCGATCGACTATTACTCCCCCACCAAGCATAAAACGTCTTAAGGAAAGCGTTAACGAAACGCGTGGGTGAGTGAGACCATTACCGTAGAATGAACTGTATCCTGTAGAGGCGTATACAGCGTTGTTTACCGCAAACTAGACCACAGGGAACATAGAGCTTCACGCTTAAGCTTATCAGCGCAAATACTGCGCAAAATGCCACCAATGACACGGTTGACACGCTCAGTCTGACTATCGATCTGCGAATGATTCGCCGTGGATATGTCTAACCTGGTGCCGAGCACCCTGATTATGGAAATTCAAAACTTGCTAGTAAACGTGGATCACGATGATTAATAATTGCTACAGGCAAATCGTGGTGACGAAACACACGTTCGGTAAATAACTTCGCTGGACCTTCATCATCGATGGAATCAGGCACAACCGCTAAATGGGTCATCTTACTCAAAAGGCCAGTCACAATACCGGTGTTGCCTTCCGAATAATTCGGTATACCAAACACAAAGTCCATACTGATGGACTCCCAACAATCAGTGGGTACGGTAGAACTAGTAAGTGATACAACCTCATGTGCTGAGGGTTTGACAAGTTTCACATGTGCGCACATATGTGCTCACCCATTTTTACAACTTGGGCCATCAACAAGTCTAGATAACGGACTATAGGTCTTCGCACGACCGAGGTAACCGCTCAAAGCAGTGTCATGCGCCTCAGAGAGGAAACGATCATTCAAGTATTCATCATGAGGAACAACAATGCGAGGCACATCCTCAACACACGTGCAATAGCACAACAATCCACGATCGATGACATATTGTTGTAGGCTCGCACGTAAAGTGTCGACGATTTTATGTCCGAGTCTTGAAACCCCCCCTCTTTCAAGAGACTGTAGCGATGCTACGCATTGCTCATCACGTGTATATGCCGCACGAATACAATCCGCAATGTATGACGAAATTTCGTAACTTGAGCAAGTTCATAATCAGGTCTGCGTAACAAACGCATCAACTAAAGCATTTTGTTTGCCCGGCTTATACTTCATCTCGAAGTTGTACTTAGCAAAGAATGAAAGCCAACGGTCCACACGCTGTAAAAGGTGAGGAGAATGTGTCGCAGTGCGTGACGAAACCTGATCTGTGATGATCACAAAAGGATTTGATCCAAGTAGATGGAATCTGAACTTAACAAGAGCATATTACAATGTTAGTAACGCTTTGTCGTGTAATTCATATTTTAACTGCAGCCGTCAGCTGAAGAGACTCATACGAAATGACACGCTCATGTCCATCGACATCTGTCTGCAACAATGCACAACCAACAGAAAAATCAGACTCGTCACAGACGACACTGAAAGGTCACTCAGGGTCAGGCAAAGCCAAAATTGGATCATGAAGGAGACTATCTTTTGTTGCTTCAAAAGCTTGAGGGTGTACTGAGTCCCAACACCAAATTGCATTCTTTAAATAGTTTATTTATGACCTTGCTATGTCAGCTTAGTTTGCTCAGTACTTGTGCAAGTAATCAGCAAAGCCTAGCCATTTACACAAGTCCTTTTGGTTCGACGGAACCCGCCATTCCACAATTGACACTGTCTTAGCAGGATCCGCACGAACGCCACGCATTCCAATGAAGCACCCGAGAAAGGAAATTTCTTCTGCACCACAAAAATGCATTTTTATGCATTTTCACACAGCTTGTTCGTGCGCATGCACTCGAGCACTGCTCGTAAATAGTCAATGTGGGTTTCCAAATCTGATCTGCCATGTTCTACACGGCTATGGACAAAGAAGTCATCGAAATGGCTTTGTGCGTATCCTCGGTGAGGTCGGAAATATTGCGTCACGAGACGATAAAACGCTGCAGGGGCGTTAGATAGCCCTTGGGGAATAACAGGCCACTCCCAAACCATACCGCTTGGAGTATCAACCGCTGGGAGCAGCATATCACTCGCTCGCATTAGCAATTGGTAATGTCCATCGACCAAGTCGAGTACACTAAACAGGGTACAACCTACCAAAGAATTTTAAAGAACATCCTTTCCAGGGATAGGCGCCTATGCCGGTATAGTGGCTGCATTAATCTTATTATAAGCATGCACAAAACGCCTCTTGCCATTTGGCTTTCTGACACAAAATGTTGGTGTCAGGTGCGGAGAATTGCTTTCACGAACCATTCCAGCCGTGTGTTTGCACAAAGAACTCGTCAATGATGTCACACTGCTCCTTCGGTAGAGGCCACTGCCGTGTCACACTGTACTTAGTTCCAGGAACCAAGTCAATTTCATGACGTACGCCTTAATCAGGAGGCAGAGTGGAAGGAGAATCATGACATACCACATGCTGAAACTCCTTCACTATAGGATGTAACGGGCCTAAGGACCTACAAAGATAGATGGCCCACTTCGAGCACTCAGTGCCGCCTTTGTGTCTTCCAAGACAGATTCATTAAGAAGTAACGACGAGTTTAACTTACTATCGGGTCTAATGAACACCACTTCAGATAAGTCACCTGACTTTAAGGTCAGGCCAAGAAACTTATCGACAAAAGTTTCGTCTAGCTCTAACCGAGTAATCCGTGAGGGTAGGGTCTCGAGACTCACTGACCTATATAAGTCACTAGTCACTTCATTAACGAGTGTATATATCTGCTCGCTAGTATCACTTCGTGGCGTAACAGACGCCTTGCGTTGCATAGCAGCAATCTGGCGTCTCTGTCGTTTCTATGACGAGACTGAACGTCTTTAAGAGACTAAAATTTTCATTTCCAAATTTGATATCATCATCATCCTTAACTTGATCTATACACTATCCAGTGTCATTACCGACACCCGGGACATCAAAGTCCTCAAGGTTAACATGACCATCAACCTTAATTTCCCCAGTATCGGGGCCGATGTCGTACCGGCATCTGGAACTATACCGCCCCTAAGATGACGAACTGCTTCAGCCTTAATTTGCCCAATACCAGGGCCGTTTTCTTTGCCGAAATCTAAGAATACACTGCCCCCGAGGTGATGAACTACGTCAACCTTATTTTGATCCCTCCCACTGATATCACCACCCAGTGGGTAATTACGAGCCACTCCACGCTCATCAAATGGACGTCGCTCTTGATAAATTGGTGTTTCAGCAATATTGTCTTGAGTGACATTCAGTGTCTCGCAATCACGGACAACATCACTCAATGTTTACTAACGTGCCACTCCACGCTCACCAGATGTGTTCAACCCATAATGAATTGGCTCTAGGCCAACAATGCTCTAATCATTCAGTAATTTGCTACTGTAACGGATTGTCACTACACGAAGTACGTGCCGTTTCACTATCAGTCAACCAGATGGGCTTGCAACTAACGTTTTTGACATCGTCCAACTCAACGAGTTCATCCATCCAGATGTCCAGCACACTGACTGTCTCAGTAAGTATCCCGCGTCGTTAGCACTTCTGTTTCCTAGTAGAGGTAGGCTCATAATTCTACCAAGCTCCACTAGGAACAGTGCACGCTGCGCAGAAGATCTTTGACCTCCAATCAATCCATGGCTCATTTTGTTCTGGCCAAGCCATAATAAGATTAAGCTCATGCATTTTATCCAAGTCAAGGACTAGACAGCGTCCAATACCATCAAAGTCTGAAAGCTTAACGCCAAAGTTCACGGGAGCTCTAGGCAAAGTGACTAATGCACCTGTCAATACGCGAACAGCGATGGTCTAACTCTTTCGCGCTTTCAGCTCCTCAGCATACTGCTGACTACCTTCCAGGAAACAACGTCGAACAAAACTTCCAGATTCCCTGGAGTCGATCAATGTCGACCGTTGCTTATCAAAGACCCGCACCGTTGCTTTTGCAACTAACAAGCCTGGCTTGTACTCATGCTTCGTGACATTGATCACGAAGCCACTTGAAGCTAGACAATTGTATCCATCACCTCCCCGATGTACAATGTAGCCTAAATCTTCTCCAGCAGGGCGCCCCGCGCCTACTGGGACTCAACGTTTTCCGCGCCTTACCAACTCGGTCGTTAAAGACGGGAGGTAGGCTGGAATGATACTGTCTGGTCCTTCTCAAATGAAAATTGGGTCGAAGGTGTTTGATGCTTCCGCACGTGAAACAATTACAGATATTCAATTTTTGGTTGACAGCGTAAAGCTCAGCTTCTTCGTCTCTCTCAGCGAGACTAAGATCCATGAAATCGCCGGATCCATAAAATGAGCATTGCTCGACGAGTTTGATTGGAACCATGAGTCTCATAGCGGGTAGCTTTAACTTTGAGCTCTGCATTCACTGCTATGTCCACTACACCCTCACATGTCAAGGGTTGTGTACGAAACACTTGTGTTCTGGTAACGCCAGTATGAAGACCCTCCATAAAAATGGTTACCAAAACCGTTCTTAGTAAAAGTTTGAGCTGCATAGAAGCAATGAGAGATTGAAACTCCTGGACATACTTAGTCAAGTCCTTTTTATCCTGGCGGGTCGACGGGAAATGTGGTCGCACGCGATATGCCTGATTAGGCGGGACAAACACCCGAGATAGCTGCTGTTTCATCATGTCCTAGGTGGAAAAGCCTCTTCTAACGAGGTGCCAGAAGTGAAGGCCCACTCCCTGGCTCGGCCACCTAACATTGATAGGACCAGGCCTACTTTATGCTGCTCTGACCGCAT